CAAGCTCCCCCTCCCACCATCACTCCTGGCACTGCCCTTGGAATGAAGCCAAGCAAGGGTCAGCCCAATTGCCTTATCCTTCCACTATTTTAGCACACTCCTTCAGCCCCAGTCTCTTGTTCTCCATCTGTTTGTAACGCCTACCTCTGCTCTCACCCCAGCAAGCTCCATGCTTACACTCACCCACGTTAGCATGCTTCCTCTCAGAAGAAACACTCCCAGAACATACTTTCACCATGACCACAGACTCCCCTTCCATTCTACAATGCTCACAGATCCCTCTCCTATCTCTTAAGCCATAGTCGGCATATGCCATCTAAGGTTCCTAATACTTTGCCAATCCTCACTACCAGTTCTTGGAACTTGGCAGGAGATGACAGTATACACTTCCACAAAGGGACATACCTGCCCCCCTCAGCCCCACAGTGTCCCGGGTGACTGACAGGTGCCTTCAGAGCTGTGTTACTATGTATCACTTAACCATTAGATAAAGCTAGGATGTCTTCTTCCCTTTTATTGAGCAGAGGGAGCTGAGGGCTGTCTGGGTACCTTTGCTAAGGCTGCATCACCCATCCCTCCTTACCTGGTGCCTGCTGCTCGGCTTTTCAAGCTTTGATCTCGGGGCACCTCAATCAGGCCTCTTTCCACCCAGCTGCCCCAGGGACTCAGGCACACCAACACCTTTTGGTTGCTATCAAACAAATGCCAATACTATGAAGCTAAGGAGCAACCTGTAGCATGCAGCAGGTGGTGTATTTCATCATAAATTCCTCAGGGAACCTGATTCTGGGTCCTTCTCACCTGCAGACTGAACAGGAGAAAGGCTTCCATAAGGAAGCTAATCAATGAGGACCTTTCAGCTCCCCACCCCAAACCTCACAGCAAACAGGGGCGGGGGTTATCTCATCTCTCCCTTGGCCAGTGTAGACAAAGCATCTTTGCTCTTGTGAGCAAATTACTCCATCACTTTGTTTCAGGGAGGTAATAATACATTCTGCTTTCTCCCTGGGAAGATAGTAGGAGTTGGGCAGGGACTACACCTGTGATGTCATTGGCATGGGAACTCCCAGGTGAGGAATTGCCTTCTTCTCCCCCTATGCATACAGGCACCTTCTCTGCAGCCTTGGAGTCTTAATGCGGTACCTAAAAATGAAGTGACCTACCCAGGTTCACAGAGACAGGTCTCGAACCCAGGAATTTCTGGTTTTTTGCCCTGGGAGAAATTATAGTTATTTCCATATTTCCACAGAATCATAGCATCTCACAGCTGGAAGGTACCTCAGAGACCACTGAACACAACCTACATGGTAGATTAAGAATCACTTCTCCAACAAGGGGCCATCTGTCTTCCACTTGAATTGCCCTAGTACTGAGGAACTCATTACCTGCCAAAATAGCCTTTTCCACTCTGGTACAGTTCCTCTTCAGTGGAGCCTAAACTGGCTTCCTTGTGTCCTTTCCCCCTCTTTTCTAGTTCTGGGCCCAGGCAGAACAAACCTAGTCACTTTTCAACCCTCACAAATGGCGGTGTGGCAACTGATGGAACTGACCACTGGTGAGTGGAATTCATGACACACCGACAATAATTCAATCGACTTCCAAGGTCTAGTTCTTTCACCTGAATAATTATGGAGCACACATCCTGGTCACATCCATGGGGCTAATTTCTCATTCCTCCCCTGTGGTCATTTGAATTCTCCAGAATTCCTCCTCAGCTCACCGAGGGGTGATTAACACCACCCACCTGCTCTCCAAGTTCCCTTCTGGCTCTCCTAAAGCACAAAGACTTCGTTTCTCCTACAGCGTCCTCTCACACTCTGAACTGCATTTTCTCTGAGCCCAGCCCTTTTCATCCATACCTGGCAGGAATAGAGCAGGAAAATTACAAGACTTATTTCATTTTAATTCTGTTATGAAGCTTTTAATCATAAATGCCCCCCAAACGAAAAGACAATTTATCATCCTCCCCTACTGCGCAACCCTCCCTGATTCATGTTCATGAATCCATCTCACCGAGAGAAGACTGGATGATTAAGAGTCCGATTAGAGCAAGCAGATTAACCTGGCAAACATCATAAATTTCACTCCTAAGCAGGGAGGTTTTCTAAATGCTCGCAATAACTGCCCTGTGTAAAATCACAAGCCAGCCTCTGCCTTCCCTGATGACTCAATTGAAATCCACTGAGTCTAGGGCCATAAAGAGAAAGGAGGCTTATGAATTTTCTCATTGGGAATTTAAAGAGGATTAGACAGGATGTGTTTCTAACTGTAAATACATATTTAAACAGGAAAGGATTAAAAAAAAATCTTCCTTCTCTCACATGCACAGATCCCTCTGGCTGTTTCTCCAGTGTCCAGATCTAGAACTCCAGGAACCTCCCTCAGCCTTTTATCAAGTGAGAAGAGAATGTTGGAGATCCTCTCAGTTCTGACATTCTATGGTTCCATGAAATCAGCAAGCCTGGGCCAGGTTCATCCCCAATTTTTTTTTTAAACAGCAAATGAATTCATAAAAGGCCCTGAAAGGCATCAATAATTCATATGCATCAAAAGGCCTTGGTTTCTAAATGAACCAAGGTAAACCCCAGAGGTATTTCTATTTCTCTGAGTTGCCTGAACTGGAGCTCACCTGTCTTGAATTCAAATGAAAATGGAATCTGATTCTTTTGTGGAAAAAGTACATCTGTCTAACCTAGAGGCTAATTGTGGAGAGAGAGGCCACCACATGTGAGAGGCAGTGCAGCATGGCAGAGAGGCCTGAGTCTGAAGCCAGAGGTTCTGAGTTCAAGTCATAGCTCTGGCACTTACTTATCTGGGCAGCCCCATCGAGGCCACTTAACTTATCTAACTCTCATTTTCCCTGTTTGTAAAATAAGGGTGTCAGACAGGATCAGACAAAGGTCATCTCAGTGAGAAAAAAAAATCATATCTTCATTAACCCCTAACTGAAATGTAGCATTTCTTTCAATGATGAACATAGGGGACCAACATTAGTCTGAGGAGGGCGGAGGTGAAGGATTCACCCAACTGTACAAGTGGTCCCTTATACCAAGGACATTGAGAACTGTCAGTCCCAAGGAACTAGTGCTTAAGGTTCCTTTCAGTTGAAAAGCTGTCATCCTAGGGTCTTACGTGAGTTTCTTCATCTGTAAGACCAGGGGCTTGCACTAAGTGACTTCCGAGGTCCCTTAGAGCCCAAGATTTGGGATCTGAAGTGCTTTGTGACTCAGTTTCCTCCCCTATAAAGTGAGGAAGTTGGACAAATGATCTCCAAGGTTGCTTCTGACTCCAGGTCACCGATCCCATCTCTGAAGCAATGTACCTTATAACCAAGGAGGAGAATAGAATTGATAAATGTCATCCAAGAATTGTATATGGCAGACAGAGTAGATGGGCTGGTTCTGTAATGGGAGCGAGCGAAGACATGAATTCCAAGGTGGAGGGCCTGAGCAGTACCCTCCCTAAAATAAAGAGAAAATAAGGAAGACTTCCAGCATGCCAGGTGGACCCACTGTGGCAAACATTGGCTGGACCGAGACAAGAGTGGCCTAGGCTGGGCAGGCATGGATGGATGTCATCAGAGGGAGCTGCTCATGAGTGAGATCACAGAGCCATCAGTGTCCTCCCAGTGATGCCTTGTGGCTATGACCAGGGGACTAGCCCAGGCTACCAAAGGGAAAGTGCAGATGACCCAAAGGGCAGGGAAGAGAGGAAGTCAGATGCAGTGGATTCCTGATGATGACCTACAAGCAATAAGTGGAAGTAATGTCATTCAGGAAATGTATGATGGGAATGGTTGGAGGTGGAGTGGGAAGGAGAGCCATAGGTCTGGAGTAAAGGGGAGTAGATGGATTGATTTCTAGGTGGAGAGGTCCTTAGGGTCATCCAGGAATAGCTAACATTTCTACAGCACTTTCAAGTTTGCAAAGTAACTTACAAATACTCTCATATTTTATCCTTACAACAATTCTTTGAGGCAGGTACTGCTATTAGTATTTCCAAATGAGAAAGCTGAAGCAGACTGCATTAAGTGAAGTGACTTGCCCAGGGCCACATATCTGCTAAGTGCTGAGGCCAGATGGGAACTCCCCAGGTGCAGGATGATGTCTAGATACCTCTAATCCAACCTTCTCAGATATTCTGAGACCCAGAGACGGTGAGCAATCTGTTCAATGTCACACAGCTGACCGAGCCAGGATTTGGACTCAGATTCTGACTCTAGGTGCAGCCCTCTTCCCACTCCAGTGAAGCCTTAGAGGCTTCTACCCAGTCCTTTGTCTCTCTTCTCCATGATTTGGACAGGACAGCAAAGGACAGAGAAGCCACAGAAGGCTGTTTTAAATCTTGATACAATGCACCTGTGGGTTGTTGCTTTTGTTTTAAAGTAGAGGAGAGAGAGAGTCAGCAGTCTTTCCATCTCAATCTGAATTCATTTTTATAGGGAGAATTGGCTGCCTGCTACACATGCCCCTCCCCCAAAGCACATACAGGCACATGCAGACTGTATGATGCCGGCCTTAGATGACGTAATGTGACTCCACCCACAGGCTCTGACTCCTGGCCGGGTCATGTTCCCTTTGAATAAGCTTTGTGGACTCACAACTCTCTGTACAACCTCTCCTTTAGATGGCCTCTCCTCTTCTGGGCAGAGGTGGGCAAAAAGAGAAGCCAGTGCCCAGAGAAGCTTGCCTTTCTGAGACCATTAAGCCTGTCAAGCTGACCTCTAGGAATGTTCAGTTTTATCTAGAGCCACCTCTCTTCCAGGGAGCAGGGAAAAGTGAAGAAGGTCTGGCAGTGGGGGGCGGAGCCCACTCTGTAGTGACAGCGGATTGGGCTGTTGAAGGGACTCCATTTAGGGGAACAGGTAGAGTCCCGGAAGAGAGGGCTAGAACCCAGGTGCCAGCCCTCTGATGCTGACCTTCCTCAGATCCAGGAGGATCCAGTAAAGGGTAGGATCCAGGGCCCAGTCTTGGGCCTCCTGGGCTGCTGGACGGGGAAGTTGATTCAAAGGCTGCTCACTAGTACCTATGACCCTGGGTGCTGGGGTCTTTGGGCATCTGGCCAGTGCGCCAGGCTGGCCTGAAGGGGTTCCTCCGCCAAGGAAGCCTCTGCTTGGCCCTCCTTTGGTTTCAGGAGCCCCTCCCAGGGCCACTATTCCCTGGAACCTGGTGAGACTCCCCACCCCCAGGTTTGTAGTTCACGTAAGCAGAGTTGTGGGGAAATCTTGACCACGACCCCGCCGTTCCCTCCTCTTGGTGGTGGGAGGGGGAGGGAGGCTCAGCCGGGACTCGGGTCGGTGGAATATTGACCCTTCTTCCCCTCACTGTCGGGAGGGAAGGAGGTTGATTGTGCGCACTGACCCATTGGTTCCCTCCCCCCCCACCTCCACCTTCCAGCTTTCAGGCTCCTGCCTCCAGTAGAGCAGATTTGGGGGTAAGAGAATTGGGTGGGCTTGATTGGTGGCAGCCCGCACCATAGGTCTCCCCTGAGTTGCTGGTCTCCTGCCCCTGAGTTGCTGGTCTCCTGCCCCTAAAGCCAAGAGAGCAAAGGACTAGCCCAGCCGAGGAGAGATGGGGAGGGTCTGGTGGGCTCGGGCTGTGCCCACACGGCTGTACTCTCTCTGAGTGTGAGTGCGCGTGTGCGTGTGTGTACATACGTGTGTGCGTGTAAGATCACTCTGTCGCGTGCTCGTTTCTCTGTGCGCTCCCATCTTGGCATGATCTTTCTCCGTAGGTCTATGTGTGCATGAGCCCCCCAGCCTGGCCGCCGCTGCCACCTGGGGGCCAGGTGCGGCTACGGTAGGTGCGGTGCAGGGGCGGGGCTGCCCGCTGGGTGCCGAGTGCAAGGTGAGGCAGCCGGGTTTGGGGCTCAGGCGCCGCCTCCCCTCTCTGCTCTGCCCACAGGCGCCCGGCCCCTCCCGCGTAGGAGCTTCGTCCCGGGACTCAGCCGGCGCGACCTTGCGGTGCAGGCAGAGGGAGCGCCGGTGGATGCGCATAGGCCCAGGGGGAGCTGCAGGTAGGGCCGGCTCCTCCTCCTCCCGCCAGCCCGGCCTCAGCTTTGGCTTGGCGGCGTGGCTCCGCTCCTCCAGACAGGGCCGCATCACCAGTCCCACCAGAGGAAGAAAACTGGCCCGGCTTCCCCTGGCTCCTGTCCAGGTGTGCGGGTAGCGGCTTTGCCTGTGGCACTGGAAGCTGGGGTCCGCCCTGCCGTTACGGCTGTTGCTGCTGCTGCTTCACTATTGGGGTGGCGGGGAGGGAGCACGGGACGGGGAGTTCTTATTCAGGGCGTCCTGGGGAGCCAGAAGGCGCAGGCATTGGCTTTCTGGGCCAGGGGCCAGGGCTTAAATGGATACCACACTTAGCAGGGGCAGATGACCTTCCATGCCCCGTGCCAGAAGGCTGTAGACTTGGCACTGAGGAGCGCCAAACGCTCCTTTCTTAGCTTTGCAGCATTCAGTGAGCTAGGGAATGCAATCAGTGTTTAGCCCCTCGTTACAGATGAGGAGGAAAGGGAGATGAATCGAGTGACTTGCCCAGGCTCACACAGAGGCCGAGTGCCCGATGTGGATTCAGCCCCAGGTGTTTGGGTGCCAAGTTCAGGCCTTTTGATCAAGCTTGCTTCTGCCTCTAGAATAACTCTTCTTTGACTGCTCCTTGGCAGTGTCGGTGAGAATCGAGATTACCCTGATTTTAGAGAAAAGAAACAGGCTGTGCGAGCCGCAGGGTTACACGGCCATCAGAGTCTGAGGGCGATTTCGAAGCCTTATTCCTCCGGTCCAATTCAGAGAACGTGGAATTCGCCCACCTGGGACAGAGAGTTTCGGGAGGATCATCTGGCCTCGGGTAGAGAATGCCAAATGTCTGGAATCCGTGCAGGCAAAGGGGGTTGAGGAAGCCAGCTGGGAGCAGGGTAGGGGGAGCATGGGCTGGAGGGCTTGCCTCTGTGTGAGAAGAGACAGATCTAGCGCCCTCCTCCTTCCCTTCCCCCACCCCCACGTGGGTAGGGCATAAGGGCTGTAGGCTGGAAGGCATCATGGACTTCAGAACCCATTGGGCCGGCTGTCTCTACCCACGGAAGAAGCAGTTATCTTTTGACACGTCCCTGGGGCTGCCACTGGGCTAGAAACAAGGAGGTCTGTTTGGGTGTAGTAGAAAGAATCATCCCGCCCCCCCCCCCAGATTCTAGATTGGATTTATCTTACCTTAGTTACTGTCAGCTTGTCAAGCAAATGATGAAGTCCCACTCAATGGCAGCCCACAGCCACAACCCCATTCAGCTTATTATTTGGTTTACCTTTGGCTGATTTCTCCCACCGGTTCTGTTATTTTATATGCATTTGTGTGTCATCAAAGAGTTAAACCTGGTGCTTAGAAAAAGGGAGGAGGAGACATGGCCAAGATGATGTAAATGACCCAACTTCTTTGTTTTCTTTTAATGAAAGGTAGAACCTGTCCTGGAGACTGCCTGGTAGTGGGTATAGTTCGCAGAGAAAGATCTAGATTCAAATCTTCTCGGTCAGTTACTAGCTGTGTGAGCCTGACCCAATGACTTAAGATTTCTGAGCTTCACCATCTCCTTAGGACTTATCTTCCTTCAGAGATATTTTGCCCCTTGTCGAAGAGTGTGTCCTCCCTCTCCCTTATGCCAACAAACAGCCTCAGTTTCCTCATCTGAAAAATTAGGAGGTTGGGTCATTAGAAGACCCCTCCTGTCTTGCTCAATTATAACTCTCTGATTTCCCAAATAACACCTCAATACAGCTGGCTCCCTTTGGTCATGGTTCTTGGGAAGGAAAGGGAGCAAAGATGCCTGCACCCTTCTATCCAGACCCTTTCACTTTCCCTGATTTCCATGTTAGCTGACCTTGCATATTGCTGCTCCAGTTGGAAGGGAGAGGAGCATTTCAGCACTAAGGTTGTCTCTCGGTTGCCCAGAGCAGCTTATCCAGTGTGTTGTTGCTCCATGCTGCCCTCTCCAGGCCTCCATGCCCCTGGAGAAATTCCACAAAAGGGTCACAAGCTGAAGCTTGTGATTAGCACTCGCCCCACCAGGTATTCTAGGGACATTGGAAGTCATGGATCCATACGAGCAGGGGGTGTTCAGGCGTCATATTGGGCCCAGGTGCGAAAGTCACCACACTGGAAAGCACCTAGAAGCCAGCCAGCCTATATATGAAATATAGACACATATAAATGCACAGGCATCCGTCTTGGCTACCACATCCCACAGATGGCCCATGCCTTTTCAGAAAACTTGAGTTTGGGGGAACGGTCACCTTACTCAAGCTCTTTTGTGACTGACTCCCCCTCATTGCCTAGCCTGGTTCTGTCCTCTGCTAGAGCAGAAACAATCTCTCCTTCACATAACCCTTCAAATACTATTATCCACAAACACACATTAAGCACCTACTGTGTCAGGTGTTGTGCTAGGTGCTAGGGACACAGAAGCAAAGAAACAATCCTTATGTTCTGTTAGAGAAAAGAATACATGTGCATACATGCTGTCTCCCCTAATAGCATATATAGGGATATAGATACACACATGTATATGCATATACATATTAGGTTTTTATACATCTGTATGAATATATCCACATATAGGTTATATATATATATACATATATAGATAGATAGATAGATAGATAGATAGATAGATAGGTAGATAGATTAAATATATAGATATTAGAAAACTGTTGGTTAGCTGTGTGACCCTGGGCAAGTCACTTAACCCCAATTGCCAAAAAACAAAAAAAAAAAGCTATTGGAATAGTTTGGGTGAGAATAGATGAGCATTTGCTCCAAGGAGATGGCTCTGAGTAAAGATAATGGAACATTTTTGACAAATGTCACACACAGAGATACAGCAAAATTTTGCAGCATTGACGTGTGGGTTGAGGGGGAGGTATCCATGGTCACTCCTAGGTTGTCAGTGTGGGTGAGTGAAAGGAAGGTGGTATCCTCAACAGAAAGAGGGAAGTCTGGCGCAGGGGATGGTTTGCATGGAAAGATGAGTTTTGTTCTGGATACATTGAGTTAGAGATATATCCAGGACATTCACTTGGAAATGTCTAATATGTCTTCTCTAGGCTAAAGAAGACCTGGTTCTGGCAATGAGTAGATTTTCTTGATATCCAGACAATATATGATCTCTTTCCCTTATCCTAAGTTGCTCCATTTGAAGCTCCTAGATTGGACAACAATAGGTCCCTGCCCAAGAGCTTAGCTTAAGAGGACCAAGGTCTCCCATTGTGTCCTGAACCACCTCCAGTCATCCAGATGAATATCTGGTCACTGGACCCAGATGGCTCTGGAGGTGGAAGTGAGGCTGGTGACTTTGAACAGCCCTCCCTGACTCAAATCAAAGTCAATTGCAAGTCATGTCATCACCTCCCCAATGTCACAGTCCTATTTGAGAACAGATAAACACAGCAACAATCCAGCAGGACTGACTGTTCCACTCTCCCACTTTGTCTTTGAAAGATATCAGAGACATAGGGGTCCAGGATTGAGCTTGGAGTTGGAATGGAGAGAAGCCAGTCAGGGACTCATTAGTTGTATGTCCTTGGGCAAATTTGACCTCAGTCTTAACTCCTCTGCGCCCCAGGCCTCTTATCTAAAAAATGAGCAGGATTGAACTATATAATCTCTTAAGCTTCTGACTTTACATTCTCTGACTTGGGAAGGATTGGACTGGGTTGCTCATGCTTTCATTGCTAAAATTCTGTTATTCTAAATACCTTCTTCCCATTCTCAGTTTATTCACCCATTCAATTTAACACATATTTTCATGTGCAAATGTTCCTGCTGTGACATTCCTGGAGAGGCACTGTAAAAAGATGTCTGGACTTGGCATCAGAAGAGCCTGGTGTTTGGATCCTGACTCTGATATGTCCTAGCTAGGTGACTTTGGATAGATCATTTACCCTTTAACATTCCCTTTCCTGATCTGTACAATGGGGCTGGAAGAGAGTGTCTCCAAGGTCCCATCCTGCTCTATTGTTCTGCAGTTCTGAAGTTCTGATGAGCTATAAGTTAGACACAGAAACTATATTAACCATCATAAGAGAATGAGATGAAAGCAACTAGAGGTAGTAGAAAGAACAAAGGATTTGGAAGAGGAAGACCTGTATCTTAGACTCAGATTTAGAGCTAGAAGAAGGGACCTTAGAGGTCATTGAGTCTTTATTTGAGAGAAGAGGAAACTGAGGCACAGAGAGCTTCAATAACTTGTCCAAGATCACCTAATCACTAAGGGGAAACACTTGAATTGGAATACCAGGTCTGGGTGGAGCCAAGATGGCGGAGTAAAACCAGTGACTCGCGTGAGCTCTCCCTCAAACCCCTCCAAATACCTGTAAAAATGGTTCTAAATAAATTCTAAAGGAGCAGAACCCACAAAAAGACAGAGTGAAACAAATTTCCAGCCCAAGACAACCTGGATGGTTGATTGGAAAGGTTTATTGCACTGGGCTGGGAGAGGAGCACAGTTCAGCTTGGGCACACGGGAAAGACCAGGCCACAGCAAACTTGGAGCAGCCCTCAGAGGACTGAATCACAGGCAGCTGTGGCAGTTTCCAGACATCTCAACCCATAAACACCAAAGACAACTTAGAAGTCAGTAGGAAAGGTCTGTGACTGAGGTGAGAGAGAAGCTTGGTCCCAGCTCCAGTCCTGGCACAGCAGTGGTGGCTGCTTCCTGAGCTCTCAGCCCACAGACAGAGGGGAGATTGAGTGGCTGACCAGAGGGGGATTGCAGGGATCTCTTTGCTGGTGCTTACGCAGCAATCTCTTGCTTTGCCTGTGCTTAGATCTAGGTCGAAATCCTGAGTGGTGGGCCTGGGTCGACAAGGAGTGCTAGCGTGGTGGAGCTTGTAGTGGTAGTAAAGAGAAAATCCTCCTCACAGTTATATAAGGCAGAAAAGAGTGCTTGTGATCACTTATAGACCAGAGCTCAGACCAAGAAAGGAATAAACACCTTGCCCTTGATCATATCACCTTGGAAGAACTGAAAATTTACAGATCCTTAGAAGCATCTCTGAAAACAGCTGCACAAAACCCCCAAAGCTTGCGACAGTACATTCTTCACACTGGAAGCAGCCCCTTTCTTAATGAAGAGTTTAAAACTCAAGTAATTGTCTGGGAACATGAGCAAACAGTGCAAAAAAATAAAAACTCAGACCATAGAATCTTTCTTTGGTGACAAAGAAGATCAAAACATACAACCAGAAGAAGACAACAAAGTCAAAGCTCCTACATCTAAAGCCTCCAAGAAAAATATGAATTGGTCCCAGGCCATAGAAGAGCTCAAAAAGGATTTTGAGAAGCAAGTAAGAGACATAGAAGAAAAACTGGGAAGAGTGAAACAAGAAAATCATGAAAAACAAGTCAACAGTTTGCTAAAGGAGACCCAAAAAACCACCGAAGAAAATAACACCTTAAAAAATAGACTAACCCAAATGGCAAAAGAGGTCCAAAAAGCCAATGAGGAATATTGGGTCTGCTTCTACCTATCTGTGTCACCTTGGAAACAGAGTCTAACCTCTCTCCTCCACTTTCAAAAATGAGGGGGTTGAAATATAGACACACATATATATGTATACATACATATATAATACATAAATGGTACAATTAGGTATATATACGTAATTCTATATAAGTATATGTAATAAGATATATGTGTGTATATATGTATATGTATACATACATAGAATCCTTATATATGATATAGAATCCTTAGTGTAAACTTCTGGCTATGGGTCCTAAGATCTGACTCTGTTGTTCACTTGATCATAAGGGGATGCTAGGCAAAAAGCATGATAAGAACCAGAGGGTATGTTGATCCTATGACCTTGATTGTACGATCGGCCTCCTGAATAGGGATTCCTGTTCCTATTTCCATAAGTCAGTATCTTCTCCATCAGCCTTGGCCAGGTCTCTAGATTCCAGCACACAGTTCTATGGATAATTCGTGTCTATTCCATTCATTCATTGACCTTTCATCAAACATTGATTATGATATTCCTTAAGCACAGGTCTGACCATGTCACTTCCCTGCTCCAAAAGCTCCAGAGCCTCCCAATTCTTTCTAGGATAAAACACAAACTCTTCTGCTGAGCATGCAAGGCCCTCCCTGCTCTGGTGCCAGCTGACCTTCATACTCCCCTTATACACTCTCCACTCCTGCCAGATGAGCTTGCCCGCTTTTTTTATCTCTCCTCCATTCCATCTCCCATTTTGTGACTTTCCAATTGGCTGGATGAGCTATATTGGGCTTGGTTTTAGTGGTAAGGGTTCTGGTTTTAGAGTAAGAGTCCTGATGTCTAAGGTTTTGCTCCTGGGTTGGGTCACCTAGAGATGAGGGCCTGGTATCTAAGGCTTTGGTCCTGGAGGTAAGAATTTGGGTGTCTGAAGCTCTGATCCCAAGAGGTAAGGATGTGATGTCTGCCCCTTTGTCCTTTAACCTGATTGCCTTGTGATAAGGGCCTTGGAGGTGAGGAAACTGGTTTTTGAGATTCAAATTCCAGAGGTAAAAACATCATGTCTCAGGCTCTGCTTCTGACTTTGAAAGGTCTGATGCCTAAGACTGATCCTGAGTTGTGTCTGTAGTAGAGAGCCTTAGTGTAATTTCACTATTTTGATACAGCTCACATGGAGGCCAGAATAGACTTCTCTAATATCTTCTCCTTCCCACCTTCCCCAAGGGAAACTTTTTATTCCTGCCAGGAGGGGAAGCAGGAGGTTGGGAGCAGAAACTGGTCACTGCTCTCCTTATAGAGAAAAGTATACTTGCTAGGATTATATCAGTCTGCTCCCTTAAATATTGTTAGTCTAGGTTCAAGCTAAACATCTGATTGTTATTCATTAAGGGATAAAAGAGGCCCCCAAACTTTATATCCAAGGCTTGCCCTTTTCCTACAAGTACCAGTTCCACAATGAACACGCATAGCAAAGAAACCCATTCATCCAAGTCTATAGCAAAAAAAAAAAAAATCATAAAAATCACAATATGAGCATATATGCCAGATGATACACTGATTGAAAGAGCTCTCCCCTTGGAAATGAGTTAACTTAGCTCAGCCATGAAAGAGGGAATCTCTGAGCTCACCAGAGGAGGAAAAACATCCCCCAAATCTCTAGTGTGGCAAGCTGAGTAAGGAGGAGACTGCCAGCTCCTCTCACATTGGCTTCTTGCCAGAATTCTTCTCTCTCTTCAATGACCTGAAGAAAGGTTAGCATCACACATCTCCCTTGAAGCTGGAAGTCAGAAGAACCCTCTGCCCTCTCTCATTCTCATCAACTCAACTTTGCCCCCCTCATGCAGGTGCATAGCATTGATTTCCACTGAGGGAGAATCCCATACCAATGGGCTTGGAGCTCAAGTTACATTAGCAATATTGTATCAAGGTAAGGAAGAGTAGCCCTATACTCCAAGGCGGTCAGTTTTGGGATGGAGGGCAGTCACCCAGGGTCCACAAACACATACCTTGGGCTCCCCAATAATGACTCAATGGCATCCTTTCAATATGGATTTTCATCTGCTCTTTGGGTCAACTACAATTTTGACTTTTTTTTTTTGAAAGGGGGTAGGGAGGAGTAGATTGTGCTTTTCCAAGATCCACTGCATCCCAGTATCCCCAGGAGAAAATTTTTTGACAAAATACCATAAAACAGTGATAAAATGGTGTTTGGTTGGTTGTTGTTGTTAGTGGCGGGTTATTGTTTTGTCTGTTTATGTGTGGGAGTAGCTTGCGGCCATTCAAAACCTTACAATTTCTTAAGTACAATCCAGCCCGTTTTCCTTCCTCTATTCAGCTATGGTCCCTAGTCATTGTCCATCTCAGGAGCTGTCCCAGGTACATGCATCATTGGACAGTGGGCTGCCTATTGAGCTGTGTGCTATAAAATTGATGATGAGGAATTTTTCATTTCCTACGTGGATGGTTGGGCTGATTCTCTTTGGAGTGGTTGTAGATATTGCTAAAGAGGCTTTCAGTATTCTGGGGCTTGATGCAATCAGCACAATGTTATCCACAAAGAGGAGCATCTGGAATACTTCATCATCCCCAGGGATTTCACCTTTTATTTGTATTCTGCACTGCATATTCACCATGGCAAAGGTGAATGCCTTGGGCCAGCACCCATCTTCTTGTTTTATGTCATGCTTGATTTTAATTAACAGTGAGAGGATCATGAGGAAGGGGTGAATCAACTTCAAATTTTAGACCTGCAAATGCCACATTTACCTTTGTCCCAAAATATATAAGGAGCAAACCTAGGGACTGAGCATTCTGCCCAGAAACCCCTTCTAAGAGGAAGGCAGGAGAGTCAGCACAAGCAGAGATCTGTGACACCACTGGGAATAGGAAATGCCAAGGACTATGGTCAATTAGGTCTGACTGCCACCCTTTCCCTTGGATAAACTCCTTTTCAAGGATATTTTCAAGGATAAACTCCTTGGCTAACACTCTCTGGATTTGTCCTCACAGATGGCATCAAATGATGACTTTGGCTCATATTATCCTGGCAATCCTCAACCTGGGGACCTGATTGAAGTATTTCGTCCAGGTTACCAGCACTGGACTTTATATCTGGGTGATGGCTATGTCATCAACATGGCCCCAACAGGTAAGAGCCTTGCCCAATTATTTCTTTTAAATGATATATTTTCATTGTTATCTTTTAAGATATATTTTCATTGTTATTTTTTGCTTTTCTGATACCTAATACTAATTTCCCATTGTGTCTGTCCACCTCACCCTGACTAAGAAAGACATCCTTTATAAATGAACCAACATGTCAAAAAAAGTCTGATTCATATGTATTTTTACATGCCCATGGTCCTCCACCTCTGCAAAGAAGCAGGAGAGATGTCTTCTCATGTTTCTTTGGAGTCAAACTTGTTCATTCTAATTTTACAGCATTCTGTTTTTTGTTTTTTGTTTTGTTTTCATGAGGCACTTGGGGTTAAGTGACTTGCCTAGGGTCACATAGCTAGTAAGTGTCAAGTGTCTAGTCTGAAATCAGATTTGAACTCAGGTCTTCCTGACTCCAGGACCAGAGCTCTATCTACTGAGCCACCTCACTGCCCTCTAGCATTCAGTTTTGATTATGTTGCTGCTGTTGTTTCTATTTTGTCAACGTTATCTATATTGCTTTTTCTGGTTCTGCTTACTTCACATGACATCAGTCCATACAAGTCTTTCCATGATTCTTTGTGTTTATCATAATCATTGTTTCTTATAGCACAGTATTAGGTTACTGTATCCTCATAGCACAATTTGTTTTAGCTAATTGATTATTTATTTCCCCTGAGTTACATAGGACTATGACTTTAAAGATCAAATGGGCCTTAGAGGTCATCTAGTACAATCCCTTCATTTTACAGATGAAGAAACTGAGGCATAGAAAGGTTACATGACTTTCTTAAGGCTGCATAATAAGTAGATGGAAAAATCAGGATTTGAACTCAGCTCTTTGACTCTAACCAAATCCAGCACTCCACTGCCTCCCATCACTTCCCTTTGTAAGTGCTTTTCCTAGTACAATAGGGAGAGTAATATCATTAGCTCCCACCTGAAGCTTCTCCTTGAAAAATTGAAGGAGTATTAAGGAGTGGGGGTGGGGATGAATAGGGGCTGTAAGCATTTCCTTTCATTTTGAGATTACTTATTATAAACTTAATTATTAAAATGTTATTATCAATTTATTATAAACTTAATGTCAAGTGTCACTATTCAACTTTCTTTGCAACTACCTAGAACCACATCAAACATTCTAACAACTTGCCAGGATTTCTCTCTCTGTCTCTCCTACATTTGTCCATTCCCTTCCATCTCCTCTTTCTCAGACTGGGAACAGTGGGTGTGTGGGTGTGTGGGTGGGATGTGGGAGTGTGTGAGGCCCCTCTTCTCCTGCTTCATTTTGTTCTTTCTCTGATTTGTTTCACAAAGGTCCTTCCAGAATTCTTTTTGCATTCCTCATAACCCTCCTATGTGTCAATCTTCACCACATTCGAGAATTGCATTACATGAATGTGGTAGGATTTATTTAAACATCATATTGTTGCTGGTAGCTTCTTTTTCTTCTTATTTACAAATAATTCTGTTGTGAACTATATCTGTTTTCTTTTGGCTCATGATCCCGAACTCTTTACATATAGAACAAATTCTCCTGGATTGGCCAATTCTCAGGGATAGCTAGGACCTGTATTCTGAGAACAGGAAGGCTATCCAATAACATGAATGAATTCCACGGTTCTTTCTTAAGTGGTACTAGGTGCCAGGCCCTGGGCTAGCCTGAGGATACAATGACAAAAAGACAACAGTCCTTGCCCTCCAGTAGCTTGCGTTCTACTGGGTCATTTTGTTGCCAAATGGCATGCAAGTTATTTGGGGTTTTATTTGTGTTTTTCTTATTATTTGCATTGGTTTTTTATTATTTGTATTTGTTTTTATTACTTGTACTTGTGGTTTGTTGTTATTGTTATTGTCATTGTCATTGTCGTGGTCATGATGATGATGATGATGGTGATGGTGATGGTGATGGTGATGATGAAGGTGATGATGATGATGATGATGGTGATGATGATGATGATGATGGTGATGATGGTGATGGTGATGGTGATGGTGATGGTGATGATGGTGATGGTGATGGTGATGGTGATGGTGAAGGTGATGATGATGATGATGATGATGGTGGTGATGGTGATGGTGACAATGATGATGATGATGGTGATGGTGATGGTGATGATGGTGATGGTGATGGTGATGGTGATGATGGTGATGGTGATGGTGATGGTGATGGTGATGGTGATGATGGTGATGGTGATGGTGATGGTGATGGTGATGATGGTGGTGATGATGGTGATGATGGTGGTGATGATGGTGGTGATGGTGGTGATGGTGATGGTGATGGTGATGATGGTGATGGTGATGGTGATGGTGATGGTGATGGTGATGGTGATGATGGTGATGGTGATGGTGATGGTGATGATGGTGATGATGGTGATGATGGTGATGATGGTGATGATGGTGATGATGTCCTTAACTCTACAGTGCTAGAAGAGTAAACGTGAATCTTTTTAATTCTCAGAATCATTGCTCAAAGCAAAGGGAGGTGGAGAGGCACAAGACTGCTTGGCCCTCGTAGGTGACTGTCCTCTCTTTCCTCACTTCCCTTTCAGAGGACAGCTCCCCTGTTCCATTTACAAGTGCTAAATCCGTATTTAGCAAAAAGGCCCTGGTACGGATGCAGCTCTTGAAAGACGTAGTGGGGACCGACACTTACAGGATCAATAACAAATATGATGATGTGTACCCGCCGCTGCCACTAGATGAAATCATCCGCCTGTCGGAATTCCTTATTGGCCAGGAGGTGTCTTATGACCTGCTGGTCAACAACTGCGAGCACTTTGTGACTTTGCTCCGATATGGAGAAGGGATTTCAGAGCAGGTAACTCCCTTCTCTGCCTCTCTGGAGCTTTGGCTTATGATCTTCAGAGAACTGATACAGTTATCTGGAAGGGGAAGTTTCTGCCCTTGGGGAAAATGTGTTTTCTTTTTTCTTGGCGAGTTCAAGAGGGGAGCAGTAGAAGGCATATTTATTGACTCTGGCATGAGGTGACCTGGGTTCTAATACTGCCTCAGACACTTCCTTTCTGTGCAACCTTGGTATAGTCATTTACCCTCTCTGAGCTCCAGCTTCCTTATCTGCAGAATGAGGAGGTTGTTACTAGGCTTCTTAGAGGTGCCTTCCCACCTTGGGTCTGGGATCTCTCTCTAAGCCCCAAACCCATGGCTCCAGCTGTTCCCAGGCTTGCTCCGCCTGGACCTCCCCTGTGCATCCGCTCCTCAACCTGTCTAAAAACAAGTCAATTATCTTTGCCCCAGCCCTGCTTCCATTTCCAGGCTTCACTGCTTCTGGTAGTGAGATCACCAAGCACCCAGTCTCCCCAGTTTAGAACCAATGTCGGGTCTCTCTCTCCCTTTGGATCTGTCTCTTTCCCTTTCTCTAAATTCCAGTCGATCAGTAAGTCCTGACATCGCTCCCTCCACAGCATGCAGATGACTGATTGCTCCTTCTAAACCCACTGCCACCAGCCCTGTGCAGGTCACAGTGAACAAATAACTAGCATTTGCACAGGGCTCAAAGGTCTGCCAAGGACTCTGAAGCACATTAGCTAAATGGAACCTAGAAAGACGTTCAGTGTCAGTGCTGCTAATAGTCAAGTTCAGAAAAGATAACTGACTTTCAGGAAACACAGCTAGCAAGTGTTTAAACAAGTAAGATTGAATCCAGACCTTTCTGACTTTAAGGGTAATGTTATGATAATCACAGTTAGCATTTACATAGCACTTGAAGGTTTACAACCTACTTTTCACAGTTATCACATCCAATCCTCTCAACAACTCAGGGAGGTAGGTGCTATTACTATCCCCATTTGACAGATGAGCAAATTGAGGCTGAGAGAGATTGAGTGATTTGCCCAGGGTCACACAACTAAATGTCTGAGGCTAGATTTGAATTCAGGTCTTCCTGACTTCACGCCTGGGGCTCTTTCTACTGTACCACTTAGCCGTCTATATCATGATGAGATTGATAGAGACTGCCCTTAAGGCAAGGTATGACTAAACTCCTTTGGGGGAAGGGATGGCCCCCAGACTGGTTCATTTTAGTTGTCTGCATGAGAAGTTAACTTGACAAGATAGTATGCACCAACACTGACTTTTCATGAAATTAGGGGAAGTGGATCAACCCAGTCACATGCCCAGATTCCCTTACACTCCTTCCCTGTCCCCATGGGCTGTTGTTCCTCACAGTAAATGTAACACCAAGATACTCTCCTCTGCATTGACCCAGCCTCTACAGCTTGCCCCCTCTCCAACTTATTTGTGTGGGTTTGGACTTCGAGTTCTTTTGGGGAATTAAGAAAAATTTCATCATCTTCACAGATGCATGAAAGCCACAGTAGAAATGACCTTTATCTTGAGCAATGGAAAGGAAGGACTGGAGGAACAGGCTGCCACTGGGACCACTGAATCTTCTTCCAAAGGAGACCTTTTCGTTTCATTTTCTTTCTTTACAGGCCAACCGAGCTATTGGTGCCATTGGGATTGTAACTGCTGCTGCCGGCGCCTTCTCCCTCCTTGGCTTGTTTCCGAGCAAACAAAGGCAAAAACACTATTAACAATTTATTGGAGAAATCTTAGAACTGATGCAATTGTGAGAAAGCAGCCAGCCATGGGGTGAATTTTCCCTGAGTCACTGATGCCCCTAAACACGGGCTCAGTAACACCCTGGCTGTGCTCATCCCCCTTGCCCAGCTTCTGTGTTGCTGAATGCTTTGGGTGCCCTGTACTGATATGCTATGGGTCTGTGGGGATGGGGGAGGGGCTCCTCAGCCAGGGCAACTTTTGAGGTTTAATCATAGGAGACTATTTTCTTTTCCCAAAGATGGTTTCTTTGTATTTATTACATGGGCAGAGAACTGCCTTCTGCCATAGTCCCAGACTAAACCCAGCCCCTCAAGTGCCAACTCTTAGAAAGGAGGGAAATCCATAGTAGTATGGAAAGATGTACTGGGTCAGTAGAAGTCACCTCTATCCACTGGGAAGGCAGCATTGGACTAGAAAAGTTTCCCTGAAGCCCCTTCTGGCTCTTAATTCCTGAGTCTAAAAGCCACAGCCTGTGAGGGAGGTCCGACATTTTGAGCCTTCTTCACTTTCCATTGTTAAGCCAGGTCTGGATCTAGGGGCTTTCTCTGTCCCTGAGGTCTGGGGTGGGGGAATCCTCTGATGGTGTAGACCCAAGGTGCCCATTGAAAGGTTTCTTAAAAGCCAAACTTCTAAAAACCATCATCCTACAATATGTTGTTTACAGGAAACACATTTGAAATACAGGGACACACACAGGGTAAAGGGAAAAAGCTGGAATAGGATATCTTATACTTCAGCTGAAGTAAAAAAAAAAAAAGCAGGGGTAGCAATCCTGATCTCAGGCAAAGCAAAAGCAAAAATAGATCTTATTAAAAGAGATAAGGAAGGAAACTACATCCTGCTAAAAGGCACCATAGACAATGAGGTAATATCATTACATATATGCACCAAATGTTATAGCATCCAGATTCTTAGAGGAGAAGTTCAGGGAGTTACAGGAAGAAATAGACAGCAAAACTATACTAGTGGGGGGGACCTCAACCTCCCCCTCTCTGAACTAGATAAATCTAACCACAAAATAAACAAGAAAGAAAAACCAGACTTCTTGATCTGGTGACAAGGTGTAGGAAGAAGTGCCATAGACTTGGGAATCAGGAGATAAACCCCACCTGAGACACAAAGGCTAGCAGCCTTAGCTTGGAGATCTCAAGGAGGGGGGAGCACACCCCCCATCCACTCCTCCACAGACAGAACTTTCCATTTCAAGTCTAAATGTGCCTTCTTACAGGCTCATAAACCCCAAGCTGGAGAGGTTAGATCATGAGTATGAAGAACCTCCTAGGTGAGGGAATTCCCTCCACCAAGGCAGTTGCTGCCTTCTAGCCAACTAACAGTCCAAATGAGGTGTCTGGAGCTGTAGCATCAAAACCCAGTTGGAGACAGGAACCACTAAATAATTCATAAGGATCCCTGTGGCTGCATATGACTTAGAAAAACATATATAAACATTAACCTAGGGTCTATCATATTTTTATTTGTTTTGTGAAATATCTCCCAATTACATGCTAACCTGGTGCACATCAGTAGTGTTTGACACCTCTGGTCTAGAACTCCTGGGTCCCACAGCCAGGATATATATATTAGAGACAGACATGAACCCAGGTCTCCCTGCTTCCAGGCTGGTTCTCTACCCTCTACTCAACCCTGCCTCTAAAAAAAAGGGGAAGGGACTGCATGCCCCCTTTAACAGTAGCCCCACCCAGAACAAGGCAATATGTAAAAACTTGTCCTCAGCAGTGGAGTCCACAGAGCTATTTCCTACCCTGTTGTTCTCAGCTCCCAAGCCTCCTTCCAGGGGCATGGCCCAATGCTTCCAAATGCTGTCTGTCTCTTCCACTCCAATCCAAATCCCATATCTTTTTGTGCCCTGCTCCTAGACAAGTGCCAGGGAGGTAAGCAAGGGCTCAGGATGTCACGTTATGATGTAACCAATGGCTTACGTATGAAGCCTGCCACAGCTTATGGGCATTCTAAGAGAGGAAGCCTAGATAGTGTCATAGTGCTAATTATCACAATAATAATAAACTGGGCATTCCATGCCAAAGCCCTTCACATTCATCATCTCCTTTGACCTTCACAAGAATCCTGGGAGCTGAGGGCTACAGGTATTATCACCTTCCCCAATTTACAGATGAGGAGATGTCCCCTCATAGTGTCTGGTAAATATCTGAGGGGTGTTACCCAGTTCTTCCCTCTACACTGTGGTCAGTCAAATATGTGAGACTCTAAAGTTGGAATTCCATGCAGTTCTATTTTGAGGAGAGTGAGGGAAATATGAAGTGGGCTGTGACCAGAAAAGCCTTCCTGGCCCCTGTGAAAGACCTCCTTTCTAGGGAGGGGCCTCTCTGATGCACCTCCTGATAAGCTCTGCCTGGTGCAGCTGGTTCATTCTTCAAACTCACCTAATTATAACCCTGGCTTGGTTTTCAGGGGCTTTGCCCAAGGCTCCTAGGGTTTCAGTTTTCTTTCCCAGGAGAGTGCCTGGCTAAATTGGTCACCATTTTGAGGCAGCATTTTCGTATGGCTCTTCTCATGTTACATGTATTTTCGTGGCAGGCACTATGGCTTGATTACAGGGGGTGCTTCTTTCTGATAGATAATTAGGTTGCTGATGAATTTGGGATGGTGTAGATGGTGCAGTTTGGGCTTTCTTCCTTTGGAGTAATTTTATAAAAGGCACCATGAGAGATACTGTGGTTGAGGGCAGAGAGCACTGGACCTGGAGTCCCAAAGACCTTGTTCCATTCCTACTTCTGATACTCTCTCGATCTCTGAGCCTGAGCGTGTCATAGTCCCTGTGAGCCTCAGGCAAGCCTGAGTCCACAAGGTAAATATGGCATGTGAGCATAGCATTATCTCACAATAAACAAGACTTGAGCAACGATGTCCTCCTTCAGAAATGCTGAGCTGAGCGGTTGTTAACTGAGTCAGAAAGGCAAGAGCCTTCCTGACATTCTGTGATAGCCCACCTGAAATGAAGAAGCCTGTGTATTTAATCAGGAGAACTTGTACTCACCCCCTTTACTCTCCCCAAAGGCCCTCAACAGAAGAGACCTCAGCAGTCACACAGTGCAGCCTCCTCACTTTCTGGACCTTGTAAGGTATGGCTGATGTTCTGCGTTCAGGAAGGTCCGATACATAGAACTCTGGACTGGGCATCAAAGGACCTGGCTCAGCCACTGACCACTCGTGTGACCTTGACAAAGTCCTTCAACCAATTTGGGCCTCAGTTTCCAGCTCTGTGAAGTGAGAGAACTGGGCTAGACCCGAGGTCTCTTCAGCCCGAAAATCGATGATCCTCAAAGTGAATAGAGGTGGTGTGGCCCAGTGGAAAGAGCCGATTGTGAGTTTCAGGCTTGATGCTTTCTCAGCAAGTCTAACCCCATAAGTTTCCTCATCTGTCAAAATGGGTTGTCCTGTGGAAACCACTTTGTAAGCCCCAAATACTGTAATAATGTGAGTCTGTGACTGCCCTTGGGCTCTCTTTTCCTAGAGGCATTCCCAATGAAGCTTGAGGACCAGAAATGCCTGACTAGGGGCAGCCAGACCACCCAGAGCACCCAAGGTCTTAACCTGGTTTTCTGGGTGGAGGGAGGGGCAGGACTAGAAAGCTGAGCTTTGCACATGGATAATTTAGCCCGGGGATGCTGAGCCACCATCTACTTTGAAGAATCTTAGATGTAGATCTGGAAGGGAACTTCAAAGCTATCCATCCCATTCTCACACATTACAGGTAAAGAAACTGAGGCACAGAGTTATTTGCATAGGGTCACAGAGCTTTAAGTGTCTGAGACAGTAAGTAAACATAGATCTCCTTGATTCCAAGTCCAATGTTTTCCTATTTCACCCCGCCTCTCATAGTTTGACAAAATGAAACATTTCTCTTCAACATAGAGTTCCCACTGCTGCCAGGGGCTATTGAATTAGACAGATGGGACCAATATGAGCTCATGCTTAGGAGTGCTAGGCCTCATAGGACATTGATACATTTGGCCTCCTTTGAAAATTTTCTGCTTTTCAAACAAAGCATCTCCCTGAATCAAGAACTTGTCTTTTGAACATGAATGTTTATCTGCTGGTGCTGCATGACTCTGAGTCATGGGATACACAGAGACTGTGAAGAATTCAAGCTGTGGGTCCCCAAAGGGCAGTGGTGATGAGGGTGATGGGTGTGAACAGGCTGTGGCATGGTACCTGTGAATGTGTAAACACAAATGATATCAGCAGAGAGGCAGGGGAAACAGAAAGACAGCAAAGAGCAAGAGATGGATGGCTTGCATTTCCTGCTGGTAGTCACCCAATGTCCGGAGAGCTAGAGAAAGGCCCCCAGCATGTTGAGCAGAGCTCCTGTGGATCATGCATGGGGAGGGCACAGGCTGGAGTTGCCCAAAATGAGAGAAAATCATGGATGAGCTGCAACCTGTGTCATTGGAAGGAATTCATGAGAGTCTGCTGAGTGTTTAGGTCTATGTCTACCTTTACTGCCACTGATGCATTTGTGCTGTTCATCCTCACACTGCTGAAGATACAGAGATGTGTTGTCAAGAGGATTCTTGATCTGGTCAGTTTTAGGTTGGACTGGATGGGCTCCAAGGTCCCTTCTAGCTCTGCAGTTCTGGGGAAAAGGTCAGTGGAACCTTTGCATGTTAGTGAAGACTTTGGGTGACCCAAAGATTGGGGAACCCCTACTCTATTGAGTGACATCAAATCTATATGGCATGATGCCAGTCACACATAGGTACTCAATGATGCTTGGCTCTCCAGTTCCTGGTTTCATTAAATAGCCAAGGTTGGATTTATGACTTTTGCTGATCTTCCCAAATATGGGGATAGCTCCATTAGAAGAGGGCTGTGGAAGAGGAGAAGCATTAAGGAGAATTATTATCAATGGAACTGAATTAAATTTGCTGTCTTTGAATGAGATGGACAAGTACACACACACACACACATTCAAATACAAAGACAACATGTGCACTGGAACACTCTTCAGGGCCCTTCATTTGGCCTCTCAGAGAGGAGCATATAATTCACTAGGACAGCAGGTCATTCACTATGTGAAAAATTGGCTGGATTTGGACATGAATCATTGGAAACTCCTTTAGAGATGTTTTTTAAAAAAGAATATTAGCCAGGTGTGGAGATAACCCACCTGTAATCCCTGCTGCCAGATGGTAGATGGTAGGCTGGTATATGGCTAGCGCCCAGGATTTCTGAGCTGCAGTTGGGCTAAAGCCAATTGGTTGTCCACACCTGAGAGTGGGGAGTAGGGTGGTGTACCAGGCTGCCTAAGGAGTGTACTAGCACATCAAAGCTCCCATGCCAATCAGGCCTATTAGTGGCTGCTTATATATCTAGCCTAAGCAAGATAAGTCTCAATAATAATAATAATAATAATAATAATAATAATAATAATAATAATAATAATAATAATGCATGACAGTCAACCTTCTCCTAGATTCTAAATGTATCTCCATTGAAGAACACATAAATAATTTGTTCCTTTAAGGAGATGAAGTAGGCAAATCTACTTCATGAGACAAATTTATTGGAGAACATGGTCAAAAGTCATCCAAGGTAGAGAGGCATGTATGGGTTGCAATCTGCATCTTTGGAGGGAGTACCCACATTGATGAAGTCACATGAAGTCCAATTATAGCAGAAGCATTTTTAAACCTTTATCAATTCCATCACTGAACTATAATATACGTTTCAGAATGGTGAGTGTCAATCCAGGCCCTCATGCCAAACTTGGCAAAGGACCTTCTCTCCTAGCACCCCCAGGAATGCCTTTGAGAGATCCCCTCCTTCTAATGGAGGCTGCTTGAATGGCTGTCTGCCCACACTATGCCTATATGCTGGTAACAGATTAGCACACACCTGCCATCTCCCAGGACGCTTTAATCTTAATATAGTCGAGACCAGACTTCCGTCAAAAGTGAGGCTGCAGATTCACATTTGGAATTCTACTAAGAAAGTGACTAAAGCTTCCCTACCCTTTGACTCAGAGAGCCCCCCCCACCCCTGCCATACCCCAAGGAAGTCAAATCCAGCCTCATGTGCACCAAAGTACTTATTGCAGCCCCTTTTTGCAGGGTAACAAAGAACTAGAAACAGAGTAGATTGACCAAGGAATGGATAAGCAGATTGTGATACCAGAATGTGATGGACTGTTACTGGTCCATGAGGAACATGAATATGATAATCACATGGGGTGACTTAGATGAACTGATGCCCAGTGAGGTAAGAAAAACCAGGAAAATAACAAACACAATGACTGCCACAATGTAAATGGAAAGAATACACCCAAAAAATGAAACTTAGACACTGCAGTTATAATGACCAAGCTTTCCTTGAAAAAAGAGATAGAAAAATTCCCTTCCCCCTCTCCTGCAGAGGTGAAGGACTGCAGGTGGGGAACACGGCATATATGGTCAGACTCAGTTAATGTGTCGGTTAGTTTTGAGGAGCTGATCTTTTCCCTCTCTTAAAATTCTCTGTTACAAGGACTGGCCTTCTGGGGAACAGGTATAAGAGGAATTTACTTGGAAATGAAGATAATGTTACAAAAGAGGTCAGTAAATTATTTTTACTCTTCTATTTAGACTTTACATAAGAAAAGGGGACAAACAGGACATTCTTTTTTACCCAACTAAGTATATAGACCCACAAGTACAATAACAATAGCCCATAGCTAATGATGACAATCATACTAGCTCACATTTATATTGCTTTAAAGTTTGCAAGGCACTTTACACCTGTTATCTCATTTCATTTTTACAACAACCCCAGGAGAAAGGTGATATTATTTCCATTTTATAGATGAGGAAAATAAGAAAGGTTAATTGATCTGCCCAGAGTCACACAGCTAGAAAATGCCTAGTAAAGTGGAATTTGAACTCAGGTCTTCCTGACCCCAAGTCAACAGTCAATCCACTGTACCACATCAATGCCCTGCAGATGAATGTCCCTCTGAAAAAAGTTGGGATAATTCTTTAAGGGGAACCAACACCTTAAAGATCATGTGATTCTAGAACACTCAAATTCTGTTTGAAAAGTGACCAAATTAAAACTAGTCCGGTCTGTTTCTTCTAATGCTCATCCATGGCCACCCAGAAAAGTGACAGGATTCCAAAAGGATAAGGCTATTTAGGCACTGAATAACCTTTATTAGAAATAAATAACTTTCCTTGAGACTCAGTGTCTCTGTGCTGGAGGACACAGTCCCACCTGGCATCTGTTGTGTTTTCTCTTGGGAGACACTTAATTCACAGGGAAAGTTCTTTTTGATCCTTGTCTGAGGAGGGCCAAAAAACTGCACAGAATCGCATCCCTTCTCCTCCAGGTTGTACTTGATCAAAACAGATGCTTCTCCTCCGCAGGTCAATCAACAAAGCCTGGCAAGGTTTGACATGAGTCAGGTAAGGCCTGGGTTTCAAAGCCGGGTCCAGAAATGCTGCTCCGTGCTACGCCTTATGACATCACCTGTCGGAACCGGTGTTGACTCACTGTTTTCATAGGCAGGGTTGACATAGAAACCGTTTTTGCCTTCTACTGAGTAATCCATCCTATTTGTAGGGGGCCAGCTGGGGTCCTGCGCCAGCTTCCTCTGCCATTTCCGATACTGACTCTTAGAATGTACCCCCCATTTTTTCTTGATCAACAGCCAGAACGCTCGGTTCTGAAGGATGGCATCCTGCAAAGTCAAGGGCATTTATTGATACCAAAGGAGAAAATAAGCCATACTCCCCATTACCTACCCCCTTTCTCCCTCATGTGTAGCATGTCCCTCAACCACCCTTTCCCTCCTTCCTCCCTTGCCCGTGAGACCATCCACTATGCCAGCCCCTTTCTTTGGGACTGTTGCAGGAGTTCTCCCTTGAAAGACTCTCCTAAGACTAGTAGACTGCCATCCCTCCCCACCTCCTTCTCCCCTCCCCACCCCAGCTGAAATGGTCATGGAATCTCAGAGTTGGAAGACACCTCATTGGTCCAACCTGGCTAAGAACTGGCCCTAAAAATCCCTTGATGACCAGTAGTTAGCCAGCCTCTGTTTGGAGACCACTACCCCCCAAAACAACTCAATCCCTGCAGACTCTGGCCTTGCCCCACCCCACCCCACCCAAAGCGAACATGCCCAGTCTCTCCAACATCTATACATGCGGCCATCAAATACTTGAAGATAGTTCTCACTCCCACCCTGAGCCTTCTCTTCTTCTAGGCTAACCAGCCACCATTCCTTCATCCAGTCCTGACCTGGCATGGGCCCAGGGCCCTTTGATGTCCTGGGGGCCCTTCTTGTTTGGCTTTCAAGGTGTTCTTAATGAAATTTTAGGGAACACTGCTTAGGACTTCAACTTTGTAATGTCTGCTATAACACAGCCCACACTAAAAACCAAAGACAGTCTTGGTTGAGATGGAGAATTCTCTCTTCAAATCAGGCATGAAAGGGCTGTGATTGTTCTTTACCCACCCCAATCCACAAGTCTATCAACTGTTAGAAAAAGTTCGTGATCCCAAACTTTGGTAAGTTTTTACCTTCTCTAGTCCAGGTCCCAGGCTCACCATGCCGCAGCTGGGTTATGTCTACACCATGCTCCCTATAGCTCCAGCCTTCTCCTCCTCTGCCCAGAACTTAAACTCCCACCCCTGTGACCCAAGGCTCTGACTGGTGAGCTTCCACATTATCTAGTCCTGGTAGCAGTCCGTTCCTACAGTCTGGCCATTACCTTGCCTCCTCTCCCAACTCTAACTTCATTATGTGGGCTGTCTCCCCCATTAGAATATAAGCTTCTTGAGGGCAGGAATTATTTTCTTGCTTGTTTTCTATCCCCAGTACTTATCACAGTGGATGGCACATGGGAAACCTTGCTTAATTCTATTAATTCATCCTTTACTGAGAGACAGAGTTCCCTTCCTTCAGAAAACACATATTCAATCTTTGGTATCTCTTTCTTTCTTCTTTCTTTAAAAAATAAAAGTAACAAGTTTGACTTCAGAAGAACTGGAATTGAATGCTGGCTCTCCTACTAACGTACAACCTGTCTGACCTTTACCTCCCTGGGCCTCCCTTTCTTTATCTGGAAAATGAAGGGGGTTGATGAGATGACCTCTCAGTTCCCTTCCAGCTTTGAATCTCATGACCCTATGAACATTTGTCTGTGAACGGAAAAGGAAAGAATTGGGACAGACCATAGTGTGGCCATCAACTTGCGTAAGTAATGTCCCACCTTCTGAAGAGGAGATCTGGTAAAGATGGCAGTTCAGTGTCAGAGAGGCCCAATTTCCCTTTTTAAACTCTGGCTTCTGTTCCATTGTGTTGAACCATCCATGGCCATCCTAGCTCCCAATTAAATGCATGCCCATCCAGTGGGAATATTGGTACTTTGGTAATCCTGCTTTCCTTACTTCTCTGGGGAGGTTCAGCCTCTCTCCAGATAATTAGGCCTTTCCTAATTCCTAACTTGGCAGTGCTTCCCTCCCTCTTCCCCCCTCCTTCAGCCTCCATTGAAATTACTTTGCATTAACTTCATACAGATTTTTTCAGTTTATTTATCTGTGCACATCATTTCCCCAAAACAGATTGTAGGCTTTTTGAGGGTAGGAGCTATTTCATTTTTGGCTTTATATTCCAGTGCCTGCCACACAGTAAGTGCTGAATAAACATTCATTAATTGAATTAAATTGAAGTTACTCTGAGATTTTCTATTTTTTTTTTACTCCGAGATTTTCAAGAGAAGCATCCACACTCCCTAAACCTAAAATTTCAGTGAACACTTGCAGACATTTAAGGAAACTTGTTCCACAAGAACACAGACCATCGTTAAATAACTTTATAAGCTGAAACAGTCAGCAGGGAACACGGTCTTACATCTCCAACCTTTGTTTCCTTGTCCCCCAGACCCTGGGCTCACCTCCACAAAAAATGCCACACAGAAGTGGACAAGCGATGCTGCAAGAACCGAGATCCTCCACGTTGTGATTGTTGGGATGAGCTGTTCAGAAAGGGGAGCATGTCTCAAAGTTACAAGTTTGTCCCACAACAACCATTCATGTTTATGGAGTGTTTCAAGACAGAGCTATGACTAGCACAAGACCAGTGGAGCTCTGTCCCAGGCCCACCGCCACTCTAGGGGTAAGGGGGAATCCTTCCTTTGCCCAGAGACTTCATCCCCACCCATAGCTGATCTTGTTCAATGGTTCTAGCTATCCCACAACCCCCAGGGTCCTCTTATAGTGCCCCTCCACAGGGGGCCCTTTCCACCCGAGTGCAAGAATCAAGCTACTGCTCTGTGCACCCAAATGTCTGAATCCAAGGACAATTGCCATTTTTGCCACCTTGTCCTCCCTCTCTCCCAATCCCCACTTCCCACTCAACTGTTGTTAGCCCAGATGAAAAATTCCTAATTATAGTGCTGCTCTTGGGTCACAAAACATTTTGTTCAGAGCAGCCTCGCAAGGTAGGCAATGTACCTCAATTACCTCCATTTTATAATGAAATGAGGCTCAGGGTGGTTAAGTGTTGTGTTCAGGGTCACACAGCAATCTATGTAATAGATATCAGGCCTTCTAACTCCAAGACCAGTTAGCCTACTCCATTCCATATGGACTTCCTATTATACCATAAGAAACCTTATAAGATATTGTTCCTTTTATGCCTTCAAAACTGAGAAAAAAGAGCATTAGGCTGTTTTCCACAAAACAAAGCTTACTTGAAACTTGTTGCTAGAACAACCCAAGCTTGAAAAATTAGATAGTGGAATGAGTATATTTTTTATAAAAAATATTTTTCAAGTGTCTTAAATGCAAGTTTACCTGAATCTACGACTTTCATAAAAGTCCTTAATTTTTTTGCTCCCTTAAAAACACACATACACACAAAAGGAATGAGGGGTGATTAGAGATTCCCCCAGATATGGTCAAGGGAAAGTAACACCCATAAGTGCCACAAGGTGGTGGGGCAATTCTATTGTCCTTTTATCCCCACTAGCCCAGATGTGGTCAGCAGCTGTTGGCAGTCAATGACTGCTGGGGTGGCTTAGGGGGACAGGGACAACATAAGAGGCTGGCATCTCTTGGATCCTCATGCCAAGCAGCCATTTAATCCCATCCCTTCCTTCTCTTGGTCCTTCTTGGAGTCATTTCAAAGCCCTAGGTTGTTCCCTGCCTTTTTATCCAAATAGAAACATGTCCTTTATCCAACTTGTTCAATATTGTAAATGGAATAGAAGAATGAAGAATGTAAGCCTCTTGAGGGAAGGGACTATTTTATTTCTACCTTTGTATCTGCTACACCCATCAGCTGCATAGTGGATGCTCAGTACATACATGCTTGTTGAATCGAAGAATCGTTTGTGAGAGGATGGTCCAATAAAGCATTCAAGGAGAATCTAGAGGGAACTTGTCCCTCTCCATTCCCACTGTGATTACCCAGCACTACATGATTACTTCCTCCAGGACCCAGCATCTTTTTCCTAACTTATTTTGCTAAACTTCTAACTAGCCTTCCTGTCTTTCCCTACTCCATATGCCAGGACTTCAAAACTGTAAGCAGAAGATTAACCAAAAACAATCCTTTCCACTGATACATTTATTTTTCAATATCTTTTATTCTATCAGTATAATATGAGCTCCTCGCAGGCAGGGACCATTTTTTTCATTTTTGACTTTGTATCTCCAATGCCTTGTGCGATGTACTTCCATGCAGTAAGTACTTAATAAATGATTTTTAAATTTAGTTGAATTGAAATATACTATCTGCACATCACTGTGCTAGAGACATCACTCTCTGTCTCAGAAGCCTTTGATGTCTTCTGATTGCCTGTAGCACAGTCTAAGCTCCAATTCTTGGCATTCACAGCTTTCCACTGCAATCTAATCCTAAGTCCTACCTGATCTGCAGGTAGGACTCTTCTCTTCTTCTCCTCATTCTCTCTGAATCCTCCTCCTTCCCCCAATCACATATTTCTGCAATCTCATATTTCTACCTCCAAAATTTTGCTCATGCTGTTCTGGCTGTCTGGATTGTCTTTTTCTTGCTTCTTTAGCTAACCAAAATTTACACATGTGTCAAAATTTAACTTAATTTCCATTTCATTCGTGAACTTTTCCTTGAAGATTAAATGTCACTGTGATCACCCTAACCTATGAACCCCGCTGGTCTTCATTAATTACATTCAATCACTTACTACCTGTGACTATAATTGTTTGATCATTTCATATATTAACATCTTATCTTTCCAACACACCAAAGGGGAAAGCCATGCTTTATATCTCTTCAGTTTCCCCCATAATGCCTAGCACAGTCCCAGACACATAGTTGGTGCTTTTGAAACACTTGTATTAAGCCCTCTGCTTATATAAATTGTTATCCAGGTTCAGATACACTGTGGGTCAAAAACAAGAAACAAAACAAAAGAAATAAAAAACTCTGACACATAAGTACTAGCAGTAAAAATACTGTACAAAATACAATTAGTCCAGGATGTAGAATTTTGCCCTTCCATCTCACCATCACCACCACATACACAGTTATTTTTAGGAGGTTCTGTTGAATTTCCTTTCAAAATGGCAATCAGAATCTGATTTCCTGATTTATGGAGAAAGAAATTGCAGTCCAGAGGACAGAAATGATTAGTCCAAAGCCATACAACCAGTATGTAGTAGGATCAAGATTTGAATCCAGACCTGATACCTATATGATTGAATGTAAGTATTTATGAAAAGATCAAGAAATAAATAATCATTAAAGAGAATGGTGAGGTGGGGGCAGGGGGCAAGACCTAATATATAATGATAATGACTGAGCAAAGATCCTCTCACAGGTTCCTGGGATGGCCCAAGGTTTATAGCTGGGTTGAGTACTCACCTCCATTCCACTGTATATCACTGGAATGTCAGCAAATGTAATGAAAAGAGTCACACCAAGGGCAGCAAACAGCAGGAATGAAAAGAGATCTGAGGGACACAAACAGAGGTACCTGGGTTACTCTGAGAAGACCCATCATGGATATACATGGTAGAGTCAAGGACTGTTCAGTAAAGAGGTAGTCTGCACTGAGATGGCCTTTTCTTATCTTCTGGACATCATGCATGTTTTTAAATGTCTCAGGATATTTAAAAAGTGAAGATTCCTTGAGAAAGTCTTCCTAAGGAACAATTTTCAAGAAAAAAAAGTAGTAGAGAATCTGTGAAAATATGTGACATTCCAAAGCTATAAAGTCATGAGCCATTCTGCAAAAGGTAAGTGGTGAAAGAATGATAACGTATGAAAGAAGAAAGGCGCACCATCAACAACGTAGGAAAGATTGTGCCAAATTATTCATAAGAGAAAAGCAAATTAAGACAACTCTAAAATTTTACCTCACAACCATCAGATTTGCAAAGATCATAAAAGACAAATTGTCAGTGTTAGAGGAGCTGTGGGAAGACAGGAACGCAGACCGTTGGTGGCACTGTGAATTGGCCCCCCATTGTTCTGGAAACAATTTGAGATTATGTGAAAAGTCGCTAAATTGCTCATGCTCTGGAACCCAATGACTCTCCTACTGGATTTATACCCCTCCAAAAGAAATCAATGACAAAAAAAAAGTTTCCCATACATGCCAAAATATTCATATTTTTTTAGCAGCAAAAATCTGAAAATAAAATGGCTATTCACTAATTAAGGAAAGGCTGAACAAATGTCAGTGTATAAATATAATATACTGCTAAGCCACAAGTGAGGACAAATATGAGGAATTCAAAGAAACATGAAAAAAATGTAAACTTATGCGAACTGAAAAAAAAACAGAAGAGAAGAAATTACAGTTGAGCGACGTTCAAAAGGAAAATTGACTGCTTGGAGAAGTGAGTTCTGTCTGTGTGGAGGTCTTCAGGGGAGGGGCTGGAGAACTACTGGTGCATATCAGAGTGAGGATTCTTCTGTACCTATTAGTTGGACCAGATGACCACCTTTCGACTCTCAAATTCAATGATCCTATGAATTTATACTATGATTGCAATGATATAAGTGTGGAGGACACCCAAAGTCAACAGAATTCAGATCGAATACCGGTGATGGTTCCAGATGACTAAAGTGAAAGCATCCTTTCTCTCTGTTCAGACTTGGTACAATAGGAGTATGAAATGACATTTACTCTCCTATTAACAATTGATCTATCAGAGAATGTGGTTTAATGTTTTCTGTGTAGGGGGAAGTACGTAGATATTGCTTATTAGAAAAGGTTGTTATATAAAGGTCTAATACTCAAGATATATAAAAGGAATTGATTCAAATTTTATAAAACTGAGAGCTATTATTCAATAGATAAAATGGTCAAAGGATTTGAACAGGCTATTTTAAAAGAAAGAAATCTAAGCTAACAACAAATATCTTAGGGAGATGTTCCAAATCACTAAGAAATTCAAATTAAAGCATATCTGAGATTCCACCTCCCACCATTCAAACATGCAAAGATGACAAAAGTTAGAAAATAACAAATGATGGAAGAATCGTGAGGAAACTGGTACAAGTAGGGCACTGTCGATAGAGCTGTGAATTGGTCCAGCCACTTTGGAAAGCAATTTGAGCTGTATGCAAAATGTTACTAAACTGTGCATCATCTTTGACCTACCAATACCACTTAGGCTTATAACCACAAAGAAATCAGAGGAAAAACCAAAGTTCCTATTTGGGTAAAATTTTAACAGCTCTTTTTATGATAGCCAAAAATTGGAAACCAAGTAATTGTCATCCTCTTGGAGACTGGCTAAACAAATTGTGGTATTTGAATCAAACAATATGATTGTGTCATAAGAAACAATGAAACAGTTTTCAGAGGAAACTAGGAAGACCTCCAAGAACTGATGCATAGCAAAGTGAACAGAAACAGGAGAATGTTTTACACAATGACAACATTAGAGACAAAAATAACCTTGAAAGAGTTTAGGACTTTGTCAAAACAATAAGAATCCAAAATAATGAGATAAAGCATATCACTCATCTTCTGCCAAAGAGATCATAAGTCTAAAATGCAGAGACACACACATTTTGGGGCATGGCTAATGTCAGAATTTATTTGGCTGGATTATATAGTTATGGATTGAGAAGGCTTTTTTTTTCCCCAATGGTGAGAGACAAGGGGAAGGTGTAGTGGGAAGGACAGATGCATTAAAAATGCTTCTTAATTTAAAAATATATATATATATATATATATATATATATATATATATATATATATATATATATACTTTTTAAAAAGGGTGGTTGTGTCCGAATCAAAATGTACAAATACATTAAAAAAAAAATTGGTGAAGGCTGCGTCTCCCTGCCATTGAACGGTGCATTAGGATAACAGAGAATTCCTCAGTGGAAGCTTCCTGGAATTTTGTAAAAGTGGATGTACTTTGACTCTCAGGGAGCCTAACATTATCAGAGAATTCCTCAAGCACCATCTGCCTCATTTGTAATAAACTGTCCTTGCACCAGTGAGTACCACTTGACATAACTGCTTCCTTCTTGTAATGGAAATGAAACACCCCACCCCACTTTTACCTGCCAAAGTATCCCTGATTGGATGGAAAGTGGAGGGAAGGGGGGAGATGGCATTCACCTGTCCCTGAGTTCTTGCTTGATGGTTTCACCAAAGAGAAAAGTACAAGAGAACCAGCTTGAGCCACAAGTATTTATTGAACATGGATTATGTGCCTCACACTCATTCTCTCAGGTCTATCAACCCACCAGTTAATCAACAAGCCAGCTTTCAGTGCCAACCATGCCAGGTGCCATACTAGGAACTGATCATTCAAAGACAAAAGGAAGTCCATCCCGCCCCTCAAGGAAATTGTATTCTATGGGGCTGGGGTGGGAGCAGACAAGATGTACACAGGGGAAAGCCTGTGCAAAGACAAGGAGGCAAGATCAAATCATTTATGGCAAGAACAAGAGGGCCAGTTTGGCTGGACTGAAACACGTGAGAAGGGCAGGGATGCATCATCAGGTGAGAAAGGGAACTTGGCAGCTGTGAAGGACTGGAATACCCAACAGAGGAGTCTTTATTTGATCCCAGAGATACCACTGTAGTAGATACCACTGTAGTAGGGGACCACTGGAGTTGATGCAGGGTCAGATCTGTTATGGGAAAGTTGCTTTGGCAACTAAGTGAAAGATGGATTGGAGAGGAGAGAGCCTAGAAATAGAGACCAGTTAGAAGGACATTGCAATCATTAGAGTGAGAGGGCAGGAAGGCTTGCAATAAAGTGGTGAATGGTTATGAGAAATGTTGGAAAGAAAAAATGATACAATTTGGCAATAGATTGAATACAGGTGGTGATGAGTGAAAGTGAGGGGTTATGGATGGTGACAAGGTTGTGAGCTGGAGTGACTAGCTCCCTTGATAGTAATTGGGAAATTCAGAAGAGGAGCAGAATTCAGGGGAGAAGTAATTGGCTCCATTTTGCTTTTGAGATGCCTAAAAACACCCAGTTGATAGTTCAATAAGCAGGTTGGGATACTGGCCTGGAGCACAGGAGAAAGACAAGGGCTGGATCCACAGATCTGGGAGCCATCTGCAAAGCAATACCAATGGAGCCCGCGGGAGCTGAGTAGACAGCTGAAAGAGAACTCAACACTGAGTCTTGGGGACACTCACAGTTGGGGGGCATGATATGGTTGAAGATCCAGCGACAGAGACTGTGGAGCTGTGACCCTCAGGTGGCATGCACTTGCAGCCCTTCTCCAGACACACCATTCTCCTCTTAACGTCTGTTAGCTCTAGTATCTTAGCACAGTGTTTTTGTCATTTCTCAACTTTCAGCATTTCTCCACTAAAATCAATGTAGATTCTTCCTTTTAATCATTGCGAAAAGTGTATGCCAACATGTCCTAACCTAGAATTAGCAGAAATTGTATCTTGCGTAGCCTAGTCCCGGTTCTTCCACTTTCAAATTGTCTGACCTTGGACAACTCCTTGTGCCTCAGTTTCCTCATATGTAAAGTGTAGGGGCTGGACTAGACGGTCTCTGAGGGTCCTTTCGTGTCTAGAACTTTGAAGCTATAGTGGCATCAAACCTGCAGAAGGTTGTGCAACCTTCATCGCCATCTATTGGTGGAACTCTAGAATTGCTATTTTAAAAGCCTTCCTGAGGACCCAACCCGCAGGGGGAGAAACTAGGCAGGCAGCGAGTCCATGAGTCCCCGAATAGCCCTTGAGCCCCTTTCTTACAACGTGGTGTGGAAGGAAGCCTTTCCATTCTTCTTGTCTACAACTGTGTGGAGCAGACAGACAGGGTCTCCCATTATCAATGGTCTCCCCCAAAGGAAGCTGGGAAAGACCTGAGCGCCCCTGGACTTCTAGGACACTGCTGATGCCAGGCTGCTAGGACTTGGAACTCGCATTCATTCAGACCCCAGGAGCCTCGCTCTTCCCCGGTACATATTCTGCCACAATTGAAATGAACCGTGCGTGCTTCTACGGCAGCCAATCATCATTACTGATTTCCATTCCATCAAATCAAAGTTGTGCCTGTTGTTGGAGGGGACGACACACGTGGGTCGTCTTGGCGGATGGCTTCCTGGGCGGGCCTCCTTAATACAGCTGTCAGCACAAGTGATTGGTTAATCACAGAGGTCCCTGTAATGAGGAGCCACAGAGTCAATACACGTTGATTAAGCATCTACTGTGCTAAGTGCTACAGGTGCAAAAAGAGACAAAGACTCCCTTCGAGGAGCTCACAATCTAACGAGGGAGGAAACAAGCAAACATGCTCACAAACAAGTAGAAACAGGATGAATAAAAATAATTAAGAGAAGGAAGGCACAGAATCAAGAGGGGTTGGGAATGTCTTCCTGCAGAAGACAGGACTTTAGCTGGACTTAAAGGAAGTCAGGGAAGCCAAGAGGCAGAGATGAGGAGGGAGACGTTCCAAGCACGAGGGACAGAGAGAAAATGCCCAGAGCTGAGAGATGGGACAGAGCTTGTTCTTGGGACAGCCAGGAGACCTGTGTCACGAATCAAAGGGTACATGTTGAGGAGTAAGGTGTAAAAAGACTGGCAAGGTAGGAGGGGATTAGGTTAAAAAGGGGTTTTGTACTGAACTTGGAGGTGATAGGGAACCACTAGGGTTCATTGAGTAGAGGGATGACATGGTTGGACTTGAGCTTTAGGAAATCACTTTGGTAGCTGAACAAAGGATGGACTGGAATGGGGAGAGACTTCAGTCAGGCAGACCCTCCCTCCCTCAGCAGTTATTGAAACGGTCTAGGTGTGAGGAGAGCACAGGACAGGTGTTGCAGAGGTGAAATAGACAAGAGATGCTGCAGAGATGAAATTGGCAAGAGACATCATAAAGATGAAATCGACAACAGATTATGCAGAGGTGACATTGACAAGCCTTGGCACCATATCAGATATGAAAGATGGTGAGAGATAGTAAGGAGTCCAGGATGACTCCTAGATTGGGAGCCTGAAGGTCTGGGAGCACAGCAATAGGGAAAGTAGGAGGGGGAGAGGGTTTAGGGGAAAAGGGAATGAGTGCTGTTTTGGACATTTGGAGTTCAAGACGTCTGAAAGGCAGCTGCAGATGCAAGATTGGAGATCAGCAGAGAGGTTGGTCCAGGATTTGAAAATCATCAGCAGACAGACAGTAATTAAATCCATGGGAGCCAATGAGATCACTGGGTAATTGAACAAGGAAGCCTAACTGAGAAATGATGCGGCACAGTGGAAGTAAAGCTGGATCTGGGGTGAAAGGAACTGGATTTAGATGAACACCTCTGACCTTGGGCAAGTCACTTCCCTCTGAGCATCAGTTCCTCCTTTGAAAACTGAAAGGCTGGACCAGATGACCTCAAAGATCACTCCCATCTCTGTAGCTATAATCCACGATCACCTTGTCTATTAACCTACAAATCTCCCCACTCACCAAAAATTCTCCAGGGGACGGAGATTCTACATCCTCATTTCCAATTTTAACAGCAACTCCTGCTTTAAAAAAAATCTTCCTTCTATTCAGTACAAATCCCCTATTTCCTCTGCGGCTGACTACAGATGAGGTGGTCCACTAAGCATTTGCAGAATGAACATTTTACAATAATAATGGTAATAGCCGGCATTTATAAAGCACTGAAGTTTTGCAAAGCACTTTATATCCATTATTTCATGTTAGCCTCACAACAGTCCTGTGAGGAGGTAGTATTATCCCCATTTTACAGATAAGGAAACAGAGGCTCAGAAAGTTTACATGTTTCGAGTGATATCCCTAATTCCCCTTTAACTAACTCATACTGAATGATTTTGTTTTGCTTTCGTATTTATTCCATTTATATTTATAGATTCACTTGTCCCCCTGACAAGTCCTCGAGATGCTCAGCGATTGTCTCACTCTTAGTCTCTGTGACCCCAGAATCCAGCCCTGGCCCTGTCTGGCATGTAAGAGGCACTTAACACATGTTTGTTGATGCAGTGATGCTTGACTGACTCACCCGCGTTTCACAGCTAGCCAGTTTCAGGGGAGGGACACTAATCTAACCCTTCCCTGACTGGAAATGAAGAGTCCTTCCTTTTAAACCAACAAACCCGACAGCTGATCTGTACATGCCTTCAGTGGGACAGACATATGGAGCAGCTGGGGGCTTGCCCCAAGCCACCCATCTCTTGCCTATATGTCCTTGTGACTTTTATAAGCTAGAGAAGGTTGGGGTATATTATTATTATTATCATCATCATTATTATTAATCTCACATTCATTTAATTCTTTTTGTTTTAGGAACTACACATGTATGTATGAATGTGTGTGTGTGTGAGTGTGTGTGTGTGAAATTTTGTCCCTACCACAACCCTGAAGGGTAAATGCCATTAGTCCCATTTTACAGATGAGTAAACTGAGGCTGAGAAAAGCGACGTGTCTTACATAGGGTCACAAAGTTGGCATTGCTTAAGGGTAGGATACAAACTCTGGTCTTTCTGATTTCAAGTCCAAGACTCTAACCTCACCTTACCAGACTTCGTTCTACCTTCTGGCCTAAAGAAGCAGACTCATAAATCTTACTTTCCAACCTCTTATTCATCAAATAGCTTCCCCCTGAGATCTCACACTTTCAACATCACTTGTGAGGCGTGAAGCCCCGAGCTAGATCCAGAGCTCTTGTCTGGATTTCACCAGTGTAACGTGCCTTCCACCCCCCCGCCCCCATCATGGCTCCAGTCACCATCTCTATAATTTTCCAAACCCAAATACCTCACCCTGACTACTGCATTTGGGTGCTGTTTCTCCCTTGGGGCCAGGACTATTGATTGTGTATCCATATCCAGATAGCTTAGTATAGTATTTGGCACAGAGTAAGCAAGTCACAAGTGTTCATTAATGCATTCATTCATTCATGACCTGGGGACAAGATGCCCCTCATGGCTGGAGGAACCCCTTGGCTTGTTGACATTCTGCTCCTTCAAGGCCCAGCTTAGCTGACATCTGTTCCGTGAGAACTTTGCCCCAATGACCCTTCCCTCTTCCAGTCTCTCAGGTCACTTTGACCATTCTTACTTAATCACTTCTTAATTGTAGTAAAGTAATTTGTGCATGTCTCATGCCCATACAAGATTGCAAGCTCCTAGAGGGCAAGAATGACCTCTGGTTTTGTCTTTGCATACCCAGCAACTGGAAGAGAGCCTTTAATAAAGTAAATATTTGGTGAGTGTTTCCAAAATTAAATTGAATTGTGGAATGAGAGGATTGCCACACCAAATCAGTGGCTCAAGCCCACAAACTCAATGCTGACTGCTCATCCACGTTTTATTATTTTAGAAAGTCTGTCTGTCTTTCTGTCCGCATGGGCCCTGCTGGGTTCCAGGCTCTGGTGTAGGACTTTATGCTCAGGAAGACTTTACTGCCACTAGGTCTTACCTGAATGGGAAGACTCCCAGACGGCCATCTGAACCCATTAAGATGCTCATGCCTACTGCTTTACACACAGTAGATGCCCAGTAAGTGTTCATGGAGTTTAATTTAGCTCTTACAAGAATTAAACAAAATAAAACATTTTTACCCAAGCAAGAATGATGTCAGCTGCTTTTGGTGAATCATCGGAGCAGAGCTTACACATTTAGCTGCATTACGAGCACCTTCTAACCCAGAGTTTCTTTATTCTTGTTTTGTGTCCTGGAGCCTGTTGCCAGCCAGTGTGGGAAAGCCTTCTTGGAGTAATGTTTATAAATGCATAAAAGTCATAAAAGTGCAGCAGAAGTCAATTCTACTGAAATATAGTTACTAAATATATGCAGACAGACACATACATGTATACATACTTACATATATATTTAAAACAAGATCACAGACCACAGGTTAAGAGCCCTTGACCTAATGAGTTCATCACTCTATGTACTTCGCAGCAGTATCTTGTTTTTGAATCACTAGGGGTTTGATATAGTCAATCAATTATGAATGTGGCCACAGAGAGGTTGGTGCTTAGGGGCTTCTATCCTGCCTTTGGGACCTATCCTTTCTGGAGGTCAGTAACTCAGTTATTATAAGAACTAAACGCTCTGACTGGCTCATCTCTACTGTCTTCTCAGCTCTGAAGTTCCATGGTTTTCCCAAATGAGGCCAGGCCCACCTGACCATTCAAAGAAGGCTAAGATTCACGGGGGGGCCATAATGATCACTGGAATTCAGTGATCCTCATAGAAAGTTCCTATCATTAAGTCAAGCGCAGTAAAAGGTGCATGCATGTGTATGTGCACGTGTGTGTATGTGCATGTGTGCGTGCGTGTGTATGTGTAGAGGGCATAGGTTGTAGGCGTTGACATGACTTCTCTTCCAGTTTGCTGAGACTCAGGTGAGGAGAGGACCCTGGTGAATTCTCTAAAAGAAGCCCACTTGGACGCAGATACTCACAGTTGGTGTAGACAGGCTTTCGGAATGGCTTCCCCTTTGAGAAGATGAAGGCCACAGTGATGCAGTTGAGGGTTGTAATGGGCCACAGTGTGGTACTCTCAAAACTCAGGACGGAATTCGAAGTCAGAGTCCCATTCCCCATCGTCAAGTTTCCATCCACACTGGCATCAGAGAAGGAATCACTTCGGTTGGCCAAGAAGCACTGGCTGCAAAGAAGCACCAGCATTTAAGGGGACTTTCTTTCTAATCTTATCTGACTGGGGGGATGGGACTGGTAGTAAGAACAGTCTGAGTCTCGTTATGTGGTTAGGGGAGGTCTTCCTGAATACCGAGGCTGAGTTAATCATACAACCAGTAAGTGCCCAAGAATGGCGCTAGGCAGTGGAGACCAAGACTGAAAAGGCTCAGAAAGGTTTGGTAACTGACCCATCATCCCATCGCTGGTGAGGAAACACAGGTCCACTCTGTCTCGCACATTGACATTTTGCCAAAATATGGTTTCCCGGGCATCCAGTTCTGAGCACAAAATGTCCATAAAGCCCCAGCAGTTTGGGCTCTTTGTCCAGCACCTGCTCACCATGCAGGGATGCCCTTTGGCACCTTGTTTGATTGATCATCAGCCCTCTTCTTCAGTCAAAAATCAACAAGCATTTATTAAACGCTTGCCTGGCGCCAGGCACTGTCCTAGGCACAGGAGAACAAGCGAAGAAGCGATCCTCGCCCTCCAGGAGTGTATATTTTATTAAGAGAACCAACATGTGCACACACTTGTGTGTGCCACATAAGTACATAGAAATAACACAAGAGTTATGTTAATCTCAGTGCTGTATAAATGGACATGGATCCTTCTCTATCCTTTTTAGAATGTAAGTACCTAATGGGAAGCGATAGAGTCAGTCTTTGAACTTGCATTCCCAATGCCTGGCACACACTAGGTGCTCACTAAGTACTTATCGATTAAATTGGCTAAATGCAAATAAGTGAGGACGCGCCAGCCATGGGGGCCGTACAAGAGCAAGATGAGTGTTGAGTGGTGGGACCACAGGGGCACAGGCAGGGGAGCAGAATTCTGCTGGATTTACTCTCAGACTGCAGGCAAGGCAGGATTATACACCTACTCATCTTCTTATCCACGTGAATCAAGGCAGGGCAGAAGGCAGCCTTTGTTGTCTGGTGTTTATTACTGCATGGTGAGAGAAATACTCCTGTCACAGTCACCGGGTTTGCATGGCTGCTGACAAAAGACAACGACTCTCTCCTCCCAGGGAGATTCTCCTGTATGAAGCTGCTTGCCTTCCCCAGCAATATTGCAGAGAGAAGGCTTGGAAGGGGGGTCAGCCTTCAGCTAGCCTGCTGAGAAACAGAAGGAAGAAGAGCGGGGAGTGGGGGAAGGAGGAAGAGGCTGGCCAACAGAGGAAGCTTTGATTCTCCTCCAAACACACCTAATAAAGTGGGGCCATCTTTCCTTTTTGGTCCACAAAGCTTCCTTGCTCCGAGAGGGCCTTCTCACTCTATTAGCAGGAAGAGAAGCCTCCCCTCCACTCTCTCTGTGCTTTCAAAAGCATCAAAGAACTCCATCTGAAGCAGAAGCACCAAGCGTGACTAGTGCCAGAACTGTGCTTCCATCCCACCTGACGTCATCATCTAAAGTCAAAGAAAGGAGGAGCAGGCCACCGGAGCCCAGACAACTTGGCAGAGCACCTGGTTAATGGAATGGAAGAGCCCCGGCCTGGTCCCTCCCCAAGGAAGGGAGGAGAGCAAGGAAAGGCTTGGCAGGGCGCAAGGATAACCAGTAGCTTGGAAAAATGCAAAGGAATTTGGTTGCCATGGCAGCTTAAAGACGTAGTGGAGAAGCAAACAGAATAAGGATTTAATGAGAAGTAATGGACCTTGTGAGAAAAGGAAAATGGTCCCTGTGCAAATGGAGATGGTCTGGATAATAACAAAGGCAGTCACAAAAGCCAGGAGGAGCTTCTGTAATTGATCAGACTTGTGCTCTCATGTGGGTAGGGATCCCCTAGCAGAGACCCCTGAACCCCCTCCTCTAAGGCAGGCCAGTGGCCAGAACCACCTGCTGGGTCAGACAAGCAGCAGGGAGCAGGTCTTCCCAGCTCAGAGCTGGTTCTCTGTCCTCTAGAGCATGCTGCTCCCCATTGTGCTTGGATAGACCAAAAGCTCACAGGGCATCTCTAGTTATTACAGTATGATATAGTCTCTATCCAGAAAGAAGCAATTATGGGGTGCCCAGGAGGTGCTGCACATCGTGCTGGGCCCTGGTGACACAAAGACAAGACAAAACCATGCCGGTGCTGTCCAGCATGGCACAGTGGTACAGTGTGCAATGCCACGCTTGTACAGCTCAGTGAGGTTTGGAACATGAGCGTGGTGATAGCAAATAGCCACAGCTGGAAGGTTTGGAAGGGGCCTGACAAGCAATATCTCATTTGATCAAGGTAGGTGCTATTATTATCCCCATTTTACAGAAGAGGAAACTGAGGGAGACAGAAGTTAAAAGACTTGCTCAGCTAGCCTCTGATACAAGATTCAAACTCAGGTCTTCCTGCCTCCAAGTACAATGCTAGCCACTAGCCACCTTGCTGTCTCAGGAGGATATACAAGAGCAGTTCCCAAAGTGTGATTCATGGGCACTCAGAGAACCCTTCAGGGGGTCAGAAGGTCAAAGTCATTTTCACAATAATAATAAGATGCTTTAATTTCTAATACAATAAAATAGCTATAACCCATATTAACAAAAGCACTTTGGTGGTGGTGGTGTCCACCATGATTTTAAAGAGGCTTCGGAGATCCAAAAGTTTGAGAACCACTAATACATGGCATGGGATGGGATAGGATAGGATAAGATGGGATGGGATGGGGTGGGGTGGGATGGGATGGGATGGGATGGGATGGGATGGGTGGGGTGGGATGGGATGGGATGGGGTGGGGTGGGATGGGATGGGATGGGATGGGGTGGGATGGGATAGGGTGGGATGGGATGGAGTGGGATAGAGTGGGATAGGGTAGGATGGAGTCAGATAGTACTATATGCATGGTACAGGAGAGGAGAGAAGTGGGATAAACTAGAATGTCGCATAGCATTACACTGTATTGGAGAGCACAGTGTGGTGGGCTGACTACAATGTCATACAATGGAGTGTACAGGATGGCAGAGCATTACATTTTAGTATCATATAGCATAGTACCTTATTATAATGCTATGTTTTACAGTACTGTAGAGTACTACCCTACATATAATACTGTGCAGTATGGTACAATATTATACTATATTATACGGTACTGTATTATTTTAAGATGTGAATAAGCTTAAGTTATATGTAAAGAAGCTTTTCTTGAGAGAGAAAGTTGTTAAATACAGAAACAGGAGCCAGTAGGGTTGATAACTGGTGGAAAGGATGCTGTAGAAAGGGCTAGCTAGGTGGCACCGAGCCTGAGATCAGAGAGACTCATCTTCCCGAGTTCAAATCTGGCTTCAGACACTTACTAGCTATGTCACCCTGGGCAAGTCATTTCACCCTGTTTGTCTCAGTTTCCTTGTCTGTCAAATGAGCTGAATAAGGAAATAGCAAACTAGTATCTTTGCCAAGAAAACACCAAATGGGGTCACAGAGCAAACATGACTGAAAAAATAGCTGAAAATGTTGTAGAAGCTTTTTCTATGAGTTCTTTGATAATAAGACAGACTCTCATCTTTCTAAGATAATTAAGGGCCACATCTATGAGACATGAGATGACAGATTCTTGATGGAATTTTATGTTTTACGCACATTTTTGCCCCCTCCAGCTTCCCTTGAATTGATGCCCCGTGCAGCCTCACCTGTACCGTTGTACCTCACAGTACCAAGGCTGCTGCTTCACAAAAAGGAAAGCCCATATCTGCACAATGCCCGAAAAACAGGCATTCAGAAAGACAGAGAGCAGCAGGGGGGGCGAGATGAGCTGTCCAGCAGGTCGGTACGGAGCCAGCTTTGGGTATGCGTGAGTGGAGCTCACTGAAAAAAAAAAGGCCACAGTTATTCCTGCTTTACATGCTCACACTGTGAGGACACCACCCAGAGAGTGTTTGTTTTCATCTCTACAAGTATCCAAACCCGGAGCAATCCTCTGGGGCCTGAGGCCTGATCTAGAAATAAGAAAGAAAGGCTTAAAAATTGCCCCAGCATTCAATAGGAAGCTGTATGGCCCCAGGCCGAATTTTGAAGTGCACCTTGGAGGCAGTCCCAATGAGGCTGACCCTTGAAACAGCAGTATTTTCTGTACTGATGGCTGCGGATGACATCTTGGAAGAGATAACTGAGGGGACGCTTCATTCTGCGTGAAATGCAAAGTTACATGGAGTCCCCCTTGACTGTCTTCTGGATCTGTCCTTAGAACATACGTGTACATATATATACATGCGAATGTGTCTATGACCTCATATGTGTATATGTAAACACATTATTGCTAAGGATGTTTTAAATAATCAATTATCAGTCTGTGAGGCTGTGTGGCATGGAGAATAAAGAACCAGCCTTAGAGTCAAGATGATCTGGGTTCAAATTCCACCACTAGTGAGAATTGTCTGGGTGAATTTGGACAAATCACTTACCCTTTCAATATCCCCAAGTAACTCTCTAAGACAAAACCAAAACAAATTGCTGGTGTGCATTGGTAGCTAGAGTTTCTTTCACCCAGATTTTTCTATGTTGATGAAATCAGCCCAAAATGAAACAAACAGCCCACTACATTCCATTGTGGCAGAAAGAGAAGCCTAAGGTCTTGAGGGCGTCACAAGTAGAGCCCAAACTTGGGTCGATTCTCCATGAAGCTAGAAAGGGACCGTTTGAGTCTGCAGGCTCAGCTGCAGACTTTGTGGCTCTGGTTTTAGCATCAGCCCATGTCCAGTCAGACATAAGATGCTCCTCGTCAGAAGGCTGGTCAGTGGAGGATGACTTTTCATATTTCAAAAACTGTCAACACAAGTCCAAAGGGGCTGGTATCTACATCTCTAATGGCAATGCAAATACTAAAGGCATTAGAGGGCCAAGGTGCTGAGAGCAAGAAAGGATCTTAGAGGCTTCTCATTTGACAGGGGGGTAAGCTGAGGCCCAGATATGTGAAATGCATTGTCTTCAGTAGTAAGCATCAGACCCAGGATTCCAACCTATATCTTCCAGTTCCCAAGCCAGCTCATTTTCCATGAAATCTGGCTGCTCATAGGACTTCTGACACATGAAAGTAGTTTCAGAATGGGTCTTTGGGGGATGGACCCAGAAAAGAGCTCAGAGAAGGCTCAGTTATGACAGTGTGTCTGAGATGCCCCAGGGAGTGGGAAGCAGGCAGGACTGGGGGTAGAATCCAGTCTGCTGGATGGTGAAACTCATCGATCCAACTCTCTTCTTTCCCCCTACAACGTTCCCAAAGGCTCCTCTGGTCCACAACTGCAGCAACATTCTCCATAGTAGGTGCTTAATAAATATTTAATTGAATTCGCTTGCATTGGTATATCCAATATATCCAATAATCCACTTGCGTTGGCTATAACTGAAATCGAATCTGTGACGTTGCTCCTACATTGGGAGCTGGAAGGAGTCTTAGCTGAAATCTGAATCCTTCTCCTTGCCAATGGCCTCCCAGAGCAGAGACCGCAGAAGTCGGTTTGGTCACCTTCCTTCTCGATGTCCCTGACCTATCCTGATGGCCAGGAACCAGGCATGACTTTGTGAACACTAGAAGTGCAGAGGCACTGGTCCAAACAGCCAACACATGTTGGAGGGCCGTTATTTGCCCATATCCAGGGTGTCTCTTTGAATGATTGAGGTTTTCCTAATACAGTGACTATCCTTAGTGGAATTTCCTGAAAGCCAGTCTTTTACTAGCCCCATCCCAGGGCTCCCCAACAACCTATGTCACTGTCTCTCCACTTACCAGACGAATGGCCCTGAGGACATCAAACCCCCTCAGTCTCCGTTTCCTCCTCTTTAAAATGAAGGCATTGAACCCCATTTCCTCTGAGAGTCCTTCTGGCTCTGGGGCCAACACATGAGGACCCTTTCCTTATTGGGCATCAAAAGACAGAGAAATTTGCAGGCTGGAAACCCTGGTGACAGCAATTTCTCTTTTAATCATACTCCCTCAAGAATGGGAAGTGTTTTCCTTTAGCCCAGGTAGTCAACATCAGGCTGCCCATTATGTAGGAAATATTAGAAATGACTCACTCTAGGCCTCTTCCCATCCAGCCTCCATTGAGACTGGATTGCGACATGATGTCTAGCCAGGGTGAGGCCACACTAGTGGTGAAAAGGTCAAAAGGTCAGATAATCTGTGGGTGAGTATCAATCCCAGGACCCCAGGATCACAGAGATAAAGCTAGAAGTGACTTTCTAGGTCACTAAACCCTACCCTTTGGCTGGCAGATGAGGGAAAAAGTGATTTGCCCAGGGTCCTCTAGCTAGTAAGTGTAGGATGCAGGGTTTGACCTCAGCTCTCCTTGACTCCAGGTCCAGGATTCTACTCACCAAAATGTGCTGCCTCTGTAAGGAGCTTCGACAGAATTACAGACCTAAAGAGCTAGGAGGGAGCTGAGATATCAGAAGACCATAGACTTACAGCTGCAGGAGACCTTCAAAGTTATCTCATTAACCTTTGAATTTACACATAAAAAAAAAAAACCCTGAAACTCAGAGAGGTGAGCAGACCTTTCCTGGGTAATAGATTATAGGCAGCAGAGTCAGGATTCAAACCCAGGTTCTGGGAGCCAGTGAATGGTGCTTCCACTTTGCCATGTTGCCTGACTCCTCATATAGCCTGACCCCAGAGGCCCAGACAGGGAAAGGGTGTGTGCCTGGTCACATTACTAGTGCCTATCAGAGGGGAACTAGGCCTTGGGCCTCCTGAATCTCCTCCCAGTCCCCTTCCTATACCTCTGACTCCTGTCTGGTCTGACCACTGTGCTCAGCAGCCCCTCTAGATGGTCTGCAGAATGCAGTAAAAGAGAGGAGAGCAGGAAAGGACAGTGACAGGTGGAGAAGGCTTTCTCTCCTCTCTACATCAGTGTTATTTTGACTTTTAAATTTTATTGGCCCTGGTCAGAGATTCATCGTGCAAACCCCCTTTGGGTAGCCAGAACCATGGCACCCAGATTATTAATGAAAACATGGGTCCTGGTAATATTAATGCTGTACATTGAAAGCAAACTTTTCTGGATTATGACCAGACATTTCCATCTCATAAACCCAAACTTATAGCACCCCAGCCCCTCTAGGACAGCAGGACAGTCCATCTCTGGGTTCTTACAATAAATGGCTGATGTCAGCCTCTCGTGTTTTAAGATACTGTTTGAGAACCTCTGGGGAACTCAGGCCTTCTGTTGTCTGATGACGGATTTCTTACTTGGTGTCTTCATATTCATGGGCAAAGAAAGCCTGGCCCAAAGAGAAAGCCTCTTCTCTCTTCTCTGTTCAGTCACTCTTCTCCCTTACTAAGGAACAACATCAAATCCCAGGGAAGTGGATTAGAAAACCTCCAAGAAAGCCAGTGATCCTACGGAGCCCAGGCCGTGCCCCGTCGGCCAACGTCACCCAAGGCAGGCTAGATCACAGAAGTCTTCCCCCTCCTTCCTCATTTCTAGGTTTCATGAGATTCTGGTGCGATGTCCCAGTGGGTCAACACCTGACAGCCAGAGGCGGCCCTAGGCTGGACAGACCCTCCTGTTCTCTTTCTAAATCAGTGGCCTGTCAGCAGGAGACATTCCAAAGGTCCCGTCTGAGCCTGCCTGGGAAGCACCGCAGGCTGAAGGAGCTGGCAGCAGACATGTTGGCACACAGTGGTTCTATCTGTTCTCCTTCCTCTCAGAGCCCTCATTTGCACACAGTCTTCTGTGTGCTGGATTTGGTCCTCCCTCCCACCTAGAGAGAAGGCTGAAACGCCAATAGGCAAGAGCCACGCCCTCCCTCGGCTTCATTAAGAGGCTTACTTGTTAGACACACCATCAGGGTGATGGCCACGTCCTGCATGAGGTACTGGTAGTTCCCAAAAAGTTGCAACTGCTAAAAGAGAAGAAAAATATAGTTATCCATACTGCGGCTGAGGAAGGTGAGGAGTCCTGGTGGCAGCCTGACGGGAGGGGGAGCTTGGACACAGGATGTCTGGGATCAGTGAAGTGGGAGAAAGATACCCAAAATAACACATCACAGGTCAGCTGGCCGAGGCCTGGGGGTGGGGGGAGGTGTCTGTCCACCTGGGGGGAAGGGCATGGTAATTAATGGCCTTCCCTATTTCCATGAGGCAGCAGGAGCAAAGACATTTTCTGCCAGATACTAAGTCACAAAATCTGAGTTGGACAGGCTGCCTGGTCAGACTCTTACTGAATTACACCCTTGTGTGTGCTTGTATGTTTGTGCATATGTGATTAGTATATATATGTGGAGGGTTCACCTGTATATGGGTATCTAAGTGTGCATGAATGGTGTAGGTATGACTACATGGATGTATATGCATGTATATGTGGATGTCTATATGTGGACTGGAGAGTGCATGTGTGTATATGTATGTGGTATGTGTGTGTATGTGGTGTGTATGTGTATGTGTGTGTGTGTGTGTGTGTGTGTGTGTGTGTGTGTGTGTGCAGGGTCGGAGAAGTGGTGAGGCTCCCAAGAAACATAAACCACCTTCATTCCTTCCTTCTCTGCCTTGGGTAGCCCTGGCATAGACAAAGATCTCCCTAACCCTTCCCCTGCACGTGTCTGCCTTGGTAATAAAAGCCCAGCAGAGGTTGAGGCCCCAAATCTCCACTCTTACCCCACCATCTGACCAGAGACAGAACAATCCCCGCCAGGATGCAGGCTTCTCAGACTGAGGATAATGGGGACCATGGCAGTAGGCATTTTTTCTAAGTGATTTTCTCAGGGCGAGGCTTCTCCAAGATAACTCCAATCCCAGGGAGGCAAGAAAAGCAATCTCAGACTCCAAAGGAAAGCTTAGGTTTGGGAAAGTCACTTTGTGACTCTGAAGATTTCTTGGGGCAGACGCCAAAGCCACTTTCTTCTCTCTTTGTCATCTCCTCCTCTTCCTCCTCCTCCTTCTCCATGATGTCCTGGTGGGGCTGACATCTGCCTCCAGGGTTGAATTTCACCAAACCTGGTCCAATCCAGCCAGCATTTATAAAGCACCTACTATGTGCCAGGCATGTTCTAGAAACTCGGAATACAAAGACCAAAACAAACCAGAACCTGGCCTGGACCTGGAGCCAGGGAAACCTGAGCTGCCATCTCACTTCAGACACTTGGTAGCTATGATGTTGGGCACATCCCTTACCTTCACAAGCTTAGATTCCTCATTTGTAAATAAGGATAATAATAGCAGCTTCTTCACAGAGTTGGGGTGAGTACCTACTAAGACCACAGGCATAGGGTCTATGTCAGATAAGAAAGGGCTATATAAACAAACACTAGATATTCGCATTATTATGATGATAAATGAGTAAAAACTTCACCAGTCACAGCTGTGGGGACCAGAGTGCCCTGGGCCAGCCTTCACCTAATACATGAGGACAAGGTGACTCAGAGAGGCCAGGCCTCCAGATGTCTGCCCAAAATCCCAGCATCCCTGAGGAGCTGAATTCACTGTATTTCCAGCTCTTTCGTCTTACAAGGAGAGCTCATCCCAGCTTCACCAAGCACCGTTTGGCTGACACTTACCTGCAGCCCCCCATTCATATGAAATGTCAGCAAAGGTATGTCTGTGCCAGTCGGTGCACACACACATGTGTTTGGACCTGACTTGAAATTGTGTTAATATAGGAAACTCCTGAATGTGACCTCTCGTGATCTAATGTGATCTAGTGGATAGAGGAACAGCCTTGGAATGAGGAAGTCCTAGGTTCCAGTTCTACTTCTGACACATTCTAGCTGTGGGACCCTGGGTAAGTTGAGGACTTTCTCAGTGCCTAAGAAAATAAGATGATAAGTTTCAGAGAAGGTTCTGGTCTAGCTTGGTAGAGAGTGTGTGTTTTTAAGGTAGTACACACAATGTAATAACCATTTAGAAGAAATGGTTTTTGACTCATACCCAATAAAGCAGAGATGTGCCAATGAGCTGAATTACTCCATACATGGTTAGGTATTTAAACACTCCGAAGGAAGAAACCAAAGCAGCTCGTCCTTCCCTATTCATGAAGAAAAATTAAAAAAAAAATGCATGTGGTTAATGTTAATGTCTTCTCCCAGGGTCCTTTTTAATTTTTGTAGAAATCAGGCTAAAACTTTTAGTGACTTGGTGGTCTGATATTGAAATGTCTCAGCTATCCACTTCCAACCAGATATTTATTACCTTTTTAACGGAATTTTACTACGTTCCATCTCCCCTCACCACGTCTCTGCACTGGCTGTCCCCGACGCCTTGTTACCTCCACCTCATAGAGCCATTCTCTTCCTTTCAGCTGCAGCTCTGGTACCAGCACACAAGAAGCCTTCCAAATCCCCCTCAGGGCTGGGCCCTCCCTCCCAAATGACCTTATATTTACACCTTTGTGTGTGTTACCCATCAGTTCAGATATGAGAGGGAGATCTCCTTCCTCATGTTTCTTTCACACTTGCAGACTCCTCCCTTTGGCCCCTCTGGCTCTACCCTCTATTATACTTTGTACCTGTCAAGACCCTTATTTGAACTTGAGCTTCTTGAAAGCAGCTAGATAGAGTGATAGAGCTAGAGGCAGACAGATCTGAGTTCAAATCATGGCTCAAACAGTTACTTGCAGGGTGACCCTGGGCAAGTCATTTGGTCTGTGAGCCTCAGTTTCCTTATCTGTAAAATGAGGGGCTTGGATCCAGTGGCCTCCAAGTCCCTTCTGGCCATGACTCTAAGATCCTATGACCATTGAATTTTTCTTCCTCATCTCCCCACTGCCTAGCACATCAGTGACTCGACAAACCTTTGGGGTTGAGGGGCTCTTTTCTGACCTAGATTGTAAGCTCCCTGTAGGGATCGAGAACACGCTCTCTGTCCTCAACCTCCACAATCCCAAGCACTGGGCTTTTTGCGTAGCCGGTGTCAAGGCCTTGTTTGTTGGATAAATGAGCAAGGCGTTTCATCATTTACCTGAACAGGAGAGGTTACACAATTGAATTCAACGAGCACTTACTGAGTACCTACTATGCGCCATGTGTACAAAGACAAAAAGGAGGTAAGAGGACATATCATCTTACATTTTCAAATGGAAATAGGAAATCACCTTCCTAAGTCATCTGCTTGTTAGATCATGAATCAAAAGCTCAAGAATCACCGATTCCAGCCCCTTCCTTTCACATGTGAGGAAGCTGAGGGGCTTACCTGAGGTCACAATGACAGAAGCAGGGTTTGACCCAGCTTCTCTCATTGCCAGGCACCCGTTGCTACCCAGATTAATTCTAAATGGTTTTTGAATCATTCATAGTTTTAGACTGTCCACCCTCCAGGTCTCCTCATGGATAGAGAGTCTCTTTTTGGTGGATTGATTGATTCATTTATTCTTTCACCAAATATTTATTGAGTGTCCAACATGAGGCTAAAGAATCCTGTTTGGGCACAGCAGAGGAGGGGAGCAGGGAGGGGCACGGAGGACTTCGGCACGCCTTCTGCAAATGAACTGGAACAATTAAACTATCTCACAAAGGACCCCCCAAACCCCTAGATCTTAAATTCCACTTAATCATCCCCCTGGAGGATATTCGCCTGAGGACTGGCAGGCCTCAGAGGGTGGTGAATGAAGTCAAAGCAAGTGACATTTATTGAGCGTTGACTATGTCAGGAACAGAGTTTCGAGCACTGGAGGTGAAGGCAGAAGGGGCCCAGTAAAATGGGAATGCAGTGTTCTTTTCTTAATGAATATATGAAATGTAAACAGAATAATAACCCTCCCTGATGTCTTGGTCAGCTGCCTGATACCAAATATACTTTTGCCCTCCCGGGTATTTTATAAAAGATGGCTGAATTTATCCAGTTTATAAATAGTGTCTAGGGCAAGGGAAGAGAGGACAATTCACAGTGAAAACATTGATCTGAATCAAGCAAGAAAAAATTTAATTGAGATAAATGTAGTTTTACTCCTAGATTTGAAAAAAATCAACGTAAGTACAAATTGGAGGAGTGAATGAATGAATGAATGAATGAATGAATGAATAGATGGATGAGCAAATTAATGGATGGATGGATGGATGAACATTGATTTCACACTTGTTCCTAGGGTCTGATCACCTCTCCTAAATACCCAGGGTAGACATACTGTAATTGCAATCAGCTCCTAAGATTACATGGTTCATTTTCCTCTGTGTGCATTGCATAAAGCCACTTATTTTCCATTTTAAGTGTCTAAAATCTTTCTAAAGTGAAGAAACCTGTGCCAATTGGCCAGCTGGTGCACCCTTAGATTGGGTAACTGACCTGATCAGGTGTGGCACACATTCTATATTGGCTGTTTTTGAGGTGAAGGGGGAAGCCACAGATGCCTCCTGCTCAGACAGTGAGATGCCAGCATGAGCCATTTTCAAAGCCTGAAATGAAAGTTTTATGTTACACATGTGAATTGAGCACATACAGATACATTGCTTGTTATAAGGAAATCATGGTGCTATTCTGTAAACGGTCATTACTTTGTACTGGCCATATTGAATGAAGCTCATCTGGGAATTGTGGTCACAGAGCATGGGCTAGAAGCTTTATCTGGGGAATTGCTTCTCAGGTTGACAGCACTGGTTGGCCTTAGAGAGTATTCCCAACTATGAAGCAAGTTCCTGACCAGAGTTAGTGACTTTTCCCTGGGCAGTGACTAGAGACTATTGGTTCATAACCCGTGTTAACACTAGAGGGCCCTTTCAGGACAATCATCAAATACCAGCATGGACTGGGCCTTCAAGGCCACCTGGACTGGCTGTTAGGACAAGTGTCTGTTCTACAACACCCCCCAAAGGGATCATTCACCCTCTATACTGAGGGACGCAATAAGGGAGGTCCCACCAACCCCAAGACCACCCATTCTGCTCCTCTAGCTCAGTGGTTTTCATTAAAGCAAGATAAAATCTGCCTTTGGCAACTCCCTCCCCTTGTCCTTTGGTCTGTGGTCCAGGACCAATCTGAATAAGTCATGTAAACCTCATCTGCGAGAAAGGGATGGCTGAGCCACAGAAGATGACTCAGGTTCCAACAAGATTATGACAGGGTAGAAGAAGGGCTGAATCAGGAGAAATAAAATGTAATACGGATAAGAGTAAAACCTTATACTTGGCTACAAAAAGTCAACTTAAGTGGAGGGGGCAGGGCCAGAGTCATCTGAAAAAACAACTAAAAAGTCTGGGGCATCATTGGATTACCAGCTCAACTGGAGTCGATAGAGTGATTTGGCTGCCATGCTGAGCTGATGCTGGCTTAGACTGCACTAAGAAAGAGGGAAGAACCAGCAGGTGTAGGGAGGTGTGGGTTGTGGGTGTTGCCCTGGTCATGCCACATCTAGGGCTTAGGTTCCACAGCTCTGGTACCACAGTTTAGGAAGGCCATTGTTACACTGAAATAACCAAGGAGGGTGACTCAGATGACAAAGAACCCTGAACATCATGCTGATGTGAGCACTGGTTGAAGAAAATGGGTAGGTTCAGTCCAGAGAAGACTCAGGAAGGACATGACAGCTGTCTTCAAGGATCTGGAAAGCTGTTTCGTGGAAGAAAGATTGGATTGATTGTACAGAGGGAGATGGAAGGAACCTCCGAGGGCATCATTGTGACAAGAGCAATGTACAGATTGGCAAGGCAATCATTTTAAAGGAAAGATTGGCTGTGTAATTAATAAGTAGGAAGCTGGACTTGAGGCCAAGATGTCCTGGGTGCAAATCCCACTTTAGACATTTACTGAATCCGTGACACAGCCAGGAGAAGTCCCTTCAGGTCTCTGATTCTGTTTCCTCATCTGTAAAGTGTAGCTGCTGCTTCACAGGTTTGTTGGGAGGATTGAGCAGCAGTGTATGTAAAGTGCTTTGCAATCCACCATATCAATGTTGAGTCTTATTCCCATGTGTGGTAAACTTCTGTCCAGTTTAAGACAAATGGGGACAGAAAATTTCTCCGAGTTTTGATTTCAACAACAGGTGATTGATAATGCAAACTGCGAACGATCTCCTGAAGCAAATTGTTGGAGGAGAATGGCCAACTGGATTTTAAAGGAACAATAATAATGGTGGTGGTGGTGATGGTGATGATGATGATGATGATGATGGTGATGATATTGATAACAATAGTTGGCATATATACAACTTAAGCAGAGGCTTTGAAGGGATAGTTAAAATCTCCCCTCACTCCCAAATCCTTTCTGCTGGATTCACTCTTCTTTATGCTGAGTTTATTAGCTGTGGGCCCTTGGGCAGGTGGCTCTTCATGGCCTCTGTGAAACTGGAAGACTGGATTATTTGGTCTCTAAGATGGTGAGCGGCTCCCAAACTTTCTAGGGACAAGTTCCCCTGTTTAACATAGAAACATGGTTGCACTGCCATGTGATCAAGGTTATCCTTGTAGGCCCTTCTGAATACCAAGAGAGGATCTTAGATCCAGAGCTGTGAGGGGCGATGATGGCTAACCAATCCAAGTTCCTGATTGTATGGATGAGGAAACTGAGGCTCAGGGAGATTAAATGATTATCCCAAGCCTCCTCGTGTAGTGAGTCTTAGAGACAGGACTTGTAATGATGGCTTCCTCCTCCAGAGGAAGTGATCTTCCTCCAACTACCAGCCAATACGAGCTTATTTAAAGAGACATTGAATTCATGGCCCCTTTCTCTCATAGTCTTATTGTCTCCATCACACCACTTCCAGGTATTTGAAGGAACAGCATTGGATGTCTGTGGGAGGAGTGCCCTTCATTTAGTCTATGGAAGGTCTCTGCTGGCTTGTTACCCAGTCATGCTGCAAGTTTTGGTGGAGCTCACCAGAGTTTACAAACAGCAACATGTGATACAGAGATGACTCCATGGCGCCTCCTCCCCAGGGCTCTGGGGACCCTAAGTTGAGAACTGTTGCTTTCAGGCATTTTCGAGGAAAGATGTATAGAGTCGTAGGAAGGGCATCAGGCTCCTAGTCGGAGCAGGCCTTTGAGCCCTGGCTCTGCCACTCACCAGCTGAATGCTCTTCAACATTTCCCCCTCCTCTCTTGGCCTGTCTTTCCTCCTCTGTAGAATGAGGGGTGGACAAGGTGGCCTCTAAGGCCAGGAGGGTGGGGAAAGGGGCAGCAGGTCTGCTTGAAGCCTCTCTGTCTCTTGCCCAACCTCACATCTAATGTCAGTGAGCAGCAGAAGGATCAAAGTTTGGCTAAGAGCAGAGGAGGAGGCAGAGTCCACCCACCAGGCCCTCCCTGCAAAGCCTGGACACTGGATGACAGAACAGGAATTTCTACTTACCCCACAGTCATTCGCTCCATCACCACACATGCCGACATAGTAACTGGAGGAAAAAGGACATGGACAAATGAGTCATCTCCATCACCCCTGGCAGGCCTGCCCTGTGTGTGGTGTGCTCAGAGAAAGAAGGGTTCTGGGGCACAAGCGACCAGAGGATCTTGGCCTTCTCCTCCTCTGGGTTATCTTAACCCAGCCCCCTTCATCACCAGGGGTATCTCTGGAGACTTCCAAGGAGGCCCTAATAGGGCTCTAGTCCTAGACCTTGGAGGAACTTCTGACATCGAAGAAATCCTTCAGGAAGAGGCCCATCGGTGACCTTAGCCACTCCTGCACCAAACACTGAAGGATTCCACCATCAGAGCTTCTCCAGCTTAGCCTCATGCAACAAACAGTCTGAGGGGTTTGTTTGTTAACTGATGCTGTGACTTCCGTGTGATACTTGGTGATGAAAATCATAGCAATAACTAAGTAAATGGAACACCCTTCATGCACGCACACTTGCACACACGTATGTGTGTACACATCTCTGAAGCATCTGATGAACCACCCTCATGTACTTCATGAAATCACTCTGAGAACACCAAGATTGCAACCAGCTCATATACGCTCAGAGAGACAAGGAATGAAATCAGGCACATCAAGGATCCCCATGTTACGAGAGAAACCAGGAAGGAAGAAATACTGCGACACCCTCCTAGAACTGGTTAGTAATTGTATCAATAAGCTAAACAGATATGTTGGGCTTGCCTTCTTTTGTTATCCTAGTTCAGTGCTTAATACAGCATCTGGCACATAACAGGCACTTACACAGTTGGTGATGGTGGTGATGATTATGACACTGATGAGGAAGAAGAATAGGAGTGAGAGAAAGAAAAGGAAAAGGAGGAGGAGGAGGAGAAGGAGAAGGAGGAGGCGGAGAAGGAGGAAGAGGAGGAGGAGGAGGAAAAGAAGATGATGATGATGAAGAAGAAAAAGGAAGAGGAGGAGGAAGAAGAAGAAGACAATGAAGATGAAGAAGGAGGAGGAGGAGGAAAGAGAAGAAGGGGAGGAAGAGGAGAGGGTAGAGACCAGGTATAAATTCCTCTGTTTGGCTCCCACAGCCCTTTATGCCTGCCCACACTCTCCACATACCTTCTTGCTGGACCTCACACAAAATACTATCCCCAGGCTCTGGGCTGTGTACCCTCCCTGGAATCTTCTCTCTCTCCTAATCTCCACCTCCCAGCTTCCCTGACTTCTCCCAAGTCCCTACTAAAATCCCTGCTCCTACAAGGGGCCTCGCCTGATCCCCCTTACTGCCAGGGCCTCCCCTCTGAGGCTCACCTCTGATTCATCCTCCCCATATCTTGTCTGTACACAGTTGTTTGCAGGTTGTTTCCCCATTAGACCGGGAGCTCCCTGAGGACAGGGACTGACTTTTGCCTTTCTTTGGACCCCCAGCACTTAGCACAGTGCCTGGCACATAGCAGGTGCCTAACCAATGCTTATTGCCTGAATATTGATGGCTTATCCCAAAGCCTTACCCCCTGATTTAAATGACACACAGACCCTCTTCTCTCTCCCTTCAAGCCTGGGTTTGACCTTTACCAACAATCTTTGGAGTCCAGAGAAGAAACACTTCATTTATGCCAAAGAACATACTTTAATTTCTGGAATTCTTCCACAAGGCTTGATTTCTGCCCGGGAGACATCCTGGCAAAAATGGCTCCATTCACCAGGATCTACCACGAAAAACACCAGGACGATGAAATGAGAAAGGAAAAACCAGTAACAATCATTAAAACAAAGCCTCCCCCGTAATGACCCCCACAGAATGCTGGGGGCTGAGGCAACAGCAGGATGAAAAGATGTTGGGCTTTCATATTTAACCAACCACATAAGCGCTATAGCCCGGGGCCTTGTGCGCCATCCACCCCATCAGTTATGTCTACAATGCTTCCCTAGCACCAATCAATCAAAAAACAACAGCCCAGAGGAGCAGGACAAGATGCTCAAGAAACCACGTGGCTCTCTATTGGCAGGACGCATGAGGTGCCAGGGGGCACAAGACGCCGTGTGCAGATGGTCAGCTCACTCTGCCTGGGCACTGCTTGTCTGCCAGGGACTCAAGTCCCAGGACTACACACCACGCTTTGAGAATAGGAAGCGGAGAGGATGAGACTGGGCCTGAATGGATGCAGGAGGTGGGAACCAAGGCCTTCTGCTTGCTTCTCCTGGCTCTGAGACACAGACCCAAGCATAAAGAAGGAAGGGGCGTTTCAGTGTGAGGAGTGCAAAGTCTGGAATCAAGCATCTGGATGCCCATCCTGGCTCACCTCTTTGCCCCCTTTCTGTCCTGGGGTCATTACTTCACCTGTCTGGGCCTCAGCTTCCTCCAACTTGAAGTGTGGGAGTTAGATTAGATGACCCCAAATCCCTTCCGAGTCTCCATCTATGATTCCCTGGAGGACTCGTGGTTGATAACCTCCCAGCAGGTCCGGGTGCCCACCCCTTTGACCAGGCTGCATCCCTGGCATTCCCTACAAGGCTCTTTCTCCATGGAGAGTGGGGATGGCACAAGATCTAGAGGAAACATGGCCCCATCCAGGCCAGCAGCTCTTCCCTGTCCCAGGTGACAAAGGGAAACTCTCCTCTTCTTCACTTACTTTGGGAAGCAAATTGCTGAAATGCTGGGTGATCACTCGGTAAGATTTCCCACTCATGGCGAAGTGGTAATCGTCCCCTGGCCTCCCTTCATGGAAGGAGCCATCTTGGATGGAAAGGCAGGTCTCCTAAAACCCAAGATGCAGCATATCTCGGTATCAGGTGTGAAGCAGGCGATATTTGCCTCTGCTACCATCCCACCTCCCTTCTTCCTGCTCCATTTTCTCTCCTCCCAACACCATTACCCAGACTGTCCCCATAGCCCCTGGTGCCAACGCCCAATGGCTCTATCCCAGGGTCTGGGCTTCCCTGTCCGCCAGCCTAACTTTTGAAATGTACCCACCCTATGTCTCCTTCTTTCCAGATCCCAGCTGACTTCCAAGAAGGAAAAGATCTAATAAATTAATTCCCATTTGTGGAGCTAGTGGCCAATAATGCCTTATTTTGGAAAGCTTGTATTTAGGTATCTTTCGACTGTCCAAAGCCAGCATAATTGAAAGCGTGCTGCTCTCTAAGTGAGAAGATTCAATCTCTTCGCTCTCTCTGGAGCATTGGCATTTTAATGAAAATTCTCCAGCGGTACAATTACAGACTGTGTCAGTGTCTGCCTCCTCTGCCACGCCCAAGGCTGACACTTTTCTGCCCTCCTTCCTCTGCCCACCCAAAGAAGATGCCCAAGGAGGTTGTTATCTGCAAACGTGGGGACTGGCCTGGCCCTAACCAGGCTGCCCATGATCCAAAAACTCATAATACAATGGGAAAAGCTCAGAAGACCTGGGCTAAGCCTTGGCAAAGCCACTGGTTGTGTGACATGGGGGAAGCCACATGATGGCTCTGGGAACACCTGTCCTGGCTTCATCACAGGGCTGCTGGAAGGAGACAACCCTCTGTGGATTGAAGTTGTTATCACTTTAAAAATGCACTAGCATATATGAAAACACTTAGTGCAACGCCTAGCACAGAGTAGGTGCTTAATAAACGCTCATTGACTGACTGACTGAAAGGCTTGCTGGCTCAGGGATTTGCCAGTTTTGTAAACATGGGATTAAAATAAGGGGATGTCAAAGTTCCCTAGACAGATCATTAGGGAGGAGATAGATATATCAAGGTTGGATCTCGGCTCTGCCACCGACAACCTGGATCACCCGTGACCTTGGGGAGATGATTTAGCTGCTCTGGGCCTCAGTTTCCTTATATGGATAATAAGGGGCAGTTAGTGTCTGGGTTCCCTTCCAGCTCACAGTCCTGTGGTCCTGAGGAAGCTCCCTGGTGCCTGTTACCAGCCCCACTGCTTCCTGCCCCCACCTTACAGTGGACCAGGCTCTCAGACAGGCGCGCCTTATTTCTGTGACCATCCACTTTGTCCTCTAACAGCTGCCAGGTCACAGATGCAGGAGAGAATCCTTCTGGTTCATTGGCCTCAATGAGGATCACCTTGTTTCCTTGAGGAATCATTTCAGAATTTTTCGCGACTGTGATGGCTGTCTGAAGGTTATCCCCTGGATCAAAAAGAGAAAAAAGAAAAGAAAATCGATGTCCTTACTTTATACGTGACAACAGATTCCAAATATCCTTCCCCACCGGAAACCCTGGGGCAGGTGCCCTGGCGTAGGTGGGGGAGCTCTGTGGCTGGGAGCCGGGCTCACACTGGCCCGTTCTTCCCATGCGCAGTGTGGCTGATGTCCAGGGCCTCTTCTGCTCAAACGCTGAGACAAGCAGCTCTATAGCCTCTCTTAGGTAACCTTTGTCACCATCCTCTCGCCGGTCTCCCAAGTCCCTTCAAGGGCTACATCCCACGTGAAGCTTTCCTGACGTTTCCACTGCCTAGCAGCTTCCCCCTGAACTGGCGCTGTATCCAGTAGGTGCTACCATGTATCGACATGCGTCCTGCGTCTCCTCTGCTCAAGACAATGGGAGCTCCTCGAGGGGGAGGGGGACCGTTCCATCCTTGTCACTGTATCCTCTGTGCCTAGACTGATGGGGGGCAAAAGGAGCCATTTCTCAAATGTTTGCTGAGTAAACTCGAATGCTTCCCGTCCTCAGAAAACATCTGATGACGTCATAGGCACAGAAGCAGGCCGAAAAGGAGCCTTGCTGTTGCTGTTCCCTCATATCCAACTCTTCTGACCCCATTTGGGTTTTTCTTCGCAAAGACACTGCAGTAGTTTACCATTTCCTTCTCTAGCTCAGATGAGGAAACTGAGGCACACAGGGTTAAGTGACTTGCCCAGGGTCACCCAGCTAGTAAGTGTTTGAGACCAGATTTGAACTCAGGGAGATGAGTCTTACTGACTCCAGGCTGGCATTCTGTGCACTATGGCGCCCCCTAGCGCTCCAGAAGGCACCTTAGGGACCACCTAGCTTGTCTCCTTCATTTATGCATGAGGAAACTGAGGTCTAGAGAAACGACCTGTTTGCAGTCTCCCAGGTAGTGAGAAACTGAGTCGGGAGGCAAACCCAGGCATGGCCTTCAAATCCCAAGGTCACTGCTTTTTCCCAGTGTGCTCTACTGGCAGATGTGTCTTGCTTTACACAATGCACATGTTCCAGAAAATTGGCATGTAATCTGAGTTTTTGTGTGTCAGAATCGCTGGTCGGCACATGAGGATTTCACTGCGGCGCACGGGAAAGAAAACATTGGATTTGAACTTGGGTTCAAATCCTGCCTCTGTATCTTACTACTCGTATGACCCTGGGCAAGTTGACTTGATTTCTCTTGGCCTCAGTCTCCTTATCTGTAAAATGAGGCTTTAGAGGAGATGACCTCAAAGGTCCCTTTCACATTATTAGGACCTTCCTTCCCAGGCCACCCCTAAGTAGACAGACAGTCGTCGTATGGCACATACTTATCACCCAGAGGCCCACGAGTCAGGAGTTCACTGCTGTTTGCAGAAATGTGGACAGCCTTCCTTCACTGGGAGAATGGAGAAAGTGATAGATTTAGAACTAGAAAGCCAGGGTTCAAATCCTCTTGCTTCCTGTGTGACCTTGGACAAGTCACCTCACTTTCTTCCGCAGCCACATGGGTGGTTGGGGGAAAAGACCTTCCCAGGTCCCTTTAATCAATCAATCAGCATTTATTTAGTGCCTACTATGTGTCAGTAACTGAGCTAAATTCTAGGAATACAAAAAAGGCAAAAGCCAGTGCCTGCACTCAAGGAGCTTACAGTCTAGTGGGGGAAATTTCCAGGCTGGCATTCTACCATCAGGTGTTGCCCCTCATTTATTTGTATAATTGGCTCTGGTGTGTATACTTTGGCCATACCTCAGAACAGAATTGGTTTCCAGATAGCATGAGATTAGTGATTTAAAGCCAACAGAGGTAAAAAGCATGCAAAGTGACTCATTTTACAGATCAGAAAGCTGAGGCACAGAGAGAGGGGGTTGCTTCACTTTTATATCAAGTGTCAAGGGCAGGATTTGAACCCAGGTCATTTGACTCCAAATCCACCCCTCTTTCTACTGTACTCCTCTCTACGTACCCCCTCACATGTTCCTCTGGCTTCTCATGGTCAGTCATGATCAGCATGCTGTGAGCAGGTGACTTCAAGCCTCCATTAATGAATGCACACAGAGGTGAAGGGGGGAGGAGTAGGAGGGAGGAGCAAGACAGGCCAGCCTCAGTTTGGTAGCTCATGATATACCCAGTCCTTTTCTGCCTAACCAGCAGGAGGCAGAAAACTTACAAGAAGGACAATATCAGCACATCACCACATCAGCAGCCACATCTTGAGTTTTGGTCAAAAGGGAGAAAACTGAGACCCTCTGATCATATTGGCATCCTGGCCCCTCCTCAATGCAGACAGCCTAGAAAACTACCTTGCAACCTTGGACTACTCATGCCACCTCTTGGGGCCTCAGTTTCCCACTCTGTAAAATGAGGGGGTCACTAGATGGCCAGTCTCCAGGGCCTTTCCTGCTCGGGATCTATGATAGTGAAGTAGGACCGTAGCCAGTTGGGACTGTCTGAGATTGCCACAGAAGTGGTGACCTGCCAGGCATGGTCCTGAAAGGGCAATCCCAGGGCAGGGGCAGGAGGAAGCAAAGGACATGAAGATGCCACCGGCCCATATCACCCAGCAGCCCCAGCTCCTGCCTGGATCAGTAGCAGATACAAGGAAATGGAGATTAGGACTAGGAGCCTGCCCTGGCCCTTGTTCCAGCCTTAAAAGCCAATTCCCAGAATCACAGATCAGATGAGCCCTCAGTAGCTGTGAAGTCCAGCCCATGCCTGAACAAGCACCCCCCAAGCTGATCCCCAACAGTTCTCTTTTCTAAAGACCAATTCTGTTTGGCAGATCTCCCGAGGAGGGAAGCCTAGGACCTCCCAAGGTGGGCCATCCATCCCACCCATGGAAAACGCTTGAGGTCAGGCAGGCTCTCCTTCCCAGACATCAGTCTTGAATCACCACTTCTCAGCTTCCGCTCCCTGCACCTGTTCCATTGGGGCCAACAGAAGAAGTCTAATACTTCAAATGCTTGAAGAAAATGAAACTCTCACCCCCAATTTCTCTTCTCCATGCTAAACCTTCCACATTGCTTCAGTCTATCTGACTGAGTGACTCAGTCCCACCTTATCAACGTCCTTCCCAAAATGTGGTGCCCAGAAGAGACAATAACCTATATCCAATAGGATACCACCTCCTTGTTCCTAGAGGCCCTGTTTCCCTTACTGAATAATTCCTATCATGAATCCTATTTCATATGGCATGGCGGCCACATCATACGTTGAGCTTTCAGTCCACTAAAACTACTAGATCTTTTCCAGACCAGTAGCTGCCTGACCAGTCTTCTCCCATCTTGGATTCAACAGGTAACTATTGAAACTAAATGAGAAGTGTTAAGCTCATCCCAGCTGGACCTCCTTTTATTCACTAAACCCAATGTTCTTGGCCACCAAGAACCTTTTGGGTGCTCATCATGCCAGGGTGTTAGCTTTGTGTCCTTGGCACACTCACTAAGCGCGCCAACACACATGCCTTTATTTAAACCACAGCTAAGAAGGTTAAACAGCACAGATATCTGGGACACTCCACTAGAGACTTCTTTCTGAGTTGAGGCCATACAGGAAGCTCAACAGTTCACCCCTCTCTGAGCCTGAGTAATGGTGCCATCTGCTAATCATCCATGCTTCTCCATCTTATCCACAAGAACAGCACAAGCGACTTTACCACTGCTTTACTAAAATCTAGGCAAGTGCCAGCCATAGCAATCCCCTGATCTATCAGGATGGCTGCTGAGAGAAGGTTGAGGTCACCATAGAAGGGCTCACAGGACCAAGTGACTCAGGAACCTCCGAAAGAGCCACGCAGATGATGGCCCTCTTAGGGTGGGCCCAGGGCAGAGAAAGAGCTCTTGGCTAAAGATTCTGCTTGTCAGCCACCCTCCTGAGAGACACTGGAGGTGACCAGGGAGCAGGCTTCAGTAGGTGCAATGGGGAGGACAGCCTGAGTGAGGCTGCTCACAGCCCAGACTGTATGGAGCCTGCTCTCTGAGATGGCAGCTCTGAAGTGCCTTTTATAGGGACCCTACTAGTATCGCACTAATTAGCCATGATGTTCCAGTCCCAAAGTGTACCCTAAAGCAGGGGTGTCCAACTCACATTGAAACCGATCCCTTTGGGTCACACGATGACTTAGGAAACCACAAATAAACATTGCCTACTGGATTGTATTTTCACATATTTTGCTAAATATTTTCCCAGTGACATTTGAATCTGTACTAGGAGGGTTGCCTTGATGTCTGGGATTGTTACCTCTGACACCTCCATTGAAGAGATACATGATCTAATAACAACCAGCCAAGCAAATCTGGACTCCCAGACGTTACCAGGATGCCACCACTGAGTGCCATCATCCCTGCAACCAATGTGCCCTTCACAACCCTTGTTCTTGAGACCCAGACACCATCTTTGTTTCCAAGACCAGCTTAGGGGCCATCTCTTACATGAAGCCTTTCCTGACCCTCTCAGGACAGTGGTACCTTCCACTGACTGAAATCACTTTGCATTCGCTTCATATCAGTCTTATATTTTCTTAAGCATGTACACATTGTAGATGCCAATGGAATGTAAGCTTCCCCAGGACAAGGACTGCTTGCTTCTCTGTTTGTAACCTTACCAACCATCTCCCTCCCCACTGGAATTTGAGCTTTCTAAAGGCAGAGACCATGTTTTGCTTCCACTGGCATCCCTGTGCTCAGCACAGTGCTTTGGACGTGGTAGGTGCTTAATAAATGCTTATTAGCTGACTGACAAGCCTAGTATAGAGCCTGAGTACACAGCAGAAAAGAGAAAACTTGACCAAATGGAGCCATTTCCAGAGACTCACTCAGTCACTCAAAAGCATTTTCTTGGGCCCTCATTAAAGTCTGACTCTTGAATTTTCTGAGGACACTGACCTGTGATCATGACCGTCCGGATGCGAGCACTGCTCAGCTCTCTCAAGACTGGCTTGGTCTCTTTTTTCAAGCGATTTTCCATGATCAGAAGGCCTAGAAATGTTAACTCTGACTCGACTTCCTCCCTTTGGATTGAAAAGAAAAATAATATTTAAAAGGAAGCCATGCGGCAATGTGGCAGGTGAAAGATGAAATAAATGCCTGCAGAAACAAAGGTCTATGTTTCCAAGCGTTTTGATTTATTAAGCGATGTGTGGCAATTGCCCAATTGATCAGGACTAGTTGCCTTCCTCGGCTTTTGCACTGGACCCTAAATACACGACTTTTATAAATTAAAAACAATTACTTAAATAAGACCAATTCATTAAAATGAAACAATTCATCAGGATACAAGATCAGATAATCTGGTTTCTAATTGGAGGAAAGACTTGGGGTTTTCCAAGTTGGAAAGAGGAGAGTGAACACGTGCAACTCCATGAATTCAGAAAAAGAGGTGTCCCACTCCCCACAAGTGTCTGTAAGCAATCAAAGGAACACAGAAACAACAGCTGATTGATCAGGAGGTTGCCAGTTTTCAGATAAGATGTAAGGATTGCTTGAGATGTACAGTTGTGAGGAAACTCCTTGCCTCAATCTTCAGATCTGATCAAGTTTCTGATCAGCATGAGCAGGTCCTTGGTCGAGGCTCTCTAAGCAACAGTTGGGGGTGGTCCAGCTTCCCAGCCACACAGGGTTAGGCGCAAACAATGCAATAAAGTTTTCTTCCAATTCCCATAGACAAATAAACTTTTTTCACAGGACAGAAATTGGACTAGACCCATAACTGGATAGAAAGGGAGCTGAGCTAGTGCCAGAGCTGAGTCCCAAGATGGAGTCAGTGGGTTCACTTAATTCTCACCATTGCTGCTCCAATCTTCTCAGTTTCCTCAGTGACTAGAATAGGATGCCTTGATAGCAAAGAGAATATAAGATCTGGGCAAGAGCACCATGGAAGCCATAGGGCAAGATTGCAGGTGCGCTGAGCTGAACAGCCATGCAAAGACCTGAACGACTACGGAAGTGGAAGAGTCTGTGCTGGAGAATCCACGCTGTGCCCTTGTCTAAGTAAGGATTTCGATCCTTTTCCATGCAAAACTCAAAGGGAAGCTGAGGTGCCGCTCAGGCTCAGGACAGCTGTGTCCTTAGTGCCACAGTTCTGCAGACCCAAGGGTTTTATGGCAAACCCTGTTTTTAAAGTGCCTAAGTTTTACCCTTTGGGTATTTCATTTCTGCAAGTGAAGGTACAATTCAATTCAGTTCAATAAATACTTATCCAGTGTCTACTATGTACGAGGCACTCAGGCATACACATGCTGGTCTTGAAGGAAAGCTTAGCTGCACCTGGGACGATGGAGTGGCCAAGTGTCTGTGTGATGATGGGGAAGTCACATGCCCTCTCTGGACATCATTATCCTGAGGGATGGGGGGGCTGAGACTAGGTGACCACCAAGGTCCCCGGAAACTCTAAAATCCTGTGCTGATTCAGTGCATGTCCACACCACCACGTGCCAATGAAGAACAACAGATGTTGTGGGGACACCAGCCGCAGAGCTGCTTACCTGGTATGAATGCCCATCTCTGGCTGCTTCCCTGCCTTTAGAGGTTTGTGAGCAAGGCCAATGACCCGGAAACCTTGCATGGTGTAAAGCTTCAGCGCCTCCTTAAAATTTGGGGGCACTGTTGGGAGAGAAGAAAATGGTGAGCTCTAGGTCTCCCTGAAGCCTCCATGGGTCACACCTATGCAGGCAGCTGATGTTTTAGCCTATGGGATCATTCCTGGCCCCTGAAAGCCTCAGCAAATCTGTCCTTGGGACCATGATTACAGCTAGAGATTTCAGTCATCTGTGGAGGCTCAGAAGAATAAAACAACTATCTCATAAGTAACTGGAGCACAGGGATGGTTTCATTTGTGTTTTGTAGCCCTACTACCTAGCAGAGTACCTGGTATACTATAGGTGCTCAATAAATGCTTATGGTATTCAGTTGAGATGCTGAAGAAAGAAAGAAAGAAAGAAAGAAAGAAAGAAAGAAAGAAAGAAAGAAAGAAAGGAAGGAAGGAAGGAAGGAAGGAAGGAAGGAAGGAAGGAAGGAAGGAAGGAAGGAAGGAAGGAAGGAAGGAGAAGGAAGAAAGAAAAAAGAAAGAAAGAAAGAAAGAAAGAAAGAAAGAAAGAAAGAAAGAAAGAAAGAAAGAAAGAAAGAGAAAGAATGAGTGAATCTGGGAAATGGAGTACATTGGAAAATATATCTGTTGGGCTCCCCAAGGAAGAAAGTAAACTATGGTTACATTTACCTGAGACCAAAACATGTAAGGAAATGTGAAAAACGCAGTAAGTTATGTAGTTGTTTTTTTCCCATATGGTATCAAACATCTGATTGTTTGGGGGTCCACTAAACCCTGTGTCTGATTCCTCTGAATCCATGACATATAAACCATCAGAGGTCATGTTCAAGATCAGAGTTTCTTTTCGTTCCCATATTTATTAGTATTTTCAAGAGACAACAGTTAGAGATTGGGAACCATTGTTAGGAAGCTAATAAAATGGCAAATGGCAACCAGAGACCCTGTGAAGAAGCTGATGGGAAAGGAAAGGGAAGGTTGTAACCCAACAGGGTGGTCCACGTTTGTACAGTAAAGAAAAGCTTGTTCAGTCATCTAGGAGGCAGGAGGGAAGAGGAGGCAAGATGGCAGCTTCTGGAAAGGCTCCCTATGCTTTTGGGATGAATATGGAGCCCTCTGTTTGCCAGATGGGATCCTTTCCAGGCTGACTCCCTCCCCTTCTTGGACTCTGCAGACCAGACCAGCAGGCAAACTCCCCACTCCCATGAATGACCATATCCTCTTGTCTCTGTGTCTGTGAATAAGCTGTCTCTCAATTCCAGGAATACTCTCCCTCATTTCTACCTTCCATAGCTCCCTTCAAGATGCAATTCAAGGAGCGCTCCTTAGACCAGACCTCTCCTGCTTCTTCTCCGCATCTACCAACCCCAAGTAGCCAGGTAGAGACCTGGACCTCAGGAAGACCTGAGATTGAATCCTGCTTCCAACACTAGCTACGGGACAGGAAGTGGTAATTGAACATCGAAGTTTCAGTTTCGCCTTTAGTAAAATGGGGACAACAACAGCACCCTTCCTTCCAGGGTGCTTGTGAGGGTCAGATGTGATAATATTTGTAAAGCACTTTGCAACCTTAAAGTGACATGTAAAGTGACTAGGTGTTATTATTGGTTGTTCTACTCCCTCATCTCTGGAAAAATTAAACTACATTTTTATCCTAAGGACTTTGCGTTTATGTACGGAAAGAGATAGATTTTTCTCTTGCCTAAAATATAGCCCCCAAATTTCTGCTGACAAACAAATGTAAGAAAGGTAGGAATGTTGGTTTAGGGGATAGGGATGGAAAAGAGAGTTCTCTTTCCCATCAGGCTGTACTCCTTCAGACATCTCCCCATTCCCTGGAGAGCTCTTCATTCTGGAAGAACACTTCAGCCCTGAAATTCATGCCATGGAAGCTTCCTCTGCCCACTTGGGCCTCTCCCACAGATGGGATGACCCCTCCCAGAAACCAGCCCAGCTAGCTCTTCATGGCCCTCCAAGTTACATTCCTCTGACCTCCTCCATCATTTTCCCCATGGTGGGCACCTTCTTCTTCCTTACACACTAACTTTTTTGCTTCTTTTGGGTTGTCTTTCCCAATAGAATGTAAGCTCCTTGAGTGCAGAGGTGGTATTTCTTTGTGCTTGTATTTCCCAGCCTTAATACAGTGTCTGGTCAGTCATTCAGCCATGTCTAACTCTTTGTGGCCCTGTGGACCATCTGAGGTTTTCTTCACAAAGATATTGGAGTGGTTTGCCATTTCCTTTGATAGTGGATTAAGGCAAACAGAGGTTAAGTGATTTGCCCAGGATCACACATCTAGTAAATGTCTGAGGCCAGATTTAAACTTAGATCTTCCTGACTCCAGGCCCAGCACTCTATCCACTGAATCATCTAGCTGCCCCTTTCTACCTTATAGTAAATGCTTAATAAATGCTTATAGACTGACCTCCTTCCTTTCCCCTTTGTTCTGGTTCAAATTCATTTTAATTCTAAGCTAGCAAGATCTTGATAACCCTAAATCAGGGAGTTTCTGCTTTAAATATTAATGTCAAGAGGAAAATGCCTAAGCCCATTGCTGTGAGTTCTTTGTGTGATTTTATTTCTTTTTTTAATGTTTTATTTTGAAACTGGGGTCTTTAGCTTAAAGCCAAAGATCTTTTTTTTTTCAATTTTCTAACATTTTTGTTTAAAATTTTGAGTTCCAAATTCTATCCCTCCCCTACTCCCTGAGATGGTAAGCAATCAGATATAGGTTATACTTGTGCAATTATGTAAAACGTTTCCATATTAGGCATTTTGTACAAGTAGGCTCGAATGAAAGAAAAAAAATGAAAGAAAGTGAAAGCTAGCCTGCTTTAGTCTGTATTCAATCAATATCAGCTCTTTCTCTGGAGGCGGGTTATCTGCTTCAACATGAGTACTTTAAGGTTGTCTTGGATCATTGTATAGCAATGCTGAAAATAGCTAAGTCATTCACAATTCTTCATCAAACAAGGTTGCTATTACTGTGTACAATGTTCTCCTGGTTCTGCTCATTTCACTCGGCATCAGCTAATGTAAGTCTTTCCAAGTTTTTCTGAAATTATCCTGCTTGTCATTTCTTACAGCACGATAGTATTCCACCACAATCATAGACCAGTTTGTTCAGCCATTCCCCAGTTGATGGGCATTCCCTCAATTTCCAATTCTTAGCCACTCTGCATGATTTTCATCAGTTTGGTGGGTTCTATTGCTGCTTATTCTGTCAGTTCATTAAATGCCTGCACTTGGAACTAATCGCGACTGACCAAAAAAAGTAAATACATCAGTGGGGATCCAAGGGGGAGAGGGGATTCTCACTAGTTTTTATATATATACATATATATATACATATATACATACACACATACACACACACATATATACACACATGCACATATATACATATACACACATATATACACATACATATACACATATATGCACATATACACACGAATGTGCATGTACACATACATAGATACATATACACACATATACATACACACATACACAAATGTGCACATATACACACAAACATATACACATATATACATATGCACACATGTGTGTATATACACATATACATAAATGTACATATGCACATAGATACATTTACATGTACATATGTACATATACACATATACACATATACAAATGTACATATATACACACAAATATGTACATGTACATCTACATACACACACATACTTCTCTGTGTACTATTGTTTAATTCCAGGAGAATGTAACCTCCTCAAGGGCAGAAATGTTTTCATTTTTTATTATTGTCCCCAGCACAATATATTGTATGTGATACGAACTTAAAAATCCTGGTGATATTAAACTGAAAGTAAAAGACTCCAAAACGAAGGAAAGGTGAAGAGATCTTTGGGTTTGACCAGAAATTCCACATAAACAGCAATGACCAATCTGTCATCATGAAAGGAGGATGGAGGTAGCAATACAGAGACATTCGGCATTTGATCTAGAGGAGCTCATTTGAATGTAAACAATTTTCTTACGCAAATCTGGACCTGTTTTCCTCGGGAGTTAGTCAGACTAGGAATCAGCACAGATGGGTTTGGAGCGGGCCCAGAAAGTGGATTCCCTGTGAAGTTTTCATTTACTCTAATGCACCGAAGCTCCTACAGCTGCCCGCCTCTCCATTCTGCATTTGCCCTTCTGAACTTCTGTTGGTACATTCATTAGGCTAGGTTTGTTTGCTGTTTGGGATTTGTTTTCTGGCTTAGAAAGAAGAACACCCACAGACCATGGCCCAGCTTCATACCTGTTTCTGGTCTGCAAAACCTGGCCACCATTTCTGGGGCTCCCTTCATGTATGCGTCGAAGTGGTCTTTGCCGATCTGCTGGGTAATAACTGACATTCTCTGCAGGCCCGAAGAAAACGGAAACTGATGCAAAATGGCGACTGCTTTTGCTGGAGTCTAGAGATATACCAGAAGGGGGCAGTGTTAAGTCACAGCATCACAGACCTAGAAAGCAGCCCCGGGGCCGCCTACTCCAGTGTGGATCTGGACAAGAATTCGGTTTACAACATTCCTGACGAGCAATTCTCTACTCTCCGCTTGCAGACCGTGAGTGAGAGGGAGCTCACCGGCACCTGAGGTGGCCCATCCTCTTCGACAGCTCCCGTCTTGGGGAAGTTCTCCCTGACGTGAAGCCTCAATCTGCCTCTTTGCGGCTTTTCCCCGGGGCTCTCAGCCCTGCCTTCTGGGGCCAGGAAGACCGAGTTACCCGATCCTCCCCCCCCCCCCCCCCCCCCCCCCCGGCAGTCCTTCAAATGCTTCAGGACACCTCCCCCATCCCCTGGGGCTTCTCCTCTTCAGATTCAATACCTTTCATTGGTGCTCATGTAGCTCCTGACACCCCAAATTGTCTGCCTTTGGACATTCACCGGCATATCCACTGAATTATGGTGCCCAGAACTGCCACCACCCTCCGGATGGGCGCTGATCAGGGCAGAGGCAGGAGGGTGTCACCTCCTCGTTCCTGGATGCCCTGCTTTTCTTAACGCAGCGCAAATCACATGAACGTTTCTGACAATGATACATCCTACTATTAACTTGTATTGAGCCCCTGGTCCACTAAGACCCTGCATCTCTTTTATTTAAACTGTTATCTAGCCACACTCACTGATGGGCGAGTTTGAAGAGAATTCACAATAACAAATAAGGCTTGTCCATGTCCCTTAATAAGATCTGAATGCCCAAGGGCTAGGGGTTTAGGTCCTTGCCTTGTGTTCCTATGATCCACAGACCCAAGGGCCCTGGCCACTGAAATTCTAATATAAAGTCATATACTCATCCCCTATTATAACTGAAAACAAGCAAAAAACAGAGGATTTGTGACCACCTTATACCTTGAGGATAAACCCATGTCCACAAGAGCACACCCAATCACAAATTCATGGCAAATGGACATTTTTTCAGGCCTCCCCTAAGGCAGCAATCACTGAAGGTTAAGAGAGTACCTGGGACCTGAGCAGAAGGGGAATCACAGAAATGTCACCCGTTCTAAGGAACATGGTCCCTGTTATGAAAAGGCAAATCTTACTTGGCTTGCTTGAGGGCCTGGCTTAATGATTGTGCTGGAAGCTGGTATTCCAGAGTCACTGTAATCCACAGAGGAATCCTCAATGATCTGTTTGAAGATATTATGAAACATTCTTCAGTGCCCTTTCAGATCCTTCAAAGGTGTTCCAATTTAGTTCGACAGTGGAGACATTACTTAAGAGCTTCCCTCCGTGGTCCAGTGTTAATAAGGAAGAACACAGACTACTAGAAAGGAGCCAGGATACACAGGTGCAAATGTAGGCCTCACCACTTACTGTAGAACTAAGTTAGTAATGGTGGACAGAGCACTGAACTTGGAATCCTCAGACCTGAGTTCAAATCTTGTCTATGGCTACCTGGGTGCCTCTGGGCAAGTCTTTTCTTCTCTCTGAGCCTCAGTTTCCTCATCTGTAGAATGAGGGGCTTGGAATAGATGATCTTCCAGGCCACTTTTAGCTCTAGAGCAATCAGCAAGTCAGTCATCCTCCTTGGGTTATCTCAGTTTCCTATTCTGCCTTTAGCGACAGATCTATGACCTCTGTGGGCATTGCTACATCATCACATAGGTCACAAACCTCAGAAAATCAGAACCCCATCAGAAAATGTTTAGGTTACCTCAAAAATTCACAGCCACTGTGGCACAGAGGAGGGGAGCCTCCAGGAAGCCTCTCATCAACTTAGCTGATGCAATTAGCCTTGAGGTGAATGTTAACAGCTGAAGCACATTGGCTTCAGCAGCACCATGGCCTATGGGGTTGGGTCCCGATCAAAAAACCCCTGCAGGCTGGCTGAGATTCCTGGGGGGAAGACTCTGTTCATCCCTCTGAGGTGAACTGATGCTCATGCATGTTACATTCGATGTGTCCAAGAAGGATTGCCGAGTTTCTTTTTATTGGGGTTGGGATACATGGCTGAAATTCCTAGATAAAGCCATCTGGAAAAGTCTCCTGGGGAAATTAAGAGGATCATAAATTTGTATGTGGAAGGAGTCTAAGAGACCATTGAGTCTGCGCCTCCAATTTTACAAATGAAGACACTGAGGCACAGAGAGTTGAGGTGACTTATCTAGGGGCCTCTGGTTAGTAAGTGACTAAGGCATGTTTTGAACCCAGGTCCTCCTGACTACCTCTCCAGCCTGTATCCTCGCGGCCCCTGGTAGCTCAGTTGTTTGGTTCTGATGCCAACCCTAAGACACCCATCAGCCTCAGGGGCATATAAAGTTTGTCCCATACCTAGTGGGTAATGGGAGCAGGATTTGAACCCAGGGCTAAGTCCAATCCTCTACCTACTCCATGCCGCCTTCCTGGGAACATGCGTAAAGCGGAATGAAAACCTGGACTTGGGGCCCTAGGTTCTGTTTTTCTTTGCCTCTGTGGAAGGCCTTGAATTTATTAACAGACTCTCCATTTCGTGTTGTCCCCATAAAGCTGGTCGGTCTTAGTAAGGTCCGCCATGTCCCATGAGTAATTATCACGGCTCTCCTTCTCATGGCTTGTTTGGTCTTTCTTTGTGCCTCCATTCTTCAGCAGGGTCTTTGGCAAGAACTTAAAAATGCTTACTGACTGACTGAGCCCCTCTGAGAGCCCACAGGGAGGCCGCGTGCTTCCCAGGGGAGGACGCGGTAGCCCAGGCTGCTGCACCTTTGGCTCTCTCCCCCTCTCCCCACCCACTGAGAACATTCTCTCATTCCTGAAGTCTCTAAATTCACTTGTTGGGGGCCTCTCCTTCCCCCATCACTCCACCCTAGGACAGCCTGTCTCCTACTACACTTCCCCCAGGAGTGTATCGGCTCACGGAGGAGAGGACAGGTGTCATTTAGGATGTTTAGTATCCCAGCGCCTAGCTTAGGCCTGAGCATACAGCTTGCAGTACGTGCTCAATAGACGTTTATTGAATTTCTGGGAAAAAAATGACAGGTCCTCATCAGAAGACTCTCACAGTAATTCACATAGAAGAAAACGCGCCCTTACCCAGCTGGTGCCTTCAAACATCTTGACGTCCAGAGGGTCTCCTTGGATGGTCCCGTCCAAAACGATGAGGGAGTGACAGCTGGCCATGGCTCCACAAAGCGGGCCCCAGGGCAGAGCACAGCCAGAGGTGAAGCTGTGGACCTCCTGGAAACTGACAGAGGCCATGAGTTGGAGAACAATGTTCCTTCCCTGAAAAGAAGGGCTTGGGACAAATCCTACCCTTCACTGCCTACTGATCACTGTCATGGAATGTCAAAACAGGAAGTCATACAAATATGATACATACTTTAATATGATAAACATTTTTGACTCAGAGTAAATCATTACAATATTTCCTTCTGTTATGCAAAGATGCAGAGTGGACCGTCCCTCAAAAACTGAAGGGTGCCAGCCTTATTCATTAGGACTTTAGTGGGCTGGAACATGTACATGTCATCAACCAAAGGTTCCAGAGACACTAAGCTGGGCTCCCAATAAAACAGGCTGGAGGCAAATGCTTTAAACCCAACAAAAACTGACATGCACTTCTTGGGCTAAAGCCAAATCCGGGTAGAGTAGGCCAAGCCTTGGCTCTAGAGTTAGGACAGACCTGGGATGAAATCCCAGCACTTACTGGCTCTGTGACTTTGAGCAACTGCTCTCTGAGCCTCAGGCCCTTGGCTGTGAGATATGAATAACACGGCTTACGTGACCCACTTCTCGGGAAAAGGCATCCTGTAAACCCTAAAGACCTGTAGAAATGTGAGTCCACTTTATTGTTTATTGTTATTACTTTTCCCCAAAAGCAAAGCACAGGGTAACAGCAGCATAATGAACAAAGTCAGGAAGTCATGCGCTTGAGCCTTTCGAGCTATGTCACCCTGGGTAGGTTGTTCCATTTGCCCCCGATAACTCCAGAGCTCCAAGGTGGAGCTCCAGTGCCTGTCTGCATAATAGGAGTCCCCTACACTGATGAAATCACAGGGAGAGACAGAAACCAGATACTCCCTCCTTGCTTTTTCTCGACTGCCTCTGACGCAACCCAGCTGGCAAAATTGACAGGCGTGCATGAGGTCATGTCAGAGCAGCCAAGCCCTGAGTGTAGACAGCCACAAAGTCTTATGAAAATAACTTTGTTTTTTGTAAGGTAAGTAACCCAAGCCAGTAGGTACAAGCTGGCCCCACATCCTAATGGGAAAAGCCTGTAGAAGAAGACTGTCTGCTAACACATGAGTACTCTAGGAGGAAAGGATGCCCATTAATAAAAGCCATGCCCACCATTTTTTAAAAGGAAATAAGAAACTGTCTAAAAAGATATACAAATTCTGACCCTTCTGCTTTTTAGGATAATCCCTGAAGGAAAGCACATCTTTACTTCCTCTGTGCCCTGAGGACACAGTCTGGTCACGCCCATTCAGCCCTATGGCTGCATTTGCCCTAACTGCTTCTAGGGCCTCTGTCCACCACTTGGGGTCATATGTGTCCTCTATGACCTCCCTGCTGCTACTTCTTCCTTGTAAGTCACCATGTACTACAGCCATCTTGTGCCAAAAAAGGCATCTTGCCATTTCCCAACTTTGACCCTTGGGAGACTGGGGTGATTGAAGATCACAACCATTCATCCTAACTGGGAATACATTTGTGTTAAAAATAAATGAATAAAAGATTAGGCACTGTGCCTGGAATCATTGAAAATGCTGTGTCATTTCCCAAACAGAATACAATAAGGTATCCTGCTCCCACTTGATTTTGGACCCAACTCATGGTTCATCTGGAGTGCCTGTCCCAAACAGACATTGATGGAATCATTCCATGGACTCTCCATCCAATGGCAGGTCATAGTTTAAGCCAGAGGTGTCAAATATATGTCAGCTTCCCATCTGGAACCAGATGAACATGTAATTGGGAAACATTTGATAAAGTAAACAAAAATAAAATAGGACAAAGATAAGTTCATATGTGGTTTTCTAAGTCAACAATCAGGGAGAGGGTTAATGTCCCTCTTTGTATTTGGCTTGACATCACTGGGCTAGACTACCAGCATTTTTCATCTACTTTTTTTTCCCTCTACGGATGGTTAAGTTGCTCTTATTTGCATAGCCATGGCTCTCATTAAAGAGACAGTACCATGTTCTGAAGATCAATGAAATCACCACAATATCTAATCTGCACAAAGATCTCATGGGACCCTTCCTCACCTCTGTGGAAACCCTCTCCCTCCAGTCTCTGCATACTATGTTCTCCACAATGGGACAAATAACATTGGTGAATATCATCTCCCTCCCTCAACACCTTGCTGGGTGTTAATAATCTGTGAATGTACAGTGGAGCAGTTATCTCCATACCTCTGTATCAGCTGAGTATTTGTGTGTTACCTTACATTACCTTAGGTGGAGGGTCTCTTTAGGTCCTACAATATCAAAGACTATTTTTTTTGAAAGCCAACAATAACAACAGAAGGTTTTGCATTTTCTGCATCTTTCTGTCAATGGAGTGACTGCAAAGGCACATTCTGTAGAGAATTATTTGCCCAAGTCTTCCCATTCCCTTCTCATAGGGCACCACGGATACCCTAGATTCATGTGGTGATCATTCACATAGAGATTTTAGAGTCCACAGATCACGTGAGTCCATAGTTACTGATATTCTTTGGTTTGCTTTTGGAGGATAATTATGTTGACTTTAGTCTCCTCTTTTTTTTTCTTTTTTTTTTTTTTGGTCTCCTGACCTACATGAGATATCTCATCAATCAAGTCCCTGACACCTTTGAGACTTGTCCAGAGTAGATTTCTTTGATGAGTACTTGCTGGAGCCTCCCAGCCCTTCTTGACTCTGATTTCTTAAGAGCTATTTCTACTTCCTATAACAATGGAGTCAGGGGAGGGGCAGCTTGGAGTTCAATCTGCAAGCTCCACTATTTGGCTAATTTGATGAAGGACATGCTACACATGGGGATGGCCGGCCTTCCCTTTAGAGCCCAGCAAGGGCCTGGCCCAGCTCTGGTTTCTAGATCGCACCAAGTACAATGAGAAAGTGGCCAAGCCTGGCCTCACTGATTCTTGCATCGCTCTCTCCTCAAACAGCCCCCATTGAACTCAGCCTGTCTTGCACTTCAGGGCTTCCTTGTGTAAGACACCCCATTTCTGGGGTGCTCCAAGGTTTACAATGGGCTTCTGTAACATGAAGAAACCTCCTCCAGGCAGCTAGAGGCCACCACAGTGGAGAGAGGGTTGGACTGGGAGTCAGGAAGACCTTTGCCAAGAGGCAGAGCTAAACTGGAGATGGGAACAAGCTTCCTAATGTTTAGGCTGCCTTGGAAAGGAATGGGTTTCACTTCATAAGGTCTTCACTAAGGCCAGATGACCACCCGGAAGGGTGTTCTATGAAGGGGATGCTAGGTAGGGCGCTGAATGGGTCATCAGGGATCATCTAATCCATTCCTCTTCTGATAATCTCAGAAGTTTCTTCCAATCCTGTGATTCTGTGGTTCCATTCCCTGATAAAGAGCCATGGGAAAGCTTTAAGGCACTTCTGGTCCACATATGGACATTTTCATGGTCGCTTCCTACAGAGACACACACTTTCTCTTTTCTTTTCTTTTGTCTTTTCTTTGTTTTTCATTTTTTGGGTTTTTTTAGGCAGTTGGGGTTAAGTGACTTGCCCAGGGTCACACAGCTAGTAAGTGTCACCACCTAGCTGTCCCCACTTTCTCTTTTCTAATGGTGGGAATTTCAGTCTAGGCAAGAGTGGAGAATAAAAACTTGGCAGACTTTGGGGAAATGTCTAATGACATTTAAAGTCATGCCACCCAGAGTCAATGATCCCATCCAGAAAGAGGCCTGGCCCTGCTTCGCACCCATCTGTCCTATCCTTAGACCCTTCTCTCAGTGGCCGAGGCTCTAATATTGCCATTCTCAGAATGTTGCCCCTGATCATGTCTCTGCCTCTGGCACCCTCCATGAATCATGGTAGCCTGCGCTTATGTCCAGATGAGGAGGGCAAACAGTGGTCACATCTATGGAGCCAAATCTTGTAGACCACTTTTGCACATCAACTCAAAGAAGTAGGCATTTGGGCCCACGCTCTTCTGTCCTAACTAAAGGAAGAAATCATCCAGGATGGTTCCACGTGCTCTCCTTTGTCCCATCGGTCTCTCTCCTCTCCTTGGGCTGCTTCTCTGCAGCCTTGGAGGTTAATAGTCTGCTTTCACCACCTCCTTTTAAACCCAGGCCTTACTTAATTTAAGGAGGAGGCTAGAATTCATGGAAATTGCTCAGCTCCTGATCAAGGTGATATTCAACCAATACCCTACACAAATCCAGTAGAGACAAATTCACTTACATGTCAAGACACCTACCAGTTTCCCATCACAGGGACAGCCCCCCATAGATCAAGGCCATCTTCTGTCAGCGTGCCTGTCTAGTAAAAATCAGAGTTGATGTTAGCCTCAGTGTCTCAGCTTGGAAGAACAACACATGTAAAACAGACATTACACCCCCTGGAAGTGCCCAAATCCATCATGGCGGACACTAACTCAGCCAAGAGAGGAGAGAACTAAATGTAGTGAGAAAAAATGTTCCTGGGGGACAGACAGGTTTGTTCTAATATTCATGTATGAGAATGAAAAGAGAGACCGTAGCCCGAGCCAAGGGAAGCCTGAGGTGGGTGGATGGTTCTATGATACAGAATTGAATCTCATTCTATAACTGATCGGAAACAGGACACATGAGCTCCTAAGGGAAAGAGACGGCAAATATGTCTGTGTGTACATATAATATATGTACGTATTATACATATACACAAATATATGATATGTAAATATGTATCACAATGTGTGTGTATATATATACACATGTGTATGCATGTACATAGATGCATATACGCATATGTACATGTGTGTGTGCTTCATGGAATTAAAACAAGCCAGGGAAAGTATCTCCAAACAAGAACAAAAAAATAGGCACTGTACATTGCTATTATTTCTAACACATCTGGGGGCTCTGAGGTGGATATATTTTCACAACTGTCATATTATTTGATAAGAAATCAAATGTTTCTGGAGTTCTTTTCTCCAGAGACATGTTTATCATATTATAAAATTTTAAATCTGAAAAGGACCTTTAGAGACCATCTCCCCTACCCCTCATCTTACAGACAAGGAAACCAAGGCATCTGATGTGACTTGTCCGATATCACACAAATAGAGAAGGCATGACTAGGAGCCCCGAGATCTTTGCCTTGTACCAGGCTGCCTTTGTGCACAGAGAGTCCAAGCATCCCTGAGCCCAGAGTCCTAGAACCTCAAGAAGGTGCTTCTGCAACCATCATTCCAGGCCAACATACACGAACAAAACCCCCTTCTGCATCACAGCCAGCAGGCTTCCTTGACATTGCCTCTGTCACAACAATGTGGGGAGCGTGAAAGCAGACAATACATGCGGAGCACTTTAGGGCAGCTGCAGCCATTGTCCGATAGCCAGCCAGTCCCTGCTTCCAAATTTCTTGTAATAGCAGACTTTACTGCGGGGGCCCCTTCATTGCGGAGAGCTCTCAGAATGGGGGCTGGGCAGGGGGCAGGGTGTCCTCCTCTTCTCTAGCCAAATCATTGGCTTCTACTCACTGACTCCAATGCTACCCTCTGGGAGCAAGAGAAACTAGCTGTTTATCACTATTGTTATGAATAAGGAATCAATATTGACCATAAATATTATCAATAATTGATCATATTAAGAGTGACTAGTGCTTAAATGGTGATTTAAGATTTACAAAGGGATTTGCCCGTATTATCTCACTTAGTCATCACGACAGTCCTATGAAGTCCTTTCATGTGTCCCTGGCCGGGGAGCCGCATCTGAGGCAGGATTTGAACTTTGGTTTTTTTGACTCCCAGCAGTCAGTTCTAGCTACTTTACCACTTTTTTGACTGAATAATAAAAACATGGAGCTGCCAGGTAGTCTGTCTGTCTGTCTTTCTGACTCTCCCTCTCTCCTTCTCCTCCTTTTTCTTCTTATCTTCTTTCTCCTCCTCCTCTTCTCTCTCTCTCTCTCTCTCTCTCTCTCTCTCTCTCTCTCTCTTCTCTCTCTCTCTCTCTCTCTTTCTCCCTCTGACTCTGTCTATGTCTCTCTCTCTATCTCTGTGTCTCTGTCTCTGTCTCTCTCTCTCCCCCACCCACCCACTCCCCACTCCCCCACCCTCCACCTTTCTCTCTCTCCATGGTACTTCAGGGTATCAGATGATTTAAGGTGCTGATGGAAAATCCCAGTTCACACACGTAGATGTTCCTGTGGCCTTCTCTGAGGGGCTTGTAGGTCCAGGACATGGGCTTAGCCACAACCTGCCTTGGTCCCTGGGCTTTATGATTTACATTTGAGCCCAGAAAAGCCGATCAGCATCAGTCATTATTGCAAGGACCTGTATTTAAAACTTTGAATCTTACAGATTCCAACCTTGCAGGTGCAGAAAGTTTTAAAACCCAGGAACAAAAGAGGTGATGTAGTGGCAGAGCCCTGGGCTTGGGGGTCAGGGGGCCAGCTTCTCCTTCAGACTCTTCCACTCGCCTCCTTATGACTCTCCCATCTTGGGGCTGCCTCAGTCTCCTCATCTCTAAAATGGGTGTGTGGGGGTGGGTCACTGTGAGTGACAATCTCTCCTGTCCCTTCTAGCCCTGGCATTTTATGCTTGTATAAAACTTGGCTCACGGCCCTCTCCCACATCCCTCCCCTGAAAACAACAAGCTGGGCCCTTACTTTGTCAAAACAAACAAGGTTGATTTGGCCACACATATTGATTCTCTGTGGAGAGATGCAAAAAATTTTCTTCTTCTTCAGCCTCTTCTGAGCATAAAAAATTCCTGTGGTCAAGGCTGCTGGTAACACTGGAGGCACTGAGACAGTGAGAAGGAGCAAAGACATCGTCACGGTGTCTCTTGCAGAAGTCTGCAGGGGGAAACAGCACATGAGCCCAGGAGCACAGGAAAGCCACTGCCCAGTACCCAGGCCAGGAGAGCTCCTCAGGCCTCCTCGGCTAAGGCTCCATCCTACCTTGTTGGGGTGTTCTGGGGAGCTGGTCATGGGAGAAGGAGGATGTAAAGGGAGGGAGAGCTTGCTGGGGGAGGGGGAGCTGTGAGCCCAGCACAAGCTGGAGCTCACTCCTGGGCAGGTCTAAACATGCCAGACACTGCCTGTGTCAGGGCTCCAGTAGCCTCGTGAGACAGGATAGTGTCAAGATACTAGGAGACTCCCCATTTTCCAGCAAGCAGCCATGCCCTGAGCTTAGTATAACAACAATCCTTTGCACTCACCCTCTGGCAAAATCACCTAATTCTTGTATTGCTCTGACCAGCCCCGGGTGTTCGCTGAGCTCGGACAAGCACCAAGTTCCAGTCATGGAGCCCTGCTATGAATCAGACTCATCACATCGCTGCTGTGAGCCCTCGTTGTCAGGGCTATAGCTCACTGCACAGCCACTGGTATTGAGATCTTCCCAGACTGCCTCGGGTCCCCCCCCCCCAACTAGGGGCAGGGCAACCCCCAATGTGTCTAATCTCCCTTCTTCTTGCAAACTGTTTCCCTCACTTCAAAATGGAACTTCTGTTTGATTCCTGACTCTCCTGTCTCTGGCCTGCTCTTTTCAGCTCCAGTCGAACAGGTTAGAGGCTGGTTCCATACGGCTGACACCAGCAAATGCCTATAGCATTTGGCCACCAAGCTGGGCAAAAGGCCAAGAGCTCACGGGCAAACACCACTTTCTTTCTCTCTCCTTCCCCATGTCAGAAATATCAGAAAATGCTCAGGTTACCCTGAGAATTTCAACACCTAGTTGGCTAAAAGGCCATCCAGAGTTCATGAAATCAGCTCTTCCTCAGAGCCATACACTCCAGCCCCTTCATTTCAAATGTGATGAAACTGAGGCCTGGACAGGCCATGCAAGCCACAGAGGAGGTCAGATTGGAGGCCAGATTTGACCTTGAGTCCTCTTGCCACTGGCCCCAGGAGCTGGAAGGACCTCTCAAGTCCCTTAGTCCATTCTTTACTGAAACAAGAATCCCCCTCTTCAGCATTCCTGCCAAGTAGCTAACCAGCCTTTCCTTGAAGACTTCCAATGAGGGTGAGCCCCCACCTCCTGAGATGCCCATTCTGCTGCAGAGAAGCTCTTATGGTCAGGAAGGAATTTTCCCCTTCCATTGAGTCTAATGCAGTCTCTTTGTGGCTTCTCTCAGCAAGATGGTACTGCTCCCTCTTGCTTGCACTGTCCTTACAAATACCTGAGTGTAGAGATCCTCCATCTTTGTTCCTCCTCCCACCCTGGCTTAAGCCTTCTCTCTGCCAGGCCAAACCCCCTGGTTTTTCACATGTTGAAAAGCCTTTCCAACAGTAAAGCTCCTTAGAGGTGTCATGACCCCCTTTGACAAATTCCAGGCACATGTCCAATCAAGAGTAGAGCTCACTATTGTCTCCACCTCTGGGGTCTCTTCAGTTTATGTGAATGATCATTTATTTAGCACTTACTTTACACCATATACTGTGCTGAAATTCTGAGGAATATAAATTTGAGTCAATCTCTGACCTACAGCCGAAACATCCAAAAAGATGTTTAAATTAAGCCTTAAATGCTGAGGTTGCCAGGGAACATTAAATCCCAGAGTAAGTGGATAGGACACAGAATTTATTCCCAATTCGAGCACTTGCAAGAGATGTGCTGGGCAGCTGGGAACCTGTATTGAGTGCTGCAAAACATGTAGGTCCAATTGATTTCCTTTATGCCAAGTGGATTCCCGTGGGTCTGACTGAGACAAGGTATGTGTGAGAATGCTGAGTGTGCATAAGGGGCTGGGCCGAGCAGCAGCTGCTGCCTTTCTGGTCTGAGGCTGGGTCTGGGGGGAGCCAAGGTGCCCCCACTGGGCCACGCCTCCCCATACTTACTCCATGGTACATGTATACACCGAAGGCATAGAAGAAGCCTACAACCCCCAGGAAAGCAAGAAAGACGATAAACTTGAAGGCATCATTGTAGAGCTGGAAGTTGAGGGGCCTTGGGTAAAGGATGGATCTCACCAAGTCACCTTTGGCAGTGTTGAAACCTACATGAGAACAGACACAAGTTGGATGTGGTAGGCTTCCTCACACTGTGTGCCATCCTCCCTCTACCCTGCTGCTCAAGTCAGGATTGCATTGGGTGGCACTCGATGCTTTTCCAGAGGGCTGTGGAAAAAGCTCATTGGATGGAATGAGCATTTACTCAGCTCCTGCTTTGGGCCAGACCCTGTGTGGGCACTGCATATATGAAGACAAAAATGGCCAACAGCCATTGCCATCTCAGAGTTCTCAGCTTGCTGGATGTGACTGTGCCTTTGAGAACTCATTCCGCCTGAATAATTGTCTTCTGGGGAAGATGGCAGCATCAGAGGTCCGAGAGGAGCTTGTGCACTCGCAAAGATCTTCAGAGGCACTGGACCAATGAAGAGCCAATAAATCCAGAGAGAGAGCAGCAAGCTCCTTCATTCACCCCAGAAGCCAGTGAGGGAGAAGGGGCATCCCACCAGGAGAGTGGGCAGCAGCTGCTCAGGACAATAGCCAGGAGTCCATGGGAGGGAAGGGCAGCAGCCACATCCCTCTTAACATGGCCCCAGATCAAGGGCGTGGTTTTGGCTGTCTCCTCACCCTACTGATTTATATGGAGGTCACAGTCCACTAAAAGCCCTGGACATACATACATACATACATACATACATACATACATACATACATGTTTTTTTCAAATTAACTACCACTGACTAGACACACCTTTCCCATTCTACGTTTGTGTGCAGAGATATATTGCAGTGAGCAAACTGTCAAATTTTCAGTGTGAGCATTTATACCTTGAAAATTGGCAAATGCAACAAATCAACTCTTGATTCATTATTTTGTTGATTTCCAAGCTTTAAAAAGTAATAGAGAGAACGTTAATAATGCAAATTAAACTTGAAAGTATGTCATGCATGTATTTTTTTTTCCAGAGAGCTGGTTGTTAAATATACACTCCTGCCTGTATGTGTGAGCACATGTATGTGTGTGTGCATGTGGTGGGGGGGGGAGGTCATTAAAATACATTAAGAAATTAAAGGGGCAGCTAGGTGGCACAGTGGATACTAGGTGGTACTCCTGGAGTCAGGAGGACCTAAGTTCAAATCTGACCTCAGACACTTAACACCAACTAGCTGTATGACTCTGGGCAAGTCACTTAACTCCAATTACCTAACAAAAAAATAAAAAAAGAAATTAAAGAAAATTTTTAAAGACTTAAAGAACAAGAGAACAAATGAAAGTTTCTGTTGTTGTTTGTCTTTTTTGTTTTTGTTTTTGCAAGCAGCCATTCAAACATCCCACCATCTATTGTGAGTCAACATTTTAAGATGAAAACCCACATCTCAAAAAGAGGGAGGTTGATTTATCTTGTCTTTTGACTGTCTTGACCCATGTACTCCATCTGTGTTCTCAGCAGGTACCATAGCAGCGCAAAGTGGGGTCCCTGGACCGCTCAAGCATCTGCTAAGAGGTTGCAGTAGCCATAAAGGGATGCATGTGAAGCCCAGCTGTCCTAGACGGCTCTGGCCATAAGCCCAGGAGTTTCTGCTGTCCACTAGCTACTAGATGGATGGATAGACAGACAGAGATGGACTAATAGAGAGTGAGAGAGATGTACACATGCATATATACACCTGTACATATACATACATATGATAGCTACTGAACAGCAGAACTAGCTACTTTATGCATGTGTGACATGCCTATATACATTCATACATGCATACATGCATACACACATATGGCTTTAGTCACAGACCTGGGAAGCTCTGGTGTTCACTAGCTACTATACACACACACACACACACACACACACACACACACACACACACACAGAGGTACATATGTATATTGTATATATAAATAAAGGTGTGGGTGTGTTTATAGTAGCTAGTGAACAGCAGAGCCTCCCAAGCCTATGGCTAAAGCTGTATGTGTATGTGTGTTTCTTTGCCCCTCAAAAAACAAATAGAGTCATAAAGAGGCAGGCACAATTGAAAAAACTGAACAACGACACGTATGTGTAGACAGATAGATACACACACCTGCACACACAAACACATATGTGTATGTATATATTCACTTTGTTGTGTATATGTAGACACGCATTTAAACAGAATCTTCAGACAGTATCATATTATAGTTAGTAATCCTGTCTTCTAGTTATTGAAGGATGATTCAGGAAAGCCTTAGGGTGGATTGTGCATTATATGTATTATATTATACATAGATTAGGTTGCACATCGTAAAGTTAGGAGAATTTGAAAAGCTTCCACGCGGAAGCTGTTCAATCATTTCAGTCCGACTCTCTATGCCCCCTTTTAAGGTTTTCTTAGCAAAGTTATGGGAGTGGTTTACCATTTCCTTCTCCAGCTCATTTTACAAATGAGGAAACTGAGGTGAACAGGGTTAAATGACTTGCCTAGGGTCACCCAGCTAGGAAGTGTCTGAGGCTAGATTTGAACTCGGGAAGATGAGTCTTCTGACTCTAGGCCTGGGGCTAAGTGCACTATGGTGCCTCCTAGTGCCCCATGGAAGAGGATTACACTTACTACACTGGGTCCCAGAAGGCTGATGTAGGCAGGTACAAAGAGACAGATTTGAGATGAAGCTTCCTGGCTGTGAGAACCGTCCGCAGTGGAGGGTGGTCCTCAGGAGGCCCTGCGACCTCTCTCCCTGGGGTCCTACAGCTTGTCAGGGATGTTATAGATTCGAGGCTGGTGTAGCCGGGGGTGGGGTGAGGTGACCCCTGACCTTCTCTGTCCCTCAGACAGTTTGTGATTCCATACATAGGACAGCAGCAGTGACGCAAATAGCGAACGTTTCAGGTCTGTAAAGCACTTTGTGTGTATTATCTCATTGGACCCTCATAACAACCCCCTGAGCTAAGTATGGTTATTATCTCCATTTTGCAGACAAGAAAACTGAGGCTGGGAGCCGTTAGGTGACTAGCTCAGCAGTGTCTGAGGCAAGGTTGAAACTCACAATTTCACATCTCCAAATGCACCCCCAAGCTGCCAATACTTGAGAAACGTCCCTGAATTTGGCCTCCCTCCAGACTGGTGACCTGTGCATAACAGAGGGGAATTTTAAACTCCCTTTTAAAGAGAAACTGGAGACAGTCGCCTGCCAACACTGACTTATGAGTCCCTGGCATGCACAAGAGTGAAAGCACCTGCCTCCTGGCCCCGAGTCCAGGGCATTCTCTCATGCTCCTCACTGACCAGGAAGTTCCTTTGGATGAGTCCCTTCTTTCCCGGTCTGCTTGGGTGGTGGGTACTGGGCCTCTCACTGGGATGGACCCAAGGGCTGACCTTCTCTGTTTGCCATCTCTACCTCCCCGCTGCCTCATCTTCATGCTCAGAGGCCCATTCGTGATGCCTCTGCCCAAGCCAGAATCTTTGATGCCTCCTCAGTTTAAAACCATGATGCAGGAGATGGGAAGGCAGGTATCTACCCCTCAGGCCCAGGAGACCCCTCCCGTCTGTTACACACACTGCATCCAGGGAGCCATTCTCGCTGAACAAAGTGGTGGCTGCTACAGAGGACACAGAGTCTGGGTCAAGTGACTGTGACAAGATCCCAAATGCAAGACAACCAGCCCAAGTCCTTGGACGCCCCCACTGCGGCCACTCACCTGTATGCAGGACAACAGCCCTGACGGGGCCTGGCCCTGCTGGCTTGGTCTGAATGACCTCGGTCCCACAGAACAGGACATGTCGCCGGTAATCCTCTAGGCTGTGAGACTTCCAAGGCGTGGTGCTCTCCATGTGGGGCAGCCGGGTCTTCGTGACCGGAATGCTTTCCCCTAAGGAAGATGGCTGTCCATTAGCCCCTCTCTGGCCCCACATCAGAATCTCAAAGAACTACCCCAATGGTAGCTAATACATTCTTATCACTGACCCCATTGGACAGGTAACTCCTTAGAAATGCTCTGCATTGAGTACCTGACAGCCTTGGGCAGCCCCAAGAAATGTACCCAACATGCTCCTATCCCTGGCCAGTGTGGCTTTTGGTTTTTTTCTATTCTGAAAAGTATCACATGCTGGTCAGTGAGCTGTACGCACAAATGGCCATCCCATCTCCCACCTCCATACCTTTGCCTAGGTCACCCCCACTTCTGGAAGGTTGCCCTTAGAATCCCTAGCTTCCCTCAAAGCACAGCTTAGGTGCCCCCTCCCACACAAGACTGTTCTGTCCACCCCACTCCCAATGGTTGAGGCTGTCCTCCTCCCTCTGGAAAAAAAGCTTTGTATTACTTTGTGAATACTTTGCATTGAGTTTTCTGTGCAAAGGTTGGATCCCCACTCCCATCCCCAAAGAAATGCAGTCTTCAGGAAGGTGAGAAATCTCTCTCTCTCTCTCTCTCTCTCTCTCTCTCTCTCTCTCTCTCTCTCTCTCTCTCTCTCCCCCCAACACTGAAAATCATGCCTACCACCCTGAAATCTCACCCAAATTGAACACTTTCTTTCTCTATAAAAAGAGGATACAGAACAAGATGAGCTTCATCTCTTCCACATTTAAATCGATGGTCTGTTCCTATGATGCCCATTTTACAGGTAAGGAGACTGAGCCTCAGAAGAATTAGGTAACTTGCCCAGGGGTCACTCAGTCAATAAGTGTCAGATCCTAATTTTGAACCCAAATCACCCAATCCCTGGCAGGAGGCTCATTCCCAAGGACCCTCATAGGACAAGGCAGCAGAGAGCTGGCCGGTTCCTTTGCCTATGGACAGCACATTCAGCTTGGCTTCCAGCCAGGGAGGAGGGCATCACGAAGCCAACCGTTTCTGTGGTCTCTGCACGCCTGGGATCAGGTCGCATTGACTGGTCTACGGTGGCCTCTCCTCCTCTGGGGCATAGGGCCTGCCTCATTTTGAGGACGGTGCTTCTTTAGTGTCTGGCCAGACTGCTTGGCATGTGTCATTTAAATAAATGAACAGGCTGGACCCAGCCACCTACGGGGTCGGGCCTCACCTGAGGCCCTCAGGGGCCAGTGTCCTTGCCTTCAAACCACTGCCTCTCCAGGGCCATAACACAAAGCGGGTGATTTCCAGGTCAGATTCATGAAGTTTATTTTAAAATACAAAACCGCACGTTCTACTTGCATAAACATATAATGAGAGAAGCAGATATGTAAAGTTCACAACTTACGCCAATCAAGAGGCATTCATTAAACTCTTGTGTGCTCAACACAAACAGAGCCAGTCTGTGCCCTCAGGCGGCTTGCATTCTATAGGCTGAGACCCGGCAGTTGTGTGCACACACAACAGGAGACTGGCCAAGAAGCCCGGTCCTTGTGAGCACACCCTGAGTGTTCTGCTGATACAATCCTGAGTAAACCGGGGAGAACACACAAACATGGTGTAGTGGGCTCCGCTCAGGTCACTACGTGATGAAGAGGAGCTGTTCCATCTGCTCTGGATCCAGAACTGGGATGCACTCCCTCCTCAGCCAGGGGGTCACCCTGGTCTGGTAAGAGTGACCTGCCGTAAGCCCTAGATGGAGAGATGCCTCTGGTGAGAAGCCACCTGGATACAGAGCTAGACCTGAAGGCAGGAAGACCTGAATTCAAATCCTGCCTCAGATACTCACAAGTCGTGTGGCCCTGGGCAAGGGGCAGAATCTCTTTTAGACTCAGTTGCAAAATGGGGATAATAATAACACCTACCTCACCTGGCTGTTGTTGAAATGAAAGAAAATGGCTTATGGAATGTACTTTGCTAACCAAAAAGTACTATATGAATCCTAGCTATATTGTTATTAAATCCCAAGTGACCTGAGCAGCCCAGTCTAACAGGAGCAAAAATGCAGACTCATCTACCGATTGGCCATGCGACATTTATAAGTGCACTTGGTGGGACACATACCATCAAGAAACGGTTTTAAATCTGAGCCCCTCTCCCCAGGGATTGCCAGGGAGGTGGGAGGGGGAGGGGGTCCAGAAGACTGTGTGACCCCAAGGTGTTGGGCTGAAAGGTTGGTACTTCCGTGCTTGCTATATGTTGAAAGTAAAGATTCCTTTGCAAAATTGAGGCTGACATGATAAAGTGGTTTGCTTATTGATACACAGCTAGTAAGTACCATAGGCAGGATTTGAACCCAAGTCTTTCTGATTAAAAGTCCTGTGACTCTATTGCACCATGCACTTACTTCAGTGAGGAAGACCACATCACCTCTTCCCTGACACCATCCTCTGAGGTCTCATCTTGGCAAGTAGTTGACCCAGCCTTCTTAATGACCAAGTCAGCAGATATAAAGCTCCGGTAGGTATGGTCAATCTGGGAACTCCTCCAGTATTGGCCGAGGGCAGGACTTCATGTCTCTCATCTCAGGAAGAGTTGTCCTAAGTATGCCTAATTACCAGAGGGTTGGCTACCACCAGATGACTTTTTGAGCCTCCCAAATGTCCAGTGACACCTCCCAAGTGACAATTGGACTGGGACTCCTAGTAGTTATTAAGCACTATTTTACTGTATCCTGGATATGGGGCTAAGTGCTGAAGAAGTTACTTGCTCTGGAGAAATCACTGCTTCCTGAAGCAAGGATGGACATGTTCCATGTTTCCCCCCATCACTTGCTGCCTGTAGGTGGTGTGGAATGCAATGGCTCTGATGTTATATCTTCCAAATTTGCTGGGAACCTGGCCCATTTCTGGTTCATCCACATCATTCCCAGTGGTGCCCAAAGTCATCCAAGCCATCCCAAAGATCTACTTCCTTTCCCACTTCCAGCAAACCCTTGTGAGATTTCATGGAAGCTGAGGGGAATGCCACGTCCTGTCCAGGCATGGCGGAAGAAGAGAGAGGGCAGGACAAGAGGAAGAAACTGGTCAGTCTTGTCGGTCTCATTTCGCTGCCTCCAGCACTAACTGCTTTCCTCAGGAGAAGACATCATCTCTCAAGCAGAAGTTGCTGCAGATTAGTGAAGGGTCTTTTAGCCTCTCAGCGGTGGGAGGGAGTTGTCTGGGGCTGTGCTGGGTACTATGGGAACCTTCTCTGTGAAGGATGTGATTTCTATGCAAATCTTTTCTTGTTATCATTACAAGGTCATTAGATTTCAGCACATTTCAAGGATAGTTTGTAATTATACTCAGCATATTTCTGTTTACTGTTTTTCCTTCCTCAGTTTTAAATTAAGCAGATCCATTTTTAATGGAAAATCTGCTTGGGTTGAACCATTTAGGAATAGATAATGAACATCCTTTTCACTTTGGGTGATGTTTGCAAAGTCTTTGAACAGCATTTTTGCTATCTTTAGACCATTTGTAAACAGAAAAAAAAATCAATAGTTTGCAAGCAGAAAAAAGACGAAGTGCCTTCCACATCAATTGTTTGTCTCTCATTAAGATATGCTGCTGTTTGAATGTTACTTCTCCAAAGCAGTGTTAGTGGAAATGTTTTCCAGACAGTGAGTGCCTCAGGAGTCAGGTCAGTTCAAGGGTCTTACTAGGTCAATGCTGGAGGGCAGACAACCTCTGTTTAAGCAGCTCTCCAAGAGTACTAATGTCCATAGGGTCTGCCGAAGGGTCTCCTGCCATTGTGCTACTATGATTGGCCAAAGGAGGCAAGATAATCTCCCACCCTTAGGGGAACATGAAAGGAAATTGGTGGGCTGACAAAAGTGAGCAGGCTAACACCTGTTTAGGAAATGCCAAGGCATGGACTGTTATTTCAAAGAGGTTCATGAAATCCTGAAAAGAAAAGAAAATCCTGAAAAGAGAGTTTAGTTCATTTAAAAAAAAAAAACACGTGCTTGCAACATAAAGGTGGGAAATCATTAGTGTTGCTGACTGTGATGATGCCAATGGTTGTAATAATGCTCTTCACTGGGGGCATCTCATCTTGGCTCAAAGGCCCCGGGGAGTCTTCAAGGGAATGGCAAAGGACTTCAGCCTCTAGCTGGTCCAGCTAAGGTGGAAGGGCTACCAGCCCACCCCTGGACACACACGGTGTGTTATCAACCTCAGAAGCAGCCTGGAGATGGTAGCAGGGCCACAGAACCAGAGCAGTCTTGGCTACACGCTGAGCCACGGAAGCTCTTTCCTAAAGTGAGAAGGGCTTTCACAGAATCACCAATTCTTGGCACCAGAAGGGACCCCAGAGAGTGTTGAGTCCAAACCATAACTGAACAGGGATCCTCTTGCCATACCCCAGCAAGGGGCTCAGTTGGGCATTACTATTTTCTCCATTTTACAGTGGAGGAAACTGAGGTGCATGGAGGTAAAATGACTTGTCTAGTGTCACATGGCTAGCAATTATCTGAGGCTATATTTGAACTCAGTCTTCCTGCTCCATGCGCAATGCTCTAACCACTGCACCACCATCTGCCTTCAGAGGAGGAAACTGAATAATTTCTCAGAGATGCAAGGAAAGGAATTTGGGAGAATCAGAGGCATGCCTTGATGCAGCTAAGGAACTTCCAGAGTTTTAGAAAATGGAAGAGGGTGCAAGCCAGAAGCTGAGGAGGGAGAAGAGGGAACTTCCAACAGGAATTTGGAGAGTCAGGCATCAAAGGTCTCTGAGGCTGGAGAGAAGGTCAGTAGTCAGGTGGTCCAAACTGCCTTTATGCAGAGATCGTTTTATGGCTTCTGGAGCAAGAAGAGGCTGCCAGGGTCCTGCTTCAACATGTGTGGTGATGATAAATGTTTGTTAAGTTCTTACTGTGGCCCTCTGACATTATCTTTTACTGAGATTCTGAATGTGCGCCCTCAGTGATTTCTCTGTTATCTTCCCATTAGAATGGAAGCTTCTTGAGGGCAGGGACTGAGTTGTTGCTTTTCTTTATGTCCTCAATGAGAAGCACAGTGCTTGGCACACAGATTTTAATAAATGCTTGTGGACTGACTGGCTGGGGATACAAGAACAAACAGGAAATAGTGCCTGACCTCAAGGAGTTTACATTCTATCAAGATGAAACAAGAAGTGACTAGGGGAGGGAATGCAAAGTAGTCACAAAGTCAATCAGTTAAGGGACAAGGGAACTTGGCAGCTTAGCTGTTTCCCCCACATGAGCTCATCCCCTGAAATCTCGTCACTGTGACGGCCGACTCAGGTGTCGCTGCCCAAGCCTGAAGCATCCTCAGCCACCTCTCCCCTCTGGCCGCCGGCCGGAGGGTGGAACAGTCAGCTCTTCCCGAGGCCTTCCTTTAGAGAGGTAACACAATGACATTCCAGGTAATGCTCCATTGTCCGTTAGCTTCTTTGCCTGGTTTCCACTCTACAGACCGTGATTCCCATGCACAGAAACCCCACTGCCTCCCCTCGCTTTCCAGCTTCTTTCCTGTGTTGTCTTCTCACAACAGAGGGTAAGCTCTGTGAGGGCACGAACTCTTTTTTTTTATATCCCTAGCACTTAGCACAGTGCCCAGCATATAGTATGTGCCTAACAAATGTTTTGTTTTGTTTTAATTTAAATGACTTGAATTCCTCTGTTGGACAGATTTAATTATTCTAAAGAGCATCCTATAAAGGTTACCAGACTACTCGGGGATCCTATTTTTTCCCTCTTCAGTTACAAGGGGGCTTTCCTCTCTCCCACATGCCCTGCTGCCCTTGTTTGGTGGGAATCATCTGATAATATTACTGTGTGTTACATCCACATCTGAGCTGTTTCTCTTTTTTAAATAATTTTTCAGTTAACGAGAAAGTTATCAAGCATATTTATTTTCTCCCTCCTACCTTTTTCCACTCAAATGAGAAAGAAGGAAGGGAGGAAAGGAGAGAGGGAAGGAGGGAAGGAAGGAGGCTTATATCATTCAAACATAGTTAAGTAACACTGTGGCCAAGACCACAGTGGGCACTGTAACCCGTGATGCTCACATTTGAGCCACCATTATCATCCTCATCCTCATCCTCATCCTCATCCTCATCCTCTCTCCCCTTCCACCCTCCCCCAGGGGATACTGGGCCCTGATAGGCAGATGTCTCTGAATCTCATCCAGAGTCCAGCCTTCCACCTCCTCACCCAGCTGCCACTTTCCCCCTCCTTTCCATCTCCCCTTTATCTTTCATTGTCCCCAGGTACAAGGCTGGCTCCTTCAGGGGCTCCCTTCTATTTGTACCCGCAGGGCCTGGCACAGCACCCTGAACAAGTAAGTGCTTCACACATGCTTTGTCATTCATTCATTCTCTCTCCCAAAAGGCTGTTGTGATGGAAGGAGCCCTCAACTTGGGGTGTGGGTTAGAATCCCAGCTCCATTTATGCAATTGAACAAACATTCATTAACCCCTTCCTACATGCTAGGCATCGGGGGAGAGCCAAAGACAAAATGTGAAGAGGTCTCCACCCTCAGGAAGCTTGCACTCCCATCTACTTCAATCCAACAAACTCTCGTGAAGTGCCTACTCTGTGCCAGGCTTGCTGCTGGGCTCTGGCCGTGAAAGGATCAACCTAGCCTGGTGCTAAAGACTCTCACTGAGATAGAGACCTCTCCTGACAGCTGTCTTGCTCACTATAGCCCCACAGATATCATCCCAGTTGTCATGGGTCCTTGAAGCAATTACCTTTGCTTCTCTGAACCTCAGTTTCCTCATCTGTATAATGGGAATGATAATAGTTATTATCAACAATCCTCAGAGGATTGTTATGAGAGTAGAATGACATCTTTATAAATCTTCAATCAATTCAATAAGTATTTATTAAATGCCTACGATGTATCTGGAGCTGTACTATACACATGCAACTGTGTTCAAGGTGTCTATATCTTAGTAGACAGTCTTTGAGAGGTCCCATGTCTGAAAACGCTGTGGTCCGCCAGTCAATCTGGGGCAGAACACTTAGCTAGGCGGGTTCTTGGAAAGCAGCAGCACCAGGCCCCATGCAGACCCACCCTGGAAGCTTTGGCACTTGGTGGGAGGGACATGTAAGAGCCTGACTCCTGCTGCTGGAGCCAGGTAGGAGCTGAGCTTCCAGGCTCTATGCCATGATGAAGCGACACAGCAAAGGAGACAGACTGATACAACAGCAGCTTGCAGAAAAGTTGCCAGCCTCCATCGGTGGTTGAGGGTGCCTCCTCTGGCTGTCCTGAATATCTGCTGTCCATGTGGGATTTGTTTTCCCATGTAGATTATATTCAATATGTTACTATCTATTTCATGTAAACATACCTGAGACCTTACCAGTGTAAGAAGAACTGCACTGAGCATAGGTTGCAGATTTTACCCTCTGCCAAAAATCCCCAAGGGGGAGGTGGGGAATGAGCTTTTATATGGCACCTTACTATGTGCCAGGCTATGTGATAAATATGTTTAAAAATCCTATGTCAAAAACACACACACATACACACACACACACACACACACACACACACACACACACACCCCTGTCTTGAAGTAAGAAAACTCCAATAATGCAGGGTGTTTATAGCTTCTGTCTAGCTGATATGACCCTGACCAGGAACTAACCAGGATACCAGCCTTGAGTATTGGTTCTCAAAGTGTGGTGATGGGGTGGGGGACCCTGGGGATCAGTGAAGCTTCTGTTTACTCCTCATTTCATGCCATCCAGTTCCATTTTCATCACTCCTGCACCAAGACAATCAGTTCCCTCGCCATCCTAAGCATACTCCTTAGGAAGTATTCCAGACTGCCCACATCCTTTCAAAGTTGTATACGATTCTATGGAAATGTGGTAGCAAGAACCAAACCAGGCAAGCTGTTGTCTAAAGAAGACAGAGGCCAGTGGAGCCTGGCCAGATATTTCTGGTAAGGTAGTCTACAATCACATGTCTGCTGCCAAGTGGACTGGAAGCTCCCTGAGGGAAGTGGCTCTAGTAGGAGCTTCTTTGTGTCGCCCGAAGCATCTCACACATCACAGGCACTCAGACGATATTTGGGGAGCTCACTGTTGTTGTACCCCAAAGACAAACAAGGGAAGGAAATAGTAGGCTTCCAACCATCCCAGCCAGTACCTGTCAACATGCCCTCATTGACAATGCAGCTTCCATCAATCAGGACAGCATCGCATGGTAAGGAAAACTTCCCAGGCAGAACAAGGATATCTCCAGGCACCAAGAGATGGGACTCGAGCTCCTGCAGACCTGGACAATGAAGAGTGGAGACCAGTCACTGATGGCCCATTTCCATCTCTTTCCAAGAGGCTGAGAACTGCTCACTGTGTTCTGTAGCCAAATGTCCTTCTACTGAATGCCCTCTCCCGATCCTTCATTCCCCCATCATCTGACATCTCTTCTTCCTCTTGTGGCAACACTCCTAGAATAGGCCTTCTACAATCCCCCTCCTTCCACTTCCTCTCCTCTCATTTGCTTCTTAGACCGTTACAGCCTGTCTTCCAACCTCATCATTCCACTAAAGCTGGTCTCTCCAATGTTGCCAAGGATCTCTCAAGGGCAAGCTTTTCTCTCTTGTCAGACTCCTTGACGTCTCTCCAGCCTTCGACACTGTCAGTCTCCTACTCCTCCAGACACTCCTCCAGACACTCTCTTCTCCCTGGGATTTTGGGACACCCCTCCCTCCTAGTTCTTCTCCTATCTATTGGACCTTTCCTTTTCAGGCTCCTTTACCGGGTCCAAACCCAGATCATACCATGACATTCACCATGGGTGTCCCTCATTTTGCTCTGTCTTGTGTCCTCTTTGCTTTTCCTCAATGCTACTTCATTTGGTTATATCATCAGCTCCCATGGATTTGATTATCTCTATACTGATGATTCTCAGCTAGGTGGCACAGTGGATCGAGTGTGGGGTCTAAAGTCAAGAAGACGTGAGTTCAAATCCATCTTCAGACACTTACTACTTGAGTGACCCTGTGAAAGTCACTTCATTTCTGTTTGTCTCAGTTTCCTCATTTATAAAAAATGGGGATAACAGTACTTACCACTCAGAGTTGTTGTGAGTTTAGAAGGGGATCATATTTGTAAAGCACTTGGTACAGTGCCTGGCACAGAGCTAACATGTAAATGTTAGCTGCTACTGCTGCTACTACTGCCACAGCTGCTGCTGCTGCTGCTGCTACTGCCACAGCTGCTGCTACTGCTGCTACTGCTACGCCTCTTCCTCCTCAACCTACCCAGCCCTAACCTCTCTGTTGACCTCCAGTCTAACATCTCCAACTGCCTTTCAGACATCTTAAATCGGATTCCAGTAGACATCTTCAGTCTTTAAGAGACCAGTCTCTTTCCCCCTAACCTTCCCCTCTTCCACACTTCCCTATCATCATTGAGGGCACCACCCTCCTCCCAGTCTGCCAGGCTCTCCACCTAGGAGCTATCCTGGCTACCTGACTCTCTCTCATCCCTCAGAACCGGACTATTGCCAACACGAAGACCTATTGATTTCACCTGCTGCATCTCTGGTCGGTTTCACTCTGCAGCATCTCTCTGATAGCCACCTTCTCTCCTCTGACCCTGCCCGCACCCTAGTGCAGGCTGTCATCACCTCTGGACTGTTACCACAGCTACTGGGGGGGTCTGCCTGCCTCAGTCTGTCCCCACTCCAGCCCACTCTTCATTCAGACACTAACCTGATTTTCCTAAAGAGCAGGTCTGATTATGTCACCCCCTACTCAAACTCCAAGGGCTCTCTGACACCTCTGGGACACTGGCCTCCTTTCTGTTCCATGAACAAGACCCTCCATCTCTCAGCTCCAGGAACTGTCTCTGGCTGTCCCCTCTGCCTGGGGTGCTTCTCCTCATCACTGCCTCCTGGCACCACTGGCTTTCTTCCAATCCTAACAAAAACCCCACCTTCTATACTCCCTCCTTATTCTAATGTCTTCTCTCCATTAGGTTTTTTTGTACATATTTGTTTGCTTTTTCTCCCTTGTTAGATTGTGGACTCCTTGAAGGCAGGGACTGGCTTTGCCTTCCTTTGTAGCCTTAGAGTCTGGCACATGTCAGACATTTAATAAAAGCTTATTGATTGAGTGACTGAAAACTCTACCAGCTGTGCCTGGTGGCTGGTGCTCAGAGTTTGCTTTCTGCCTCCCCAGGAAACAGATGCATAGTCTTCAGCCAACTGTGCTGGGATACCATGTATTCAGACTCTGTACAATATCTTAACCTTGAGGGGCCCAGATCTGCCTTCATGGATTCTGGAGCTATCTCTGCTTCTTCCATTGGCCTGGCACTTCAAGGTCTCCCTTGGTTATCACAGTCCCAGCTCCTCACTCTGCCTCTGACACCCCCTCCAGTAGGACATGGGTTAGTAACCTACATTACTATGTTATGTTACTATGTTCTGTTCTGTTAGTAACCTATGTTACAGTCAGCCAGTTGGGTCCAAAGCCAAGGGCAGAGATAGGAAGTGGGTGGGGAAAGGCTAAGAAAAGTAATAAATGACACATTTCCTCTCAAGCTGCTAATTTGAAGAGAGAGAGAGAGAGAAAAAGAGAAGGAAACAGTACTCTGGCAAAGCAACAGAGAAGGTAGGTCAAAATAATTTAGGACAATAGCTGAGTGCAAGTGTGTTAGGAGTGTTGGGAGCAGGGCAGTCAGGTTGGGGTGGGGCAACTAGGAATCTCTTCAATCAGATAATTGAGGAGACTGATGTCATAAATGGAAACAAATTCCAAAGTGGAGTAATAGAAGATTTAAACAAAGGAAAAGGCCACCTACCCTCCTCCTTGGTGTGTATTGTGGTCTGGATCTTGTTGTGGTCTTCCACGAGGTTGTGCAGATTGACTGATTGCTGTGGGGTTCAAAGTCAAAGTCAAAAGTGAATCCTGGAGGGGCAGGCTCCTGACAATGCCTGCTTCTGCTCCCCTGGTGATTCAGAGTCAGTGTCTTTTGAGGAATAAAACATCCAGCTCCTTCCTAATGCCCTGTGCCTTCCCATCACCATCACCACCAAAGCCCTCTCCCTCCCCAATCTGCATCCTCCTCTCGCTCCATCTTGCATCTAACCCTGTTCGATTGTGCCCTCCGAAATCTCTACTCTATTGGGGACCAGCTACCTTCTTCCTAGATTTCTTCATTTCCCGCAGCTTTCATATTCTTCTTTTAGCACAAAGATAGATGTTTGGAAGACACCACATCGCACCTTGACACACTCTAAACACACCCTCACCCGGTATTCCTCCCATTGTCTGTCTTCTCTTTTCTGCTCGTGCTGAGGTTGGAAGCCACATAACTGCATCACCTGCACTCACCACAGGTTCCTGCTGTCTAATCTCAACCTAGTCTCCATCACTATCTGGCAATCCTTTTAGGGACTATCAGCCCCTCCACAGCAGTGATTGCAAGTCTTCTTATACCATGCCCAATTCCTTCTGGCTTGGCAGAGGACTTCATCTCCTTTCTTGAGGAAACATCCTTTGGAAACTCCATCTTCTTCCTGACAGCTCACATCAAACCACCATCCACACCTCCCAGCACAACACATAGCATCCCTCTGGTTCTATTCCTTTGCTTCAGATTCTGACAGACAAATGATCCTTCTCCTTCTTCTTGACAACACTGACCCTTCACTCGACTTCTAGACCCCATCCACCTGTTGGCTTTACCCCAATAGGAAAGATTTTTTCGGGTTCCCTTTCATCACTCCTGAGAGCTCCCCTTCCTTTTTCTGGCTCCTTTTTGGTGCCTACAAACACATTGGTCTTCCACAATCAAAGAAAAAATGGCCAAAAGACAAAACCGGAAAACATTCAGGCGGCCCTTCCCTTCTCTGCAGCTCTCATGCTGTCTCTCTTCTCCCTGTCACAGTGTTCAAGTTGCTTCCCCTATTAGATCATAAGCTCCTTGAGGGCAGGCGCTGTCTTACTTTTATCTATGTAGCCCCAGAGACAGCACAATGCCTGGCATGTAATAGGTGCCTAACACGTTCTCATCAAGTGATTGGATGCTTCCACTTCCTCATCTCCTACCCCAACCTTTCTCTGAGTTCTAGTCCCACAATGCCCAGCTCTCTGGTCATCTCTGACTGAATGTCCTATAGTATCTCAAACCCTAAATGTCCAAAACATGATTTATTATATTTTGACTCAAATTCTCCCCTCTTCTAAATATCACTTTTCTGTTGAAGCCACCGTCATCTTGATGGTCACCTGGGCTTTTAGAGTCACTCTTCACCATTCTCTCTCTCTCTCTCTCTCTCTCTCTCTCTCTCTCTCTCTCTCTCTCTCTCTCTCTCTCTCTCCCCTCCCCCAATTCTGGTCAGTCCCCAGGGTTTGTCAACTCTTCATCCTCAACATTCTCCATACATAACACACACACATACACACACATACACACACACACACACACACACACACACACACACACACACACACACACAAACACATCCCTTTCTCTCCACTCAAAAAGCCATCAACCCAGGTTCAATCTCCTACTTCCTCTTGCCTGGACTATTTCAATAGCTTCCTCATTGGGCACCCAGCCCCCCAATCCATTCTCTGCCCAGTTAGCAAATTAATATTCTAAGACACAGGTCTAACTTAGACTTCCCCTACCCAAGAAACTGGTGTGGCTCTTACCTCAAACTTCTTAGCCTGTCATTTAACACTCTCCCCAATCTGGCTCCCACTGACATTCCAGACTGATTCTGCCTGACTTCTCTTCACACATTTTATGTGAACTTCCCAGACTCAACCTACTGTCTCCCCATTCTACTCCTTTTCCAAGCCCCCCCTTCTTAGTGCCTGGAATGCTTGGCCCCCTCACTTCCACCTCTGGGAAATCCTGGCTTCCTCCAAGCCTTGGCTACTGTCTTACAGGACACTTCCTGATGCTTCACGTTTTCTCCTGAAATTACTTCATAATTGTTTTTCTATTTACTCGAGGGATTCTCTGAGGAAGCTCCTTGAAGACTAAGACAGTTTCCTTTAGTGGCTGTAGTGCCCAGAGCAAGCCTAGCACCCTGCACACAGTGAGTGTTCATTCAATATCTGGTGAATCAAGGATCCCAGCAGCCAAGTCCAACATATCATAGTTGGAGAACTGTCCCACAGCTGAATTCAGTTCCTCTCAGTGACTTCATGCCCCAATCATCACTGTGGACACACTCTGAGAGACTGGCCCCCTTGGGGGCATGTGGGATTGGCCACAAAAGCTAGAGCTTTGGCTTTGTTTAATCCGAGCCCTGGACAGGCAGAAGCATCTTCCCCATACATTAGTTTCAAAGTTCATTTGACTCCTAGGATGCATTTCCCATACAAGCCAGACTAGAAGCAGAATTCAAGACCCAGGACTCTCTCCCCCCTGCCCTCAATCCTTTATTCACCTGTCATGTGGGCAAATACCACAGATTAGCTGTTAAAAATGTTGTCATTGTAATAATAAGGCCTCCTATCTTTTTGGTGCTTGTGAGTCAACAAAGCCCTTTCTTTCTTCTCCAGACCACTGAGATTGAAGGTAGAAGGGCAATTTTCAAGGAGGCCATAGCATGTAGCTGGAGAAGGGGGTAACTGGGAAGTTAGGTAAATGAGGAAGAGAGGGAAGCCTGGTGGGTGCCAAGGAGAGAGAAGAGCAGAAACAAAGCCTACAGGTGAGCCTGGGCATGCAGACAGCTGCCAAGGAGCATTTCAGTTCCTTTTGACCTGGCTTTGGGGATGAGGGAGGCCAGGCCAGTTCTGTCTGAATCTACTTTGGCTATTTGAGTCTGAAATATAGATCAGGTAACTCCGTGCCGATGGAATGCAGGTGTCAGGCAGCCTCGTGAGCTGGGCAGAGATGCCATTCCTGCCAAGCAACCACTTCATCAGTCAAGTCTGGCAGAGGAGTTTGTCCCCTCTGGTGAGAGTTTGTTCAGTCTAACTCAAGTTAACAAATATTTGCTTCTCAGCCTTAGAGTCACAAAGGTAGAATTTCAGGAAATGCTGATCGATCTGCTGTTCTATTACCACGGTAAAGGGATTAAATTCCAGTCTCCAGGCTCAATGACATTACTGTATGAATTTTTAATGATTTATTTTAATGTTGCCTCTCTCTCTGGAGGGGTGAGAGACTTAGGGGTCACGGGGAGAACGCCAGCTAAGTAACATAACTTAAAAGTACATCCCCAAAGAAAATCTCAGTACCTTATTTGGATTTCTCTGGCTCTGGGATGCCTCAGAACAGCGTTTAACAAAGCGTTTGCAAATCGGAAAAGAGAAAAAAAATTTGTTGGCCTGTACGTCTCCCCTTGGCCCCCCTCCCCCGTTATGTGTTAGCTGCCCTTGCTAGAATGTGAGCTACATGGAGACAGGGAACATCTGGCTCTTCTTGTATTGTCTCTCCAGCACCCAACGCAGTGCCTGGCGAATGCTAGGCTCCCATTAATGCCTTCTCTGTCTCTCTCTCTTTGGTTCTTCATCCAATCTGTCTATATCAACCTACCACCTGTAATGACAAAGGAAGAGTGGGCTAAGCAAGCATCAGGGTGCTAAGCTGATACAGACTGCAGAAGAGCCCCCCAATCTGGAGCAGTATACACCTGGCTCCATCCTGCTAGCCCAGCGTTCTGCTAGCCACATGGTCTAGTGGAGGCTGTGCCTCTCCCAAGGCAGGGGGGACATCTTTGTACTTCTTTTCTTGCTATATTTTTGAAGCAAATATTCCTGTATAAAAATGTTATTGAGTGAAATGAAACTGGGGAATTAATTGATGGAGGCTAACAGTAGAAAAAAACACCCTGGAATGACAACTCATACTGACTGTAGGAGAGAAAGTCTTGCCCAACCTCTTGGGAACCCCTAGATTTCTGACAGGTGAGAGAGTGAGCCTGCTTTCTTCAGAAGAGTGAAGAGAGAGAGAGAGAGAGAGAGAGAGAGAGAGAGAGAGAGAGAGAGAGAGAGAGAGAGAGAGAGAAGATAGATAGATAGATATAGATAGATAGATAGATAGATAGATAGATAGATAGATAGATAGATAGATAGATAGATAATCAGTTTAAAGGAACTGACATTCTAATGGAGGAGACAACATATGGAAGGAAGCAGTGAGCAGGGAGGGAGATTCTGCTTTAGAAAGTTACAGGGATAGTGAGTAGAGCTAAGGGGAGGAGATGGCCACACCCGTTCCAAGAGTAAAGCCAGTCTTAATGGTATTTTTATGGTTCTATCCCTGGGGGTAGGTGGGGTGTATGTGAAAAATATCCTTTAGAAGGAAGCAGACAGATGATAAAGAGGTGACTTACAGAATCCAAGAATTTAAGTGCCTCACAATCTAGGACAAACAGGGCTCTGAAAAACGAGACCCCTCACTCTCTATCAGACCCAACAATGCTCTTATCCAGTCTCTGTTTTAAGCCTTCCAATGAGCAGGAAGCCCCAGTCACACCTTGGGAAAGCTCAGATAACTAGGAAGATTTTCCTGCCTGCACATTTCCCATTCTACCTTCCCAGGATCCCACCCACTTCTGTCTGCCTGGTCCAAACAGCTCAAGCCTCTTCAGAGGCTTCCAGACTGGCGCACAGATCTCTTGGACTTTGCTTCTTGCTGGGCAGAAGCAGAGCCCAGGAAAGAGAGGGGAGGGCTCTCTTTGACATGGCAGCCAGGGACCTTACCTGCCAGAGATTATAGACACTTAAGACAATGGAGATGACGGTCAGAATGATGATAGCTATGGAGTATTCGATATAACCTTGAGACAGCCACAGAGTCAGAGTAAAGGCTTGGAACACGTAAAATGGATTCAAAACCTGCCAAGGAAAGACATCATTAGGCCTGGAAAGTCTTTCTTCTCCACTGCTTGGGCCCCATAGGTCAGGAAGACAGCGGGGTCATCTTCTTTCATTAAAAAGTCTGAGCCTCTTTGTGTTGGGAGATAGCCCACAGTCTGTGATGCCAGGGGTTTGCTTTTTGGTGTTCTCAATGCACTGAAAAAATGGATGAGGCTGAACAGACCTTTCATGGTGATTCTCAGGAGGTCCCCAGGACGCCCCAGGAGTCAGGTCAGTCTCTAGCTGTGCCATGAATGACAGGAGACCCTGAGCACAGGGAGGCCTAAGGCTAGATTCAAGAGCCACACAGAGAGGCTCTGGCATAACTCAACCCTGTGCCCTTCTCTGAGAATCCCTCCACACATGCACTCCAGTGTCTCTTGACATGATCTATTTGCTGTGCAGTTGTTTGTGTCTGACTCTTGGTGACCCCTTTTGGGGTTTTCTTGGCAGAGATACTGGAGTGGTTTGCCATTTCCTTCTCCAGCCCATTTTATAGATGAGGAACTGAGGCAAACAGGGTGAAGCGACTTGCCCAGGGTCACACAGCCAGTGTCTGAGGCTGGATTTGAACCAGGAAGACAGGGGCAGCTAAGTGGCATAATGCATAGAGCACCGGCCCTGCATTCAGAAGGACCTGAGTTCAAATTCGACCTCAGACATATAATACTTCCCGGCTGTGTGACCCTAGGCAAGTCACTTAACCACATTGCCTAGCCAAAAAAAAAGAAATGAACTCCAGAAGATGAGTCTTCCTGGAGAGGCCTGGCACTCTGTGCACTACGGTACCCTGAGTTCTCCTCAATTTGCCAAGAAGCTTTGGTGACCTCCAGCTGGCTGAAGCTTGAGCGGATCTGGAGACTGAACACATGGTGGAAGGGAGTCCTCAGTTTGAGTTCCCAGGGCTATCAGAGGTGCCCAGGAGCTCTTTGCATGAGGAGGCACATGCTGGCAATGGTGTCTACACTAGCCCCTTGCCTCAAGGCAATCCTGTCCTTGCGTGTTTCTTCTCCCAGTGGCAGAGTTGATGAAACTTTTTCTGCTCCACTTTGGTTCTGGAAATGAGGTGACGTGTGCAGCCCTGGCTAATGAGAGCTGCTCAGCCTCAGTCACAAACATGCCTCAATGGTGAGTTCTCCAGGAAGGGGAATTGAAAGCTCTAGGATCTCTTCCTTTCCTCTCATTATTTTTTGGCACTTTGTTGCCATAAACTGTCTTCGTCTCTGCTTTAACACACTTTACTTACAAACAACAGCAACTCTGTTTGCTTAGAGCAAAATGGTTTTATGGTGAATTCTGCAAGGATGCCGATGCCATTTGGTGCTCAGGAATGCTCACTAGCATATTGGAGGGGAAAAACTTCCAAAGGAAGAGCAGCATGATACATTAGTGTTGTGCTTTGCACTCAGTGCTCAGAGCCCTTTTGTAAATTGGCATTTACCTCACTTGCCTTCTGAAGCCAAACCCGAAGAAAGAAGGGTTAGATTTTGTTTATTAAGAGGACCTGGGTTCAGATCCTGGCTATTTCACTCACTAGCTGTGTGATCTTGGGCATTTAACTTGGTGGGGGAGCTCAGCTTCCTCAGCCATAAAATAAGGTAATTTGACTAGCTAGTCTCTGAGATTCTTCCCCTCTCAGGGCCTAAAATCTTAGGAACTTACAGATCAGTTCCCAGAAAACTAATGCGGATTGCCAAGAAACCCTACTTAGACCCTGGGCCTGGCCTCCATGATCCAAAAATGCAGCTCCAAGGAAAGGCTCCCAGGGCAGCTCTTTGAAGCCGAATTGCCATTTAGTACAAAAGACAGCTGGCTAGTGGCTTTGATTGGAAGAGCTTCAAAGAGGGAGGGAAGCTAATTGAAAAAGTGGGGCTGGAGGCAGCTTACCTGTTTAACAAGGAGTTTCCAGACAGGCTGAATCTCAACCTCAATGGTATTCAGGCCACAGATGAGCCTCCTGGAAGACATTGATCGTTCATCAGAAAGACGCCAGCAAATAAGGGGAGGCTCAGCCCTAGCTCAGCTCTCAGCTCATGGTAACAACTTTTACCCGTTCTCTTCTTCAACCCATTTTTGGGTCTCATCATTTCTTTGAATTATCATCAAAATGCCCCCCCTAAAAAGCACATGAATTTGCACCTGCTTAATTGAGGCTGAATTTTCTCCACAAAGTCATTTCATTTAAAATACATATTACACAAACATGTGCTCATTCTCCCATCTTAAGGGTGTTTCGCTACATAAGTGCCACTCCAATTCATTTCCCATCCTGGTCATAAATCTATTGACCTTGGGTCCCCAAAGGCCACAAATATGGATCCCAAGTTTTGGTACGTTTTGCCAAAGTGGAAAGGCTTCACGTGTGGTTCCCAAAGCACAGTGCAGCTACTATCATAAGACCAAGAATAAGACTAAGTTTGGAAAGATGAATCAACAAGGTTGGACAAAAGGTGATGAATTCATGGGCCACGTCAACTCAGGAAGCTAAAAAAAATTGGTGCCCACTCCTGTGGGTGGGGTTTATGCTTCTGCAATGGCAGGGCCGGAAAATGGGAAAGAGGAGACTAAGAATGGATCCCATTGTTTTTGGATGATTTATAAACATTATGTGTTGGCATTTCCAATGAGAGCTCTTTGTATAATGATCAATGCATTGCTAAACTCTTAGAGGAGTCGACCTCCACCAATAACAGACTCTTTAATCAGTGTACACAAAGATACTTTCTTCAACAAGAGAGCTCAGAAGCCCTGGTCTTGACAAGCATGAAATCATATTATAAAAACAAAGTTGACCATATGTTGACATACAGGAAATTATTGGTTCCAGACACAGGGTCATTTCCAAATCGGTTATCTGCATGCAGCTAGACCATTGATAACAAGGAGCAACAGTCAATATCAAGAACAAATTAGAAATTATGACTAAATGGGAAGAGGACACTGTGTGGAATTTCACTGGCTTCAATGTGACATTCAAAGAATCCACATGGGGGGGCAAGAGAGGGAAGAGACAGGAGAGAGAGAGAGAGAGAGAGAGAGACAGACAGACAGACAGACAGACAGACAGACAGACAGACAGACAGACAGACAGACAGGAGAGAGAGAGAGAGAGAGAGAGAGAGAGAGAGAGAAGAGAGAGAGAGAGAGAGAGACACAGAGAGAGAGAGAGAGAGAGAGAGAGAGAGAGAGAGAGAGAGAGAGAGGGAGGGAGAGAGAGAGAGAGACAGAGAGAGACAGAGAGAGACAGAGAGAGAGAGAGAGAGAGAGAGAGAGAGAGAGAGAGAGAGAGAGAGGAGAGAGAGACAGAGAGAGAGAAAACGAGAGAGAGACACAGAGAGAGAGAGAGAGAGAGAACAAGAGAGAGAGAGAGAGAGAGAGAAGAGAGAGAGAAGAGAGAGAAGAGAGAGAGAGGGAGGGAGAGAGAGACAGAGACAGAGAGAGAATAAGAGAGAGAGGAAGGGAGGGAGGGAGAATGAATGAGAAGAGAGAGAGGATGAATGAGAAAGAGAGAAGAATGACTATCTTGAAAGAACTGTTTTATCTTGAAAAGAAACATTATAAAGAGAATTCTTAAGTGATTTTGGTTGCTATTCAAAGAAAAATGAATGGTGGGACTATGTTTCCAGAACTGATAAGAAATCACCCATTGGAATCGTAGCTGAAGATTGCTTTGGCTGTGATATTGTGCACAGCTGACGGGTATTTTTTTTGAATGTGGATGTCTTTGTTTCATTGCACTGTTACTCTAGCCCCAGTTCAAACTCGTGATATTCAAAACACACATCTTCATTCCCCTTGCTTTGCCGAGCATGAACTTTCTTCTCACATCCCTATTGCTGTGGAAGGCCCCTCCATCCTTGCTCCAGTCAGGCTGCAGTCCCCGGCATTGTCTCTTATTCTAATCTCTCCCTCGAGTCAGTGGCCAGTCTTGATGATTCTGCCTCCTCTCAGCTCTCTCCTTCACCGCCTTCCCCACCTTCACATGCTATGGCACTGGCCCATGCCCCTTTCACCTTGTCTCACGTTGACTGCTCTAGCTTCCTGTGGGTCACCCTGTGTCCAGCCTCTCCTCTTTCCAATGCATTTTCCACACAGCTTGTAAAAAAATATGGCTCCAGTCTACCTTGCCAGGCTTATCAAATGCAAAACCTTTCACAATTTTAGTGCACTCTTTTTTCTGCCTCTATCTTTTCAGCTTTGCTGTGCAACATTCTCCATTCACACACTTCAGATTGTTGTTAAAATGAAATTCCCATTCCTGTTGTGAGAAAGGATTAGGAGTTGGGCTTCCACAACAGAACAATGGGATTCTGAGGACTTCCAAGATCTTGTGGACAGTCCCTCAACCAATCAGAAAGTGCCCCAAATATTCTACAAACAACTAGTTCCTTAAGAAAGAGCCCTGGAGGCTAAACCAGTTGCAATGGTAGGGTCAAGGATGGGGCCTCAACAGGGCAAAGGCTTTTCTCCACTATGCTTGCTTAATGAGCTTATTGAATATTAACTAACACACCCCGAGGGCAGAGATAGCCACCAGTTTTGAACTTGGGACACATAGGACACATGAACTAACATGACACGGAGGAACATGGGATGGGCGGTTCAGGAAGAGTGTAACTCAGATGAGCTGGTCCAACCCTGGGCTCAGGTGGGTGGAGTATGGATCTTACTAACCATTTAAAAGTTGATTCTATGGTTGTACCAGGGAGCAAGTGCTATTACAGTGTAGTGTGGTGTGCCCGCTTCTCTTGAGAAGGGTAATAAAGGCTTTCCTTCACTCACTCCTGTAGTAGATTTTTGTTTCATATTTTTGTAACACCAAGAATTTATGCAATCCATTCCCCCTGCCAAGAATTCAAGATCAGCCTCTTTGGCTCTGACCTGTTGAGTGGCATCAGAGAAGTCACTGATAGACCAGATGGACTGCGTGGATTGAGGGGAAGAAGCATTTATTATGCTCCTACTGTGCATTGTGCTGAGCACATTACAGAAAGGATCTCATTTTCTCCTTTAACAGTTGAGGACATTGAGGCAGAAAGAGGTTAAATGATTTTTGCATAAGGTTAGTAAGTATCTAAGCTAGGGTTTGAACTCCAGTCTTCCTGACTTCAGGCCTGACCTCTGCTCACTGCACAACCCAGCTACTCTTGTTGGTCTAGATTACCATCAAGGTCCCTTCTGACTCTCCAATTCTGTGACCCCAAAGTCAACTGTCTTCTCTCGGAATCAGCTTCTCTAGGCATCTCTATAATTCCCTGATTGTGATCGTGCTGATTATTGATGAGATCCAAGAGTTCCATGGGAAGAAGATGCCTGGGAGATGGCCTGAAAGATTCAGTTCTCAGGAAAGAGACAGGGCCTTTCAAGACGAAGCCCAAGGCATTGCATGACTTATTCTGTCTCCTTGCTTGATAAGTATGTCTGGGGGGAAGACACCCCTTCTCCACATCTCACCTCCTACTATTGTCGAGCAGAGGGAGAATAAGACCGAAGAATGAAAGGCTGGCAAGCCCCCAGGAGGAACAGTCTGACTCCCACTTTCTAGAGGCCGGGGGATTCTTCAGGAAGCCCCACCCCCTACCTGATCTCTTGCTCTTCCTTCCCCAGGCCAGATCCAAACGTGTTGTGGATGTCGGAGCAGGAGTTACTGTCTTCCAGAAGCCTGTGGTGTCAACGAAGAGACAGATTCAGCTGCTGGTTACACCACGCTCCCAAGGCCTCAGAGCCTCTAACCCAGCCCCTCCCGTTGCCACTCCCCACCCACCCAGGGCTTTTGTGAGCTACAAGCAGACTTACCCGACTTTCTGGAATCGTTCCTCCACGTTGTCCCAGACGTACCTGATTTTCTGCACCTGGATACATCGCACCTGTAAAAGCCAAGGTGAGAAGGACACATCTGAGCCACTCAGGGCATCCCCTGCCCTCCAGTGGAAAGCTCCCTGGCCTTCTTATCAGGGGATACAGGTTCGAGTCTCAGCTCTAGCCCCGGGATGCAAGTGACCTAAGGCCAGCCCTTTCCCCCTTGGGCTGCAGTTACCTCATCTATTAAATGAGAGGGTCCTTTCCACTTCTCACTCTCACCCTGTGTGCCCTATATTCTAACCATCTATCGATGGTTTACAAACCTTGCATTGTTCTCGTAGCAGAGTAGATGAAACTCCCAAAGGTTATTGTCCAAGGCCCTACAGCTAGTAAGAGTCACAACCAGGCCCCAAAGTCTGTCTTCTGATTCAGTTCAGGGCACTAACCACTCCCCCACCCTGCCTGTGCATCCCCATAGGTGCCAGCCCTCCCCCACACTCCCACCTCCCTGTTAAAACCACTCACTTTTAGCTCTGGCTTCAGGACGGCTCTATTTATGACCGAATGACGGTCAGCAACAATGTCTCCTGATTTGGGGTTTATGGGGTTCTTCAGTACAGACAAATACAGGCAGAACACTTTCTTCCTTGTGTATTTCTGAAATTCATCCTAGGAAAAGACAACTGAGCTCAGGCAATTTCCCAGTATTCCTCAGGTGACACAGTGGATGAGGGTGGGCCACCAAGCCATCATCCTTACTGCACACCTACTGTGTGCAAGGCTCGGGCCTCAGGCTGGCCCTCAGTTTCCAGACCCAGGAAGCCAGTGCCAACATCGAACAGCTTCTATCTAGAAATGTACTGAAAAAACAGATTTTAAATACTAGCTGCCATTGCAATATAGCCTACACTAGGTACTGCTTAATATCAATCTTCTTGAATCCAATTTCATCCAGTGTGTTGCAATTAGCGTTCATTAAAGACCTACTTAATATGTCAGATGTTGCATTAACCTTTACAAAAACCAAACAGTCTCTGACCTCCAGGCATTTACCTTCTACTCATTAGACCCTCAGAACAAGCTTTCTGTGAAGTGGGTAGATAATGGAAAACTATTACCTCCATTTTACAGATGAAGAAACTGAGGTTCAGAGAAGGCTAAATGACTGCTGGAGGTTGCAAAGTAATTGGTTTGATGAGAAAAAAAAAAGCTCAGGCCTTGGAATCCCTGCTCCAACACTTCCTGGTCTTGTGATGCTGGACTAGTAAATCACTTAACCTTGCTAGAACCTCAGTTTCCTCATCTGTAAAATGGACATTTCATCAGTGTGAGAACTCAGATAGCAAGCCAGAATCCTAGTGAGTTGCCAGAGGCCCAGAGAGGGTGCACAATTTTTCCATAGTCACACAGCTGGGAAAGATCTGAATACAGTTTTTCCTAAAGAATGCAAGCTTCTTGAGGGCAGGAATTGTTTCATTTTTGCTTTTGTTTTTTAGCACCCCGGAAGTCTGGGGAGCAGAGTGGGCTGGACAGAGCGGCAGCCACTTCCCCTCCCCCCCTGCAAAAACTAAGTCTACCTGGTGGCTTGGCCTCAGGAGGAATCCCCAGGGGAGGAAGATGAGGGAAGGGGAGGAGGAGGCAGAGGAGCTCAGATTGGAAGGAATCGCAGCCTCTGGTAAAGGGAGACACCTTTTCAATGCAGAAGGCCAGGGTCTCTCCGTTTCTGAGTATTTCCCTGTAGGCTTCTTTTCCAGGATGTCAGCCCAGCGAGCCTCCAAAACACCTAGAATGAGCCCGCTTTCAGCACCTGTTGTCACATGTCAGACAAGGGGAACCTACCGTTGTCCGAAGCAAAACAACGTCAGCTTCTTGCAAGGGACAGGGCACACAGTGTGCCCACACATTCCACTGTGGACGCCAGTAGAAAAGAAGCCTCAGAATGCCGCAGGACAGGACGGAGCCCAGCAGGCAAAGGGCTCTCCGCAGAGTCTGGGTCTGGTAGCCAAACGCCTCCTGGGGGGCAAACCGAAAGCCTTGTTAGCCTTCCCCAAGACAACTCGGAGCCGAGAAGCAGGGTCCGGACCAGGGAGAAGTCTGGTTTCAGCTCGTCCATTCTGGCCTGGGCACTCCTTGACTCCCTCGGCAAGACGACCAGGACAGGATGGGGCTGGAGCGAGCCAGTGGGCAGGGGCAGGAGACGGAGCCGGAGGGAGGGACTGACGGAAGACGAGGCCAGATTCAGTGCTTGGCGTAGCAATTACCATTTACCACATGCTCACTCTGAAATGACCTGGGCGTAGAACAAACGTTTTCTCAACCCCTTTTTTTTTTTAATTCCAAGAACTTTACTCTTTTAAAAAATTGAAAACGGGCAAAGAAAAGCATCACACAACGCCAGCTTCAGTCGGATTCGGTAGTATGCACACGGACAAGTTTGGCTACATGCGTCCCCTGATCACTTAGAACGGTGCCTTAAGTAAACACTTAACAAGTCCTTATCCATATTGATTGATCCAAAAAGCTCCTGGCATGCTTTATTACCACCAGGATTGGACACAAATGCCCATCTGGCATTTAAAGTCCTCCGCAGCCTACACCTGACCGAGCCTTTTGAGTTGGCTATACTGGGGTCCCCTCCCCACCATCCATCTACACACATGTCCAAGTCTCCCCCATCCTGATAAAACCCTCACTTGACTCTTCCAACCCTGCTAACTATCGTCCGCTGTCTCTTCTGCCCTTTGTAGCTAAACTTCTCCAAAAAGCATCTGTACCAGGTACTTCCACTGTCTCTCCCCTCACTCTCTTCTCAAGCCCTCACAATCCGGCTTGCGATCTGATCATTCCACTGAAACTGCCCTCCCGGAGTTACTAGCGATCTCTTAGTTGCTCAATCCAGTGACCTCTTAAGCTTCATTCTCCTCCATCGCTGGTTAGTCTTTGATGCCGTGGGTCACTCTCTCCTCCTTGACACTCTCTTCTCTGTTGGTTTTCGGGACACCTGCTCTTTCTCTCCCACTTATCCTCCTCCCTCTCTGACTGCTCCTTCTCATCTCCTTTGCTGTGTCCTCCTCCAAATCACACCCTCTAACTGTAGGGGTCCCTCAGGCTCTGTCCTGGGACTTCTCCTCTGTCCCATTTCACTGGGTAATTTCATTAGTTCCTAAGGATTTAATTACCACCTTTTTGGTGATGATTCTCAAATCTTCCTTTCCTGTCCGCATCTCTCTCCTGATCTCCAATCTTGGATCTCAAACTAGATATCCAGTAAACATCTTAAATTCAAAATGTCCAAAACAGAACTCATTATCTTTCCTCCTAAATCCTCCCCACTTCCTACTGTCCCTGTTACTGTACAGGACAACACCATCTTCCCGCTCCCTCTGGTTCACAACATAGGAGACATGCTTAGCTCCTCACTATCTCTTACCAGCCCCTGTCTGTATCCAATTTGCTGCCAAGGCCTGGTGATTTCACTTTTGTAGCATCTCTTTCATACACCGCCTACTCAATAAACTCCATTGACTCCCTATGGTCTCCTATGGTCTCTGGCATTCAAAGCCGCCAAACAGCCCAGCCCCCTCCTACCTTTCCAGTCTTCTTATATCTTACTTTGTTCCAGTGACACTGGCCTTCTGGCTATTCCACAAAGAAGACACTCTATCTCAACTCCAGAAATTTTCTGTGGCTGTCCTCCACACCTGAACACTTTATCTCCTCTTCTCTGACAAATGACCTTCCTGGCTTCCTTTAAGTCCCAGTTAAAATCTCACCTTCTACCAGGAGCCTTTCCTGATCCCTCTTAATTCTATTGCCTTCCCCCAGTTAATTATCTCCTCTTTATGCTATATATACTGCATGTGTTCACTTATCTCTCCCATTAGAATATAAGTTCCTTGAGGGCAGGGACTGTCTGTTGCCTCTTTTTGTAACCCAGAATTTGGCACAATGCCTGGCACATGGTAGGCACTTAAAATTAATGATCAGTTTTGCATTACTTTGAGTTTTGTCCCATGATGTTTATGTTTAAGTTTTCTTAGTTACTTTGGTAACATATCAATCTCCCCTCTCAAAATTAGTCTATTGTCAGCCTTCTAAGTAGTTTAGTCTGTAACTTGACTTACATAATTCCAATTATGAATGTATGAAAAATCTTATTTCTTTGGCTTATAGACAATGGATTCACGGGGGAGGGGCTGCTTCTTCCCCCAGGAATCAAAGGAGGAGGGGATTGAGAGAATTGTGGGAATTGAGTGTGTCACACTGACTTCATCTCGCGACTCAGTTCTGGAGCTAGCTCAGTTTCCTTTCTTTTATTTCTGTCTTGTGAGAAAACTTTGTTCAATTACAGGAATTGAGAGAAAACTTTATTGTGTTGTTTGAACATAGCCCTGTGTGACTGGGAAGCTGTACCTCCATGCCCAGAAACCTGGTCAGATTCAAAGACTGATGCAAGGAGTTTTCTCACAATTTTACATCTCAAACAGCCGATATGTCTTATCTGAAAACTAACTCCTTACTGGTCAATTATGTCTCCACATTCCTTTGGTTGAATACATACACTTAGGGGGAGTGGGAAACATTTTTTTTTCTGATCTCAGAGAATTGCACTTGTTTGATCAGCCTCCTAATCTTTCCTCCAATTAGAAATCAGATCACCTACTCTCATTTCCTGGCTTATATCTTGTTAATTGTTTTCTTTTAATGTATAAAAATCAGTTTCCTCCTGTATTCAGGGCTCAGCCCTGAGCTGAATAATGGGCTTCGTCTCAATTTGTTATGTAATTGGCATTCGTTGTTTAATAAATTGAAATGCTTGGAATCTCAAGCCTTTGTTTCTTTAGTCATTTCATCATTGAATCAAAGGACCACCCTCTCATACCAGTATTCTCCCAGTAACATTATAGACATGGAGCCTAAAAGTATCTTAAGAATCAGAGCTAAAGGGGAGACAGAGACAAGATGGCAGAATAGAAGCAGGGACTTGCTCTCCCAAATTCCCTTCCAAACAAAGTTAAAATAGGCCTCAAACTGAATTCTGAAGTAGCAGGACCCACAGAAGGCTGGGGTGAAACAATTAGCCAGCCCACGTCAGCTCAGAAAGTCAGCAGGAAAGGTCTGTCTCATCGGGGTGACAGTGGAGACCAGTTCAATGCCAGCAGCAGGTCTTGGGGGTGACTAGATCTGCAGCAGCAGCTTCTGGACCTCTCAGTTCATAGACAACTGATCAGAAGAAGATTGCAGAGGACTCTTTGCTGGCATTGGGAGCAGGACTCTGTTTCTGGGTTGCATTCCCAGGGCAAGGAAGAGAACTAACTAACTACAGAGGGACAGGGGCCCTGTTCACAGTTTCAGAGTAGAAAAAAGTGTGGTCACTCACAGACAAGAGCACAGGCCAGGACAGCAGTGACCACATCTCTCTTTATATCATACCACCTTGGAAAAATTGAAAACTTATCGAGCAGAACTAGCTCTGAAAACAGCAGCACAAAAAATCTGAAGCTCAAGACAGTCCCCCTCTACCCTGAGGGCAGAGCTCAATGTCAGCATAAAGTGAAAAGTCAAGAAATAAGACGGAAAAATAAGCAAACAACAAAAAAAGAGTGTGACCTTAGAAAGTTACTATAGTGACTCTGAAAAAAAAAAACAACAGTATCAAAATATCTACATGCAAAGCCTCAAAGAAAAATGTGAATTGGTCTCAAAACCAAAAAGAATTCCTAGAAAAACTCCAAAAGACTTTTAAAAATCAAATAAGAGAGGTACAGGAAAAATTCAGGAAAAGAAATGAGAATGATGAGAGAAAATCATGAAAAAAGAGTGAATAACTTGGTAAAGGAGGTACAAAAAATACTGAAGAAAATAATACTTTAAAAACAGAATTGATGAAATGGTAAAAGAAGCACAAAAATTCACTGAACAAAAGAACTCCTCAAAAAGAAGAATTATCTAAATGGAAAAGGATGTACAAAAGCTCACTGAAGAAAATAATTCCTTAAAAATCAGAATTGTCCAAGTAGAAGCTAATGACTTCATGTGATATCAAGAAACAATAAAACAGTCAAAAGAACGAAAAAAATAGAAGGAGATGTGAAATATCTCATTGGGAAAAAAACAATCTGGAAAATAGATACAGGAGAGACCATCTAAGAATTATTGGACTGCCTGAAAGCCATGATGGAAAAAAAAAAGAGTAAAGACATCACCTTTCAAGAAATTTTCAAGGAAAACTGCCTTGATATTCTAGAACCAGAAGGTAAAATAGAAATAGAAAGAATCCACCAACCACCTCCTGAAAAAATATTTCAAAATTAAAATTCTTGGGAATATTATGGCTACATTCCAGAGCTCCCAGGTCAAGGAGAAGTTATTGCAAGCAGCCAGAAAGAAACAATTTAAATATCATGGAGCCACAGTCAGGATAACACAAGATTCAGTAGCTTCTACATTAAAGAATCAGAGGACTTTGAATATGATATTCCAAAGGAGCTAGGTTTACAACCAAGAATCACCTATCCAGGAAAAACTGAGTATAATCCTTGAGGGAAGGAGGGGAAAAGGATATTTAATGAAATAGAAGACTTTTGAACATTTCTGATGAAAAGACCAGAGCTGAATAGAAATTTGGCTTTCAAATACAAGACTCAAGAGAAGAATTTAAAAAAAGAAAACAAGAAAGAGAAATAATAAATATTCAATTAGGTTAACTATTTACATTCCTACATGGGAAGATGATACTTGGACCTTCTTAGAATTTTATCAATATTAGGGCATTTGGAAGGAGTATACATAGACAGAGGGCATGAGTGTGACTTGGCTATGATGGGATAATATAAAAAAAAATTAAGGCATGAGAAAAAGGGATGCACTGAAAGAAGAAGGAAGGGAGATGTAGAATGGTGTAAATTATCTCACATAAAAGAGGTATGAAAATAAGAATTTTTACACTGGTGGAAAAGTTGGGGAGTGGCAAGCAATACTTGAACCTTACTCACATAGGAACTGGCTCAAAG